TAGGGAACACAGCCAGTTGTCTCCACAAATTGCATCACTCCCGAGTTCCTTAGTAACAGACGTCCGTTTTTGTTGGGGAAAACAGGGAAAGTGTGCCCAGCTATAAAATTGCATTGCCCAGACTCTCATCATGCAAGGGGTGGCCAGGTGGCAGAGAACTAATTAATGAGAGGCAGAGGAAGTCATTTGCTAGGACTTCCAGGAAAGCTTATTAAATATAGCCAACCCAATCTGCACCCTGTGCAATAGTGTCTTCATATACATGTTCTTTGGTGACTTGCTTTTTCACTGACATTGTGATTTGGAGATCCATCCATATTTATCTAATTGCTATGACTCATTTATTGTCACCCCTGATTAGTATTCCATTTTACAAATAAGCCACCATTTATTTTGTCATTCTATTTCAATGGACATTTGAGCTGTGCCCAGTTTTTTGTTATTACCAACAATAATCCTATAAGCTTTCTTGTACAGGTTTCCTGCAAAATTTCTGTAGAACCAGAGGTTGGCGTACTTTGGCGCATGACCCAAGTATGTAGAGTTCATGACTTAAAAATGGTTTTTACATCCTTTCAATTTTAAAAGGAGCAAAAGGAGAATGACATTTTATGATGTGTGAAAATAGGAAATTCAATGTCTATAAATAAAGTTTTGGCAGATAAACCCGTGTCCATTTGCTTACGTGTTGTCTGTGGCTGAGTTGATGCTCCAATGGCCTAGCTGCCATCGATGTCATCTGCCCTTTTTTTGAAGGGTAGTCACAGCACCTGCTCTGTGAGGCTTTTCTTGAGATGGCCTCCTCCTTTAACGCCTGCCTATTTATTGTAAAGTGCCAGTCCTTTGTGTCTGGTCAATAAAACTCATTCTCATTTACTCTGTGTGCATCCTGCTACCTTCCCAAGGCAGGGAATAGGCACTGGGGTTTGGGGCCACGAAGTCTCATGACACAAATGGAGATGCTCTAAGAATGCCTATTTTTATTGCCAATAATCGTGACATTACCTTTCAGATGCTTCCCTGGGGACGGAAAGAATTCATGCAGCTTCCCAAAGTGCTAGATTTAAACTCAGGAAATAATTTTAATGAGAGAATTCAAGAAAGCTGCTTGTTCATTTGTTTATTTGTTCAGTAAGATTTCGTAAAAACTTGTCATCTTCTTCTGAACTTCCGTGGAATTTTATTAACTTGTGTCTGTTATAATTTATGGGTATGTATTCTTATTTCCTTACTCTAAACCCTTTGAAGACATTAACCATTTTACACATCTCATTACTTCCTTGGGATATGCTACAGTCACCTTTGCACAGACAACATACAGAATATTTCTAATGACGCTAAACCTCTACTAGAAGATGCAAAAGCAGGGCATGTTTACTTGTCTCCTAGCAACATGTTGCAAGCTTATGCATTTCATTAAAGAAACAAAACAAATGCGTGACTCTACAATACTGACCACAAATGTAAGTACAGAAGATTATTGCTAAATAGCAGATTTCAAGTCCATATATTGTTCTAAATGATGATTTAAAATTACATATATCACACACAGTTTAATAAAGAGAGGCAAAGAACAAAAGACAAAGAGGCAATGAGCAAAGAGGGACCCAAGAAAAAGGCAGGCCATGATTGAATAAATACACTCAAAAGTTTTGTCAAACTTACCTGGAGTGAGACATTTGTGAGGTATTAGTAATCTGTTTTAAATAAAATACACGAACTTATTAAAATCAAACTTACACTAAAGTAAATGAAACTAAGCCATTGCTCATTTGGTCATCATGTTAGTATAATTTTGCCTCGGTTTTTTTTAAACATAAATCTGTAAATTCTATACAACTGAAATGAAGAAATATATTTAAAGTATTCAAAGTTAAAAGTTAGAATAGGATCTTTCTTGTAGTAAGGAAAACCTTGAAGCCCTACAGAGCAATAGTTTTAAAAAGCCATTTCAGCTGTGAGACTGCATTTAGGTGGAGAAAATTAAACTTTTATTATATTACATGATAATTTGGCAGTAACTTTATCCTCACATAGCGCCAGTGTTTTCATTAAATAAATAGAGTGCATGCTGAATCTAAAAAATTTCAAGACGATTTAGTCTATTAAACACAATATTCTCATGATAAAGCACTTATTAACCACTTCTTCCACATACAAGGAAAGCTGCTATCATCATCAATTTTTATTCATATTACCCCAATATGAATAACTTTGAATAACATTTTGCTAAAAAATACTACAATACTATTGTGTCCTTGAATTACATTCATTTCATAGCCAATCTGTGCTCAAGGGTTGTTAATAATGAACTTTAGAATGCTTTGCTGCTCCACTAACTTGGATGACCTTTGCCGAGTTACTCAATTTTTGCATTTTAATTTTTCTGTCAGGACATAGAAATGACATATGAAAGAGACCCTAATGCTGGTTCAAAACCTCAGAAGTTCCTCTGGTGAAATTTGAAACTGGACCTATACACAGAGGGCAGAGAGAGACCCAAGGAAGAGGCAGGTCACTCGGGATGGGTAGGTGGCGGGTTTAATAAGCAAGAGAACACAGTACGAGGCCTGCCTTGGGCAGCTCTAGCTGTAAGACAAGCACATCTTTGCACCCACCACCAGAATCTCACGAGTTTATACACAGAGGCTTTAATGGGGTTCGGTCACATGTACAGTCCAGATGGTCTCAATAACATCACTGTCTCCCAGTGTGGAAAATATTAGCGGAACGTACAGTATATTCCAAGGACAAGAGTCAGGGAAGGAGCCTCTGATTGCCAAGGTCCAGCTCTCAGATCAATCTGCTGTCACATCCTAACTCAATGACCTCTCTTAAACCTTAAGCATCATCCAGCCCTACTTTTTTTTTATTCTGCAGATAAGGAAACAAGTCCAGAGATGACCCGTCTTCGAAATATTTCAAACTCACATAGATTTCTAGGAAGACACTATGTAAGCTGAAATGTATAACAATTATGGAAATAAATGACCTGGAATTAATTTAATTCTCTTTAAAAGAGAAATGGAGCATTCCTCACTATTCTGAACTCCAGTCTCCTGGAATACATATTACCATATGTATTAGCATATTGTAGCAGTGTCGTTTAATAGTGTATTTCTGTGACTTTTGATATGGAAATCATTTCTTAAGATTTGCAACCCATCAGGTAAATGCTGACATTGAAGATACTCACTGTCAATATCGTATTTCCTTTATCTCTCAATTTCAGTCAAAAATTCAGTACAAAAATAAGTGGAAATGAGGAATTAATTAAAGCAAATACTTGTAAAAATTCATAATACATTTTTCTGTTACGCTCTGTGGATAGAAATGAAGCTCCTTACTCATCTGCCTGAGCATTCTGCCTACCTATCCATAAAACAAGGAATCTTCAATATTTATTGAGCCCCAATAGCATATACTGTGCCAGGTTTCTGCAAGGGATGCTAAAAATGAATAAGGCATGAGCCCTTGAGAATATACTGTCTCTAGTAGGAGAAATAAGTAAGTGCTGTATTCAACTTCTAACGTGAGAATTATAAGTGGTATATGACAGTTAAAATAAAGAGCTTATGAGAATTGAAAGGAGAGATAGATCACACCAAGTAGGTGGAGAAGCCAGAAAATGAAGCCTAAACTTATGAAGGTCCAAAGCAAGGTCTTCTAAGGACAGGTATACACTGAGGACATGAGAGGAAATGTAAGTGAAGTGCAAACGTTTTGGCAACTTCAAGATTCAGATTCCCTATAGGGCAAAGGAAGTAATGGGAGGGGAAAAATAGTTTACTGCAACCCCTAAAGTATTTTTCCCAGCTGCTGCTTCTTTTTACGATGTACTTTGATATTTATAATAAATTTACTCTTTTTGAATAGGGAAAAAATCATTCCTCACTAGGAGCTGGAACCTTGAGCCTTCACCTCTACCTAATTAAAAAAAAAAAAACCCAAAACCTAAATTCTTTGCTTGTTGAATCATATGTACTGGAAAGCCAGTTACCTCTGTCACAGAGTTTTGTCATTCAGCCTGATGTAAAATGCACGAGCTTTGAGGCCAGCAAGTTCTTGGTTGAAATCGAGACTCAATCACAGTAGCAGGTTATCAGTTTTCTATGCATTTCACCTGTAATCCTCTGACCCAGCCCTTCTCGGTTTTTCTCAAACTTTAATGTGCACAAGCATCACCTGGGCATCCTGTTAATCTGGGGATTCAGATTCGGTAGATCTGAACTGGAACCTGAGATATTGTATTTCTAATGAGGTTTACAGGTGATGTTAATGCGGACCACTTTTGAGTCCAAAGGCTAGAAGCATGGCCCCCATTATCAATTATCAGCATTACCTGAGAGTTTATTAGACCCAACCCCCTACTCATTGAATCAGAAACGTGGGGTGAGGCCCAGGCACCCTGTGTTTCAACAAGCCTCCCAAGTCCTGTCACTGGTTTTTCAAAGCGATGGCAACAGTCCAATCACCGGAAAGGGGGAACTGGGAGTGTTAAATGCTATTGATGCCCAAATCTCAATCCCAGAGATTCCCCTGTAACAGGTGTGGTCTTGGGGTCCGGCTTTCTTAAAGCTCTACCAGATGACTCTAATACGCAATAAAATTTGAGAAACCCGTGAGGTCCGTGCTTGAACGTCAATAGGCCTTATTTTCCGCAGGTGTAAATGTAGATACTATCCCTGCTGAGTCCTGCCTTCGCTTCCAGATTTTGGTCCTTCCAGCCAGCCTTAGTCGGGCACAATCCCATTCGATCTCGGGCAGCCCAACCCGCCGGGTGTCCCACAGCCTCTCCTCCGTCGCCGGAGCATCAGCCCCGCGGCTCTCCATCCCGGCACCGCCCGCAGCAACGTGGCTCCGGTGGCGCTGGAGTCAGCCTGCGGGGGACACTCCGCCGGAGCTGGAGCTGGACGCGCATGCGCCCGGTACGCGCCAGGCCCCAGGCCAAACCGGAGTAACGGACTCGAGCTCCCCCCACCGGAAGTGGGCGACGGCGCGTCGGGTGGAGCCGGCCGTAGCGTGGCGGCTGGGGGCTTTACGTTCCAGCTCGTGCGGTTTGCGCTGCCCTCTCAGCGTCATGGCCAAGGCCGCCAACGTGGTGCGGCTGCTCCTGGGCAACACGGTGCTGTGGCTCTCGCTGCTGCGCTCCGGGACGGCCTCCGCGTCCAAGGCGGTGACGGCTCACTTGGCCGCCAAGTGGCCCGAGACTCCGCTGCTGCTCGAAGCCAGGTGGGTGCGGGCTGGACCCTCTTGCCGAGCCCCGGGCGAAGGGAAGACCAGTGGGGCGGAGGGTGCGCTGAGACCGTGGCGGCCCCTCTGGACGTCCACGCACCGCTGCTCCCAGTGCCCTCGTGCTGGACCCTAGGAGCATCACTCTTGCTCTGCTGCCCGGGTGCAATTGACTTGTAATTCCCTTTTCCGCCGCGGTTAGTACGTTGCCCCGTCTGCGGTTTTTAAAACTTCGGGACCTTTGTTGAATGAGTTTGAATTTTATTAGCATTTACGAAGGAAAAAGAAAGGAAGAATGGGTGGTGGGTAGAGGGTGGCATTTAATGCAAGCACTTCAATTAACGTGGACAGTTCTTTTAAGGAAACGGTTCTCCAAGTACCTAGGTAGGCTTCCTTTGGCCAAGACCGCTTCCCACATTTGAGTTCTTTACGAATCCCCTCCATTGGAATGAGTTTATAAGGTAACATTTACTGAGCAGAAACAAAACTCGTAGCTGTTATATTGTGCTTCTAGTAGTCTAGTAAACAGAATTTGAAAGTTCTTCAGCCAGTAAGAAGTTTTAATGCCAGTTGCTTTTGTCATTTCACCCAAGCAACAGCTTATGGCCCTGGAAGAGACTATCACCCCACATTACATTGCATATGTGAGATACTAAAATAGTTCTTTTTAACTCAGGTGTAATTGACATACAACTTTATATTACTTTCAGGTGTACAACATAATGATTTGTTATTTGTAAGTCTCGTGAGCACCACAGTAAGTCTAGTTAACTAACACCTGTTACCATCTGTAGTTACTGGGTTTGCCAATAAGTCCGTTATGTTTTTTCTGTAAAATAAAAGACATTTTTCATTTTCACCGATAACTATTTATTTGTATATTTTGATTATGCCAGCTGTCTCCCGCTCTTGGCTTCTAGTGGGTAGAGGCCAGGGGTTCTGCTAAACATCTTCCAATGCATAAGACAGCCCCACAGCAAAGAATTATTTGGCCAACAATGTGGGTAATACCAAGAAACTTCACAAACCATTTTTGACATGTTCAGTCAGTCACAGTACCTTCTCCATACATTGCACAAATCTTTTTCTGTGTTTCAGTTGTGTTTTTAACCTTTTTTGAAATAATAAAGCATAATACATCAAAAATGTATGTTCTTCCATCTTCAGTATTACCATGGCTATACAAAAATTCACCAATTTCGATAAGTTTTTTAAATGCACATTGATATGACAGCTGACACAATACAGTCTAACAAAATTGTTTCAAATGAAGTTAAAGACATCTAAGCGCTGCTAGAGCCATTGTACGGAAAAAACTGAACTTTTTGGCCAACCCAATTCCAGTTTATGTTTTTTGAGAAAGCTCCATACTCTCTTTCCGCAGCGGCTGCACCAATTTACATTCCCACCAACCTTGCACAAGGGTTCCCTTCCCTCTGCATCCTCATAAGCATTTATGTCTTGTCCTTTCAGTGACACCATTGTATAACAGGTGTGAGGTGGCATCGAATCGTGCTTTTGATATGCCTTTTCCTGATGATAATGAAGTTGAGCACCTTTTCATGCCCCTGTTGGCCATCTGTATGTCCCCTTTGGAAAAATGTGTATCAGATCCTCTATTTTTTTAATTGAATTGCTTGGTTTGTTTTGATGTTGAGTTGTATGAAATCTTTATATGTTTTAGCTATTAGCCCCTTATCAGATACATGATTTGCAAATAGCTTCTCCCATTCAATGGGTTGCCATTTCATTTTGTTGATGATTTCCTTTGCTGTGCAGCAGTTTTTTAGTTTGACGTGGTCCCACTGGTTTATTTTTGCTTTTGTTGCCTTTGCTCTTAGTATCAAAGCCAAAAAAAAAAAAAAAATCCCCACCAAGACCAGTGCTTACCACTAATCTCTGCGACCAAAATGTGAACTTAAGGGGACAAGAGTATTTCTTCTTACTTGTGTTTATTTTGCCAAAGTACTGTGCATGAAAGAAGTTGCCCAGTGAATACAGCAGGACCCCAAATATCATTGTTGTGTTCAACAGTGTTTTGTTATAAAGTCAATGAGAAAAATAACTTCATTCCTGGCTGGGGCCACTGTCTATGTGGAGTTTGCACGTTCCCCGGGGACTCTGGTTTCCTTCTGTGTCCCAAAGGTGTGGGTGTTAGTCGAATTGCTGTGTCTCCATTGTCCCCATCTGAGGGAATGTGGGTGACTGTGAATGTGCCCTGTGACCGGAGGGCCTCCCGCCAGCTTCCAGGAGACCCTTGGCCTCTGCCTGGCTGCTTCAGCTGCCAGGCTAGGCTCTGGCCACCGGGGACCCTGAACTGGAAGAAACAGATTGGAAAATATCTCATTTTTTTATTCATCTTTCTTAAATGTATGTATAGCTCACATTTATTTCAGTGTTTAATATTAGAAGTGTTTGGGGTCTTTATTTAGAAGTTTGGTGATATGTTTGTGACCAGGAATATGTTATTGGAACTTGACTCTCATTTATGGCAATTAAATTGATTTAGTTATATGTCATTTCACTTAAAGTTGCAGTTTCCAAGAGCTTATAGACAACATTAAGGGCTCATTGTATTAGTTTATTAGGTGTGCCAAGAGTGCTTCTTACACATACTTGTTTTCCTCAATGTTCAGTAAACAGAAGTAGGTGCTCAGTAAAGTTGATTCAATGGGAGAGACCATTGAGGTCTCTGTGTACTTCAAACTGCCATTGGAACGACCTCTGTAATGTACCTGATCTGTGGAAACTGGCCTCTGCTTAGAAAATTAATCAGGTTGCTCAGTGTTAACCACATGCCCCTGCTTGTCCTGTTGTATATCTTTTTCTCGTATTTTAAATTCAGCATAAATATTTGCCTGTTTCGAACATGGCCCTATGATGGCTACTGCGTCAGAAACAAGGATGAATGAGGTATGTGGCCTGCCTAAAGAAATTTATAATTTGCTAGGGGTGATTATAGGCTGATGAGCCTAAATTTTTACAATGTGTATACCTTAACTTATATGTCTAAACTGCATTTATTCTGCTGGTGTTACTCTTGGTGAAAATTCTTTGGGAATTCTACTTATAATCACTCTATGTATTCTTAGTAGAGGGGTGTCCAAACTTTTGGCGTCTCTGGGCCACACTGGAAGAAGAAGAGTTGTCTTGGGCCACATATTAAATACTCTGTGACATGCAATCCCCAAAAATTGCATAATGTTTAAAGTAAATTTACGATTTTGTGTTGGGCTGCATTCTTAGCCATCCTGGGCTGCATCCAGCCCGCGGGTCATGGCTTGGACCTTCCTGCTTTAGTGTGTATAAAATTCTCTGTGGTAGAATTATTTGTGGAAACATTTTTATTTGGAAGTAAGTATTACATAAGACAAGTAAAGAACTTGGAAATGCCAGGTGGTTTTGGTTCGTTTTTTCCCTTTTTAAAATTTTGACCAAAGATAGTATCTTTTGGACAGTGAGGAGCTGATTTAGATGAGTCCCAAGGATATCTAGTTCTCTGATATTTATGATGAGTTACTGGCAAATTGCCCCGGAAAATACTGGGTTCGCCATAAAGTTCCTTTGGCTTTTTCCGTCAGTCAGTTCTAGTAGCACTTAGTTGTCTTTACCCTCATTTGAAACAATTTTGATAAATTGTTTTGTGACAGCTGTCATATCAGCATGCATTTTTTAAAAACTTATCGAAATTGGTGAACATTTGTATAGCCATTTTAATGTTGAAGATGGAAGAAAATAAGCAACATTTTCAGCACATTGTGCTTTTTGTTTCAAGAAAGGTAAAAATACAACTGAAAACACACACAAAAAGTTGTGGGCGGTGTACGAAGAAGGTGCTGTGCCTGATCGAAGGTGTCAAAGGTGGTTTATGAAGTTCGTGCTGAGGTTTCTCACTGGACGATGCTCCACAGTTGCATAGAGCAGTTGAACTTGGTAGCGGTCGAGACATTGACTGAGAACAGTCTACGTTCTACCATGTGGGAGATGGCTGACATACACAAAATGTCCAGTAAAGTTATTGCTGAAAATGAAAACTGTGTTTTTTATTTTATGGGAAAAAAGCATACAGACTTCTCGGCCTACCCAATAATTCCAGAAGAGCTCCAGAAGTGCGTAGAACAGTGGTGTACACTGAGGGAGTAAGTGTAAGTGAGTATCACTTAGGTATAGTCAGTTAGGTATTAATTGGGGCTGCGCCCTACTGTGCTTAAGGTTTTTGCCATCCATGCCCTTTTCATGTCGCATCCTGTTCAGTGTTCCAGTTTCATTTGCTTTTAGGGTTGTTTTGTTTTTGCCATTGTAGCTTGGGCACCATTGATAAGAAGAGTTATTTTGAACTTATTGCTTTAAATTCTTATGCTTGCCATGTTTATGTTGATGGATTGATCCATTTTTTTCACATCCTTTGCTCTACTTAGTAACCAACTCAGACTCCCAAGAATTAGTTAATCTGCATATGTCTTTGATGTCTTAAACACTTCCCATTTATATTATGTATTAGTTTATCAAGGTGAGAGAGAGATAAGGTGGGCAATGACAAAGAATCTGTACCATCTACTTGGTGGCTGTCTCCTTTTCTCGTTTAAATAGTTAAATCTAGTTGTTTCAGGTGTCTTAGGGCTAAATAACCTTTTGCTTACTTCATTAGTTCCAAAAGGTTTTATATGGCTCTGGCCATTTTTTCTTACCTGTTCTCTGTACAAAAGTGAAAGTCTCTTAGGGCTTCAAGGCCAGATACCTAATGCAATGCACCAGCTTCCTATTAATTTTTTTATTAAGGTATTTTCTGTTTTAAATAATGAAAAGATTGTCACCATAAATAGCTAATTAAACATGTGTGACATATTTAATGTCACACATGATATTTAATGTCATTGGCTTTATGAACACTTTAATAAAAGTGTTCATAAAGCCAATTTTTTGTGGAAAAGTCTTACTTTCATTCTTTACTTTTTCCCTAAAAAAACCACTTTTTTCATTATTGTTAAATTATGCCTCTTAGTGTTGCTTCACATGGAGAAAATAAATTATCCATATTTTAGTTGTAGCTAATAATGAGGAAAAGCCAAAAATAATTTCTTATGCTGTCTGTTCTGGTCATGATTATGAACTTGTAGTTGAGAATGACATGTCAGGTAAGAATCATCAGTTTGTTCTCTTTCTGCATTATGGTAAATGGAAATGACTAATGACATTAATTTTTGAAGATTTTTGTTTTTTACCATAAGTTATCATTATTTTCTAAAGTACAGTTTATAGCATCTAAACCATTTTTTTCTTTTCATCTATTAACTGAGTACTTTTATTTTTTAATAGTGAATTTTTGGCAGAAGAAAGTAATGAAAAATTTTGGCAGTTTTTGGACACTGTAAAAGAACTAGCAATTTATAAGCAAACAGGTACGTGATGCACATATTTTAACTGGTAAGATTTGTATTTATGTGTACACATTGGATCTGATTAATGACAAAGTTTGTGTGTAAATGCTTAATGGGATTAATAAATATGAATATTAAGTTTGAAAAGCTGTTCTAATGAGAACTGTTTTGAGCTTTCATTTCCAAAAATGTAAGGCTTTAATGCTATTATTATAGGAAAACTCACATAATTAGCAATGTTTGTATTTTGCATTGTAATCAAAAAGAAATAGAAATTGTTTAATGATGGCTTTCTTTTACCTACATTTCTTTGAAATAGTATTAGTTTCACATTTAGTAATACTGCTTTTTTTTGGCAAAAATATTCTTAAGCTCTCTAAGAGACATTTAATACTTTCTGTCAAGAAAATCAGGGAACCTGCCCTGGCCAGTGTGACTTAGTTGGTTGAAGCATCGTCCCACCCACCGAAAGGTCGTGGGTTCGATTTCTGGTCAGGGCATTTACCTAGGTTGTGGGTTTGTCCTTAGGGAGCAACCATTGGGTCTTCTCTCTCACATCAGTGTTTTTCTCTCTTCTCCCCCTTCCTCCTCCTCCAAAATCAGTAAGTGTATATATATTTTTAAAAATTATCAGGGAACCTATGTACTTTCATTTCACTATCTAGAATGTGGAGCTAGTCATTCCTCCTTTCTAAATGTACAGGAAAGCACGTCTACATAGACACATACGGACATCAGTAGAACGATCGAGTGTTTATCAATGTGTTTCTTAGGGAAGGTCAGTAGATTTAAGGAACTGAATTTGGGTTTTAGCAGCAGAGGCTAAAGGTTCCTTACTGTTACGAAGAATGGTTATTTTCCTGTCTCTACAAAAAATAGAATGAATGATATTAACATGGAATCCCTTAACAGGGAATATTTTTTAGCCTTTTAGACATAGAGAAAGTGTCTTACTAGGGTAATGAGTTTATGATTTTATTCCTGAGTAAATTGAAGATAAACAGCAGTTTTGAATGTTGAGTGTTCATTTACTGGAGGCTTATTTGGCTCCTGTGGTGGTGAAGTCCAACAGTTTCGTGATTTCATGAGGTAGGTTTTAAAAGATAAGCAGTCATGCCTTTAATGGTATTTTAAACGGAAACATTTCCAATAATCACTTGAGTTATCAGAGAAGCTAGGCACTGCTTTAGATATCAGGAATGTGCAGGTGAACACGTGTGATGTGTTACTTGGGCCTCCGTAATGGCACAGTGCAGGAGAGGGTGGGGCGGCAGTGCACTCCCAGAGGAAGGAGCTTTGGCAGGGAAACGTGGTAGCAGGTAAAAGAAAGGTGCCCAGTCAGTGCGTCAGAGGCAGGACGGCCTTTGCCACGGCGAGTGCAGGAGCTGCGTGGATGACGGGGCTTCGCCAGGTGGTGGTGAGGGGAGGAGGGGAAGGAATAGCAGTGCAATGCACAGAGGAACTCTGACTGCTCCAAGTCTGTCTTCAGATCATCGGGAGATTGTTGGCTTTGTATTTGTCCTGGTAATTGTAGCTTTGCTAATTGAGGTGAAAAATAGGCTAGAATAATATGTCAAGTTTTCATGATAGTAAGAAATCCAGCACCTCTTTTCCTGGCCCTCACCTAAAATCTTCAGTATATCTGTCCCAAATCTGTTGTTCTCGCTACATACTTATGCCTTATTCAGGGCCATTTTTTTCATTAACCATGAAAATGACTCTTGTAAAGTCTGAACTGTCATTTCAAGTTACTGAGATATATGAGCGTGTTTTATCCGTAAATGAAACGGCGCACCTGGGCAGTCTGGTGGCAGGCAGATCATTAAAATGTCGGAACAGCAGCTCAGGAATGAACACCCAGGTTCTGCTTCCAGCTCTTATGGTGGGAGGTGTGTGTCCAGGTGGAATCCTGAGTAAGTTGTATTAAACAAGAATTGCCAGCACCGACCATCTGGTTCTGCTAAGCTCATTTTCAGGCCGAGAGTCCACTGCACGGGTCATGTCATGGCTGACCTTGTCAGGTGTGGGAAAGAATGGTGATATGGGGAATTAAATAGGTTGACAGCGATTAGATTTTACAGAATTTGTTTTCAAGATGTCATCCTAGAGGAAACATTTTAGATTCTCAGTTACATGTAAATTTTTAGGTGGTTGAATGTCCATGAAACCCTCTAAATACTCCTAAGAATATTCTGGTGATGTACTTGCTTAAAGAAGTTGTAAAAGTTGAACATTTCAACGCTTTGAGTTCAGGCGCTAGTTTGACGTCATTTAGTTGGAATGGTACATTATGTGCCAGCAAATGAAGACCTTTTGGTCACTGAATTGCCTGTTTTTGAACATTTTATGTAGTTCTGCCACTGAGTTTTGTACTTGTTTATGCCTCAAGATTCAAGTGGCATGGTTGCCCCCACCTGTGTGGTTTCTCTAACTGCCAAGTCCCTCTTTATTTTTACTTCTTCATGTGTTCAGCATCTAAGAATCCCACTGTCAAAGTCCTTGAAGATTTTAATGATTTCTACAGTAAAGTTGCTTTTCTATTTATGGAAAAGATTTTCAGAAAATGTGATATTCCTAACTCAGTTACTTGTAACTCAGTTACTTGTAACTGAGAGCCAGGTTTGGAGTAGGAAGGCAATTGCAGTTTGGATGTACCACGTTTGAAATGCATGTGGGATATCCAAGTGAAACTAGCCAGTGGGCTGATATATGAGTAGGAGACTTTGACTACATAGCTAAAACAGGTTTAGGCTAAAGAGTGGGATTTGGGAGTTAAGAGGGTAGTCGAAGTTCCAGGGAGAAGGTGTAACATGAGAAAACAGTGGGTCCCCAGGGCAGAACCCTGAACAGCACCAGTGTGGAAGGGGTGACCGGGGGAAGAAGGCAGGGTAGTCCAAGGAGCACCGTGGAGGCGGTGAAAACCTGGCAGGTGTGATGTCGAGAAAGCCAGGAGACTATTAAGTGGTAAATGGTACATGTTATCAAATGCTGCAGACAGATTAAGTAGTACAAACAGGAAGCTTTTGGCAACAGAGAAATTATCGGTGACATCAGCAGAGCCGTTTCGCTGGTATAGTAATCGAAGCTGCAGTGGGTTGAGGTGTGTGTAGAGGTCCAGTTGTAGGAATAAATACCAAGTCTTTCAAGACTGACTGTGGAGTAAGATGAATCAGTAGCTGACTGGAGGCAGCTGCTGCTTTTTTATTTTTATTTTTTAACCTGAGAGTGATGTATGTATACTGCCAGTTGGCAAAATTCAAGCAAAAGGTGAAGTTGCAGATAAAGGAAGGATATTGAAAGGGCAGCATCCTCATCAACAGGGTAGTTAGTGAGTATGGATTTCGTTATTTTAAAACATCCTCTGAAATAGCCTGATACATCATCCATCTCATAATCGAAATGAACTTGCAGGTGAAGCCTACACTACAGACGTTCACTTTCTCTAAGCCTCCGAATCCTACATCTGTCACTGTCTGTATTAGAGGCCATCTTCACAGTGACCTTGACCAGATGTGATGTCTGTTGTCGGGTACTACCCACATTTCTTTTTGTCGACTCTCTTCTCTATTGTCATTGGTGGCCAACCCCCCGTTGACTGATGTAGCCTTATTTTAGTTATGTTATTCCTTAATTACAGTTCACATTCCATATTTTGTATTCAGGTGTGTAAGCACAGTGGTCAGACAGTCATACGCTTTTTAAAGTGGTCCCCCTGATATTTTCAGTACCCACCTGGCACCCTACATAGTTATTGCAAGATTAATTGTTAATATATCATCTCTTCTCTGATTTATTTTGCGTTGCTCTTACTGTTGAAGGTGAGTCTAAACTTCCATTATTTATTTTTAATTTTGGGTGGAAATGCACCATAAGTTCCGAGAAATCATTTATTGTTTGGAAGGTAGGCGTGAGGAGCACACCTGTTCTCACTTGATGACTCAGTAGCATCTCATCTCAGGATGAGCGGAGGCCCTCGCCTCTCCCCGCCCCCTTCCCCCGCCCTCTTCCCCCTTCCCCCTGCCCCAGGCCTGTCTCACTTGCCTCTCTTTCTCTGAGGCTCTCAGGGCCCTTCTGTCACTTGTTTCCTGGGCATTTCTTCTGTGGCTCACTTCTTCTACCTCTCTGACCTCCTAAATAAAATTTTTCTTTTTTTATTGAATTTATTGAGGTGACATTGGTTAAAACAATCATATGGGTTTCAGGTGTATAATTCTATAATACATCGTCTGTATTTTGTGTTACATATTTTCCATTTCTCCCACCATTTATCCCCACTTTATTCTCCTTTTTCTCCCCCCATCCCTCCTCTCTGACAGCTGTCAGTCTGTGTTCTGTCTATGAGTCTTTCTGTTTTATGTGTTTATTTTGTTCATCAGTGTCCACATGAGTGCATTTTTGCTTGTAAACAATAAAATTACTGGATTGGCAAAGTATTATTGCCTGGAATGAGTAGACCTATTCAATTCTTGAATATCCTAGAAATGTATTGCATGCTTATTTTGTATGCCAGGAGTAAAAAGTTACAATTGAAAGTCTAGAAAAGATTTCTGTTTTCATAGATTATAGCTTCATGGGAAGGATGTCATTAAACAAATAACTATACAGTTTTCTATTTCACTTCTGAAAATTGAACCAGAGATGGTGTAGAGTCCTTTCAGAGCGTATAACAGGGTCAAGACCCCGGGAAGTCAGGGAAAACTTTCCAAAACAAGTGACGTTTAAGCTGAGGTTTGCTGAGTAGGAGTTAAACGTGCCCCCTCTGCCCTGGTGCGTGACGTGCCAAAGGAGTGATGTGCGACGCCCCGGAGCTGCTGCCCTGCTCTTTCTTTCGATATTGTCTGTTGGTCCTGCACAGGTGGTAACGAAGCAGCGAGTGATCCCCTCCCCACCGTCTGGTTTCGTTCACAGATAATCTTTGTCTTTATCTTAACTATACACAAATTTCTGTTGCTTGATGTGCTGCCTCCAGTGATACCCTTTTGCTCCCGGCCAGTATTTGTGAGGAGTCGTGGAGCTGGCTTTACTCTCCACTTCATTTTCCCTTTGCTGCACCATTGGTGGGTGGCGTATTGTTCTGCGTTGCCAGAGCACACAGCACTTACATCATCTTCTGTAAGTCGTAACCTCTTAATCAGGCTTATCCCGCAGTTCAGTGCATTCGTAGTAACTCACCATCGGACTTTCTGCTGTCCTTTGTCCAGCTGTCTCTTGGTTGTATACAGGTTGCTCTCTAGTTGATGCCTCATAGGTATCTCTTGGGAACAGTGGCCTTGAGTTCTTCACATATATATAAGTAGTATGTGAATTTTATACTTTTTAACGTTAGAGTCTTAAAGTTTTATTAGAAAATGTTGCAGTGCTGATTAGTGAGTCTTTATTCTTATATTCACTGCCCCTTTTAATTCTGGAGAGTTTTCTTGGATTATAGTTTTGTTTTTTGTTTTGTTTTATTCATTAGGACTTAGTCCCTTGATTTTCCGCTTTAGGGTTACAATTATACATATTTTAGATATCCTTTGCCTGGGTTCTATATCTATCATTTACTCTTAATTTTTTTTCATTTTCTCTTTTTAAAAAAATTTGTCTTCCCATGTCGCCTGCTTATTCTGTTTCTCTTACTCTGTTTTCTGTGATACTTTTTACTCTTTTGTTAATTCTTCTTTAGCCCATGTTTTCTAGTGGTTTTTTCTTGTTCTTTCCTCAGCTCTTTCAGAGGGATTTTTATATCCCTCTGTTTTAGTCACTTTATTTCCGAGCTTTTTATCAGGAACTCTGAAGAAGCCGAGATGTTTACCTACTTGCAGGCTACACTGAGCTTCCCACAGTCTCAAGCATCAGAGACATAAGACGTGAGACATAAGTCTCCTTGATCGCAGCCGAAGGACTGCAACTTACCGCGGGGAATCTCCCAAGTAGGCCGTAGGGGGTTTTATGAGCCAGGACCCATTGCAGTAACTGGGCTTTTCACTGTCGTCTTAGACAGGATCTGAGGTTGGCAGGATCGTCTGTAGGACTTATTGACTCATAGGAGGTTGTCATTCTGCATTTCGTACTCCCCCCCCCCATCTCCCAGGCACACCAAAGTTCTATTGACTTTGACCCCTCTGACCACAGTATCACAAATGTCCCCCTTCTTGCGCTCAGTGTAAGTGTGCACCGCTGTACCCATAGTTTGAAGAAGGTGGAACCTTACTCTAACCCGAGACAGGTTTCTGAGCTTGTCAGGGTGCTGTACGCCCGCAGCTGACAGGACAGCTGGTGGTCAACAAGTCCTTGCGCAAGGAAGAGAGTTATCAAGCGAGACATCATTTGGGCAAATGCCTTTGAATATAGTGCTTAGTTTGGGGCCTGTAACCTCCTCCTTATTTTCTTTTAATTAATAGGCATCAAATTGGAGGACCATTTAGTGCTTGATGGCCATACAGTTTTGTCAACATGTCCACTATCATTTACAAGGATTTCCCTCAAATTCTGTTAATTGGCCCCTGGGGCTGGGTCTTGTGTTCTCCAAAACCCATGTGTCTGTCAGCATTCCATCTTTTCGATCAAATCTGTCAGATACATGAAGGGTGTGAGATTTTACCTACTTGCAAGGTAACAGATTGGTTTCTGGATGCTGACAGAAGACCTAAGACCCCGGGTCACAGACCAAAAACTTCACTACTTAAAGCAAAGTCAGTAGCCACAGTGCCCACAGACTGGTGCTGGTTCCCTGAGCCCCAGTTCTCGTGGGGCAGCGGAGAAGGAGGCTGGATGGATGGCGCCTGTCCCTGGGGGCAGGAGAGGGTCAGGAGATGAGCGCCTTTTGAACAACTAGTAAACAGCCAACAATCCAGTCTCCCTTTCCTCCCCCAAAGTGCCTTTCCCTGAAGTAGAGCCATCGGGGGTTACACACCTTTTGTCCCCCCTTTGCACATCAGGGAACTCTGACCTGTGGGCGCCTGCTCTGGATCTGCCCCAGCCCTGCTCTTCTGTATGAGAGGTCTCCAGGAGCAGGTAACCGGTGCCAAGGAGAACAGGAGAGAAAACCTGTGGATACCTGTACCTGCAGGGCTCTAGGGCAGCTCTCCTGTACCTTAGCACCCCTTGCTGGCCGTGGAGTGGTACTGCAGTGTCCTGACACCGGCCACAGCACAGTGATTACACCCAGAGCCTTGCAGGGAAAAGGGGCAAAAGCAGTTTCCTCCCCCTTGTCCCACTGTGCCACCAGGCCCTCTGCAAGTCAGGGTTGCCGTTCCCTTCTGTCCTCTCCCATTCAGGCATCTCCGTCACCTCAGGGGTCTCCGAGAGCTGAAAATGAAACTGTAGGACTCACTCTTTTGTGTTTCTGATCTTTGGCTGGGCTTAGAGGAGGGAATCTGCATTCGGGGTTTATCTGTCCCAGACAGGAAGACATTTCTTTTTCCTTAAGGACTGGTTCAAAGTCTGTCTCCCGAAGTGTTCTGGACACTCTAGTTACTCATGGCTAAATACCAGTACGATGTGTACTAAATACCAGTACGATGTGTTTATACATGTCATTTAAAATTCATTAACAGTCATTATTACATTTTTTGTGCTACATAGAAAGTAGGGCCTATGTCTTGTCCTTGCATCATAACCCCACAGCCTTGGAGTGCGTGGGTCTGATGTATTAGCTTCTTCCAAGTAGATTTGAATGGCAAGATCGTTTTCCCCCGGACTTACGTTGCGTTCTTGGACTTCACTGGAAAGTCTGTAAGAAGTGGACAGAAGTCTTGGTATCCGTTTTTCTCTGACACCACCTGTAACCAGGCTTATGAATACATGTCACTAGGTTAGCATTACAGTTAGTGCGCCAATGTGTTGAATGCCAAATACTGACATTCTTTTCTTTTGAACCGTTTTCACAGAGTCCGATTATTCTTATTACAACTTAATCCTGAAGAAAGCTGGACAATTTTTGGACAATTTACATATCAATCTCTTGAAGTTTGCTTTCTCTATAAGAGCATACTCACCAGCTATTCAGATGTTTCAGCAGGTATGTAAAATCCCCAAGCCGTGTGTGACAGAGAAGCATGTGGCGTGTGCATGAATCTGTCTTCAGTAAATGAGTGTCTTCAGTTCAGAAGGATCTACAGACTCACAGTATCTGGTTCCACTGCTTATCATTGTGTATTATCATTGGCATCATTTATGATAATATAACTGATTCGTTATATCATTTTACAGTTATTTGGGATAAGGACATTATGAGGACAGATCACCGTTAAAATTTACTAGAATGACAGCTTCAATTTGATGAAACTTTTCAACAACTTTGAAGCACATGAATTTCTACTATGAAGTTTGATTTTGTTAAAATGTTGTATTCTGCCTGCATGATGATATTTAATTACAGCAATAACTTAATAGTAGTTGATGAGTTATTATAATCAAAGTAATGTGTGAATTTTTTAATCACATTGTAATTATCAACTACTGTAGCTAAATATAATCTTTGAAATCTTAGATTGCAGCTGATGAGCCGCCACCAGATGGGTGTGACGCATTTGTCGTTATCCATGAGAAACACACCTGTAAAATTAATGAGATTAAAAAGCTGCTGAAGAAGGCTACTTCAAGGTAAATGAATGATAGCCCGTAATGAAAGAAGTGGTTCATAAAAAGTGTTCCTGGAGTGGAGTCGTAGGAGTTTTTAATATATTTTGGAGATCAAGAATAAAGTAATTTTAAAAAATAAAATACAAATCAGAAAAAAATACTTCTTTGCAAAAAAAACGTCATGGATCAAAATAACAGCAATTTCTTATAACACAGAAGTTTAATATTCTAAGACATATTAAAGTATATGCTCTATATTCAAAAACTAAATATATGAGCTGGGAGTCTAAGTCCCTTTCTAAAATATGTAAGTACCTTCAGTATTTTATCTTGATTAGTTTTGGATTTTAGAGCATAAATTATACCAAAATACCATAAAATATGAGATATGCCTTATATAGACAATAACCATATAAAACTATGGATTTATCTGGACTGTATGTCTTTAGCTGTAAACTGAATGTGTACCTTGGGAACAAAAATTAATGAAAACAACATAGTTCCTTTTTTTTTTTTTTACTTCCAAGTATTGCATACACATGAGTGTGGGAAGTCGTGTGTGTCGCGTTCTCGTGGGTCTGCTCTCACCCCCATGGGATGTGAGGGCTGCAGGGAACCGATGCGGGTGCTCAGGCTGCCGTGGGCTGTGAGCAGCGGAGCTCCTTGTGTCTGACCCAGAAGTCTCGTGTCTTCTGCCAGCGTCCATGAAACAGTAAATGCAAACTCAGTAGCTTGTAAATTAGGGTGTAATCAGTTCCCCAGCCTGACAGAAGCCATATATATAAAGCATTAGACTTTTTTTCTGTGAACCCTAGACATAATCCTTGTTTTTTACTACACTATCAGTCTTGATCAGTGGTAGTTGTTTTTTCTTATTTGAGCAAATATTTCTGAATCTACATATGTATTTACAGTAATAGAAGTATTTTATTTTTCCCAGTCTGTACATAGGTTTCTCATTGCTAATTTTTTTCAGTTTTTGTTTTGTTTTCAGTTTTTACGGATTAGATTTTTGTTTTTTAAAGAAATAACTGATAGAATTTAGAATTTATTCTACTTTTGTTGCTGTGTTTCTAATCTGTTACCTTTTGTGTTTGTATTTGCTTCTTTTGCCTTTGGTTGGGCTAAACACTCAGCTTGTTTTCCCCTTTTTTTCTAATAACACATGTAGGACATCAAAGTGGTACTCTCAGTGTTCCATTTCCTAAAAGAAGCCCTTTGCAGTAGTTGGATTTCTTTGTTGGAGGCAGGGCGAGAAAGTCGTGTGAACCAAGGGTGGTGCTGGTGGCTGCCACTTTCTCCCAGACACACAAACCGCGTGTTAGTAAGTCTGCCAAGTTTGGGGGCGGGTGTGTGCCATGGACCTTTGCGCCTTGGAGCGGGAAGTAGGGGAGAGGTGAGCAGTCACTCTGCCTTTCCTTTTGTCTAATGTGTTTCAAGGAGTAGTTTCAAGTAGTAAGGTATTAGGTTTTAGTGATAAGTCTGACCATCGGTTATGATTCTAAGTTAAACTACATACATTCTATATTAGTGGGTTATTTTTGCTTGCAATGTATGCTATAAGGTTTATGTTAGTTTTCAGCTTCATTGGAGAGTTTTTTGTCTTTTTCTGTGTCTTCGAAAATATTACTGGAAATTGGGTAATGGACTGTTAGGGACCTCTCTCCAAATGCCACTTCAAATCAGCGTGCCCTTTTTGTGTGTGTGTGTATGACTGTAAACTTTTTGTCCAAAATGGAAAGCTGTATTTTTAAAGAAATAAATTATATGTGGTTATTATAAAATAATTTAAATACTTGAGAAAAATGCAAAGTAGAAAGGGAAAGTGACCCATAACTATGTTAACAGTTTGGTATATATATTTTTTAACCAACATGAGATCGTGCTTTAAAGTACAATCCTAGAACCTTTTCTCGTTCAATTATACATCCTTACATGCCATATGCATAAACGAGTATAAATGGTGCGCTCTGTTTTTACACTTTATTTCTAACATTTTACTACCTTTTTATTCTTTCCCTTTATAATTTTAGTCAGTTCAGTAAATGAAAATTTCTATTTTTCCACCTATATAATTTTTCTTTATTGTATTTTCCATTACCATTCAGTTCCCTTATACTCCCCTCCCCCCAGCAATCACCACACTGCTGTCCATGTCCATGAGTCCTTTTAAAATGTGTCATAATCATCTGTTAGGAGTACAGAATCTGTTCCTTTAGTTTTTAGATGCATCTTATGTTAACTTACATTGAAAGGATATATTCCCAATGTGCTGTTTAAACATAAAAAGTAGAATAATGTGCTCTGGCTGGGTGGCTCTGTTGAATGGAGCATCGTCCCATACACCTAAAAGATTGTGGGTTCAATCCCCAGTCAGGGCACAAACCTACACTGCAGGTTTAATTCCTGGTCCAGAAGTATTAGAGAGGCAACCAATTGATGTTTCTCTCTCTCACCCCCCCTCCTCTCTTTCTAAAAACTCAGTAAAAACACCCTGGCTGGTGTGGCTCAATGCATTGAGTATCAGCCTGTCATCCAAAGGGTCGCCAGTTCGATTCCCTGTCAGGGCACATGCTGGCATTGCAGGTCCACCAGGTCCCCAGTTGGAGGCACATGAGAGGCCACCAACTGATGTTTCTCTCTCACATTGATGTTTCTCTCCCTCTCTTTCTCCTTCCCTTCCCCCTCTCTGAAAATTTAAAAAAAAAATTTTTAATCAATAAAAACATATCCTTGGATGAGGATTTAACAAACTAGAATAATGCAACATGTACATGAAACAATCACAAAATTCTCTTTATTGCAGACTTCTTGAACTTCTCCCCAGAAACAACCAGTGCTCTCAAGTTCTTGTATGTCCCCCGGAAATAGGCAAGGTGTCCTTAGAGGGCAGTTCAAGGATCTGACTGGCTTACTCAGTGATTCATGGATCTGGCAGCATCCTCTCTCGCAAACAGAAAGGTGCTCCAAGGAGCTGGACAACATGGGTGTTTATGGGCAGAAAGAGGCTGGGACAGCAGTTATTTCCGGCAAGCCTACCTTCTCATCGAGGAGTGCCTGGGATCTCATCAGGCAGGTTGATATCCCACTAGTAATGACCAGGAAATTTGGGACTGATTGATTTAAAATTCCATTCTTGGAGAGGCTGAAACTGCCATTAGATTAGGTGTTAAGTCTTGGCTTAGTAAAAGCGACTCCATTTTGGGCATTGTTTCTTTTTAACAGTTTATTCAAATCATAACTACATAGATATATACCCCTACTTTTATCATTTGTGGTGGTATGCCACCCAATATTTGGTTCCTTCCTTTTTTCCCTTGACAGTATTCTTGATTGATATTTGAGATTAAGTGAAAGTTTGCAAGAGTGGGAGGAAAACATGATTATTTCTTGAGCACCACGCCTGTGCTTTATTCTCTGCCAGATGATGTGCAGGCATTTGGTAAATCCATAGAACATTCCTAGGTAGTAGCCGAGATTCCTCTTCTGGAACCGGTAAGCAAATAGGCCCAAAAGTGATGGGATCTGTGACAAAGTTAAGGTCTGTGCTTGGCCCGGGTCACAGAGTTAAGTGTGTCATTAAGCTAGAACTTAAAACAACTGTGCTTGATTGGAAAACCCACGGTCTCTTCACTGGCATACACTGTAGCATTGTTACTCAGGTCCTCTTTCCCTCTCGCCTTGACTTAGTGTTGCTTTTAAAAGTAGTGAATGAGTGAAAGATTGTAGAGATCTGAATTCATTAAATAAAAGGCTATTTCTTAACATCTTTTTAAAATTAAATTCATTATTTTTTGTTGTTCTTTCTGCCTGTACAGATTGTTAAAGGATGTGGGCTTAGGAATTCCTCAGACATGAGTAGGAATTCTGGCATTCTGTTTGAACTTCTCCTGGATACTTAGAAACCTTAGACGTTTCAGTCCATGATAGTAACTAAAGGATTTGTTCTGTGTGAAGACTCCCGCACAGTGCCTGACAAAGATGTCGAAGCCTATTTATGATGGTAGAGCCGGACCATAGAAATTTTTTTCCCCCTAAATCATATTTGAGGATTTAATGAATTGTTATTTATACAGGGTGAAGCAAAAGTAGGTTTACAATTGTTCATATGCAGAATAATACAGTAATAAATAACGATACAAGAATAAAATGTTGTGTACTCACAATTTTAAACCTGCTTTTGCCCCACCCTGTATTAAGTACTGACAATCTTTGTATCCTATAGGAGTGCCTTTGTTTTGTTTTTTTAAATAGTTGGGACTCATTTTCAGGAGATGTGAGCTATAATAATAAAAAATTATATTGTAATTAAAGAAAATATAAATTTTATTTCATTGAAAAATATGTTTGCATTATGTTTAGTGTTTAAAGACAGTGAACCTTGTTGAAAAATAAAGTATTTCTAATATTTGATTTTAGGTTAATCAAAGTTTTCCCCTGTCATTTAGAAGTTAGGTGCACTGAGTCACCATAGGACATTTAAACTCATTGTCCGTGGAAGTCTGTGTGTGTGCATTTGTATTCCTGTAAGTTCTTTGACGATAATAAATTATAAAGTGTCATGATATATCTCTTACATGCTCCTTACTTTCAATTATTTTAAAAGCTTATGGGTTTTTTTGTTTTTGTTTTTTCCTTTTAGGCCTAGACCTTACCTTTTTGAAAGGGATCATAAGTTTCCTACAGACAAAGAGAACTTACCAGTGATTATTCTGTACGCAGAAATGGGTACCAGGTCATTTGGGAAATTTCACACAGTATTGTCTGAAAAAGCTCAAAATGGGGAAATTCTGTATGTTCTTCGTCATTATATTCAGGTATGTGTTTGTTTTACTTGTTATTTTGGGTATAAAAATACATTTTATGGTTATTATATTTTACATACTGACTTTCATCAGGAATGTTATTTAAAGATTTTAAAAACTGTCAACATAAGAAATAAACCTGTAGGCAATTTTTGTGAGTTTCCTTGAGCCAAACTGAGGACAATTGCCAGGAAGCAAAACCTCAGCAGATGGAGTAAATGCTCAGGAAAATGGCAGATAGATTGTTTTTATTTCTCAGTTATAGATTTTAAAATATATGTTCTGAATACTCACCATTTCTTTCATACTTTGGAAACATATTCTAGTGTATTTCTGGTCACCTTATTTTAAAAAGTTATTTACAGGACAAATATTAATTTGATGGTGTCAAGTTTATCCAACTTTAATGGTTTGCCCTCATGATGTCAGAAAGACATTGTCTTAGATTTTTTTTAGAGAATTAAAATGCTATACTTTGTTTTCATCCTTTATCTCTCTGCAGTGTATTTGAATACCGTATTTTGCTATGTATAATACACACTTTTTTGCCCAAATTTTTGAGGGAAAAATGAGGGTGCACACTATACATGGGAATTAGTAGTGAAATGTAGGTGCACATTATACACAGTAAAATATGGTATTTTGTGGGATAGAAAATTCTAGGTTTCCCATATGAAAATCGTAAGTCCTCCCATAATCAATTGAACTATTAGATCTTCATTTTAAGCCATCATATATGAAGCTTCCTTACAGGCATATTTGTTTTTATATTCTGTTATGTTTCAGTAATATATATTTGTTCAACACAAATATAACATTTTAATTGCATAAAGCAATCTGAGAAAGAAGGACAAAGCTGAAGACATGATGCTTTTTGACTTCAAACTATATTATAAAGTTATAGTGATCAAAACAGTATGGTATCAGCATAACAACAGACACATCGATCCATGGAACAGAATAGTGAGCTCAGAAATAACCCATCCATATATGATAAACTAATATTTGCGAAAGGAGCCAGGAATACTCAGTGAAGAAATAGTCTCATCAATAAACAGTGCTAGCAAAACTGGAATGCCACATGCCAAAGATGAAACTGGACCCTATCTTATACCACTCACAAAAATTAACTTGAGATGAGTTAAAGACTTAAAAATCTGAACCCATAGGACTCCTTAGAAAAATAGGGAGAGTGCTCCTGTCATTGATATTGGCAATGACTTTCTGGATTTGACACCAAAAGCAAAGGCAATAAAAGCAAAAGAAAACAAGGGGACTCTATCAAACTAAAGATCCTCTTCAGAGCAAAGAAAACTGACAAAATGGAAAGGCAACCTATGGAATGGAAAAAATATTTGCAAATCAGGTTTCTGGTAAGGGATTAATACCCCAAATATATACAGAGCTCATACAACTCAATAACAAAACAAACAAAAACCCCAGTCCCATTAGTAAATGGGCAAAGGATCTGAACAGACGTTTTTCTAAAGTAAACATTCAGATGGCAACAGGTATGTGAAAAAGTGCTCAACATCACTAATCACGGAGGAAATGTAAACCAAAACCACAATGAGATACCATAAGACAGCTGTTAGAATGGCTGTTACCAAAAAAGTGAAAATAGAAATGTTGGTGAGGATATGGAGAAAAGGGAGCCCTTGTGCACTGTTGGGAATGTAGGCTGGTGTTGCCAGTATGGAACAGAGTATGATGGGTCTTCAAAAAAATTAAAAAAGGAACAGCAATTTTACCTGTGCGTGTATTTCACAAGGAAGTCAAATCACTATCTGGAAAGATACCTGCACCCCTAAGTTCATTGCAGCGTTACTTAAAAAAGCCAAGATACAGGAGCAACCTGTTTATCAATGGATGAATGGATAATAAAATGTAGTGTGTGTGTTTGTGACATTCTTCCTTGAGAAAGAATGAAATCTTGCCATCTGCAGCATGAATGGACCCTGAGGGCATTTTGCGAAGTGACATAAATCAGAGACAGACAAGTACTATGCTCACTTATATGTGGAATCTAAAAAATAACAACTCAGGGAATAAAATATTTATGATGTGGGGGCAGTGGAATAGCAGTTGAAGGCGGTCACAGGTACAGACTTCAGTCCTAGGATAAGCAGCTTCTGGGGATGTGATGTACAGCATGGTGACTCGAGTTAACTACACTGTATTATGTAGTGGAAAGTTGCTAGAGAACGGACCCTATAAGTTCTCAAGAAGAAAAACTACATGTGAGGTATGGACATTCACTAAAGTTTATTGTGATTATTTCATTATATATACATATACCAAATGATTATGTTGTATACCTTATTCATACAGTATTGTATGTCAGTTATATCAGAATAGGAATGGAAGTTGGAGATTGCAGTGTATGTTTGTTTTTAAAAAATGCCTCCCAAGTGATTTTGATATGGTCCCAGAGAACGTGCTCATCTATTGGGAATCAGTCCCAGTTATTCTTTGGACGATGTGACTGTTAAGTACACTGCTGTATAATCTTACTAGCCAACTCTCTGGGCCGTTTTTAACATCAAATTATAGCCTTACACTAGTACACTCAAAATATTTGTATTGTAAATCCAATCAACATGTAATTCTAATAAAAATACTTATTTATGCTACTTTTTGAATAGCTACCTTTTTGTGGGGAAAAGAAAATACAATTCAAATTTTACAGTACTACATTTTCAAATGGAGAAAGTAAATATGAATTTAATAAACATTTATCTTTATTACTGAAGAGCTAATAATATTTCAAAAGTGACCATGGAAATTGGTTATGTGAAATTGCATTTCTTTTATGAACTATAACAAACTATGTGGACTTAGAGCTTTGAGTTGCTTAGCCACCAAGTGATTGTCTTTTGTGTGAATAGTCAATGTATTTTTAAATTGAGCTGTGTGAAATTGAAAAGGCTTTAAGCGATTTTCAACTTCATCAGCTTACTGTCATTACAAACAACCTAGTTTTCTCATGCTGTCTTTCATCATAGCCTATGTCCCCCAAATTAGCAAATTAAATTTTAGTGTGGGCAGCAATGTTAAATACTTGTCTGCATATCTAGAAGTAATTCTTACGTCATCTTATTTGGAAATAGAATAGTCTAGGAATAGTCACCACTCTGGTAACACATTTATTTTTAAGACTGGGGAAAAGTTTAGGGAGGAAAGAAGAGAATAAAAAGAGTAGTATGTTTTTAAGGGCCTTCTTTCCTCCAATTTCTGCTTTTTACTCTGTCATGTTTAGGGTCACCAATTTCACCTGGGCAAACTTGAATTAAGCAAAGACACATTTTTGAGGGAGTTTGCTGAGTACTAGGTCTGACTGATTTCCTCACCTGTGAAAGAATAGGCCAAGTCGTAGTGATTGTAGCACAACTGGTAAGAATTTCAATATAGAGGCTAGAAAGGAACGTAGACAAACTCAGCTTGCTGACCTTTTCACTCAGCCTAGTTAGTACTTAATCCTCTCTGGGTCCATCATGCTGTTGCAACAGGTAAGATCGCTTACCTTTCAAAAAAAAATGTGGTGACTTCTCTTCCTTAATAGGGTTATCTCTAGAAGTACATTTTATATTCTTTATAGAAAGGGGGAAATGAGGTCAAAAGTCTGGTCATAAACACTTCAGACAGTTCAGTTTTAGGCAGTTGTTGCCCTTTGTTGCAAAAACGCACCGATTTGTGGCATTTCGTGTATTTCACTCATTGGGAGATGTGGAGAAAAGTGAAACCAGGTTGATGAGGCACCGGGTGGCGGTATCTCCTTTGCCTCTACCTTCCAGTATTTGTTTTTGGCAACTCCAGTCCTGTGTCTAGACAGCTGGCAAATGATCACCCTTTGCTGCTTTAGCGAGTCGTGTGTGGTCCCCCAAAGCAGTACAATTTTGCTGAAACTCGATTGTATTGGGTCCTCTGTTAATGAACCCGTGGGAGAGAAGGGAAAGTGACCAGGGTATGACGACAGGAAAGGTCAGATGTCTTCAATATAAAAGAGTAATCAAAACGGTCATGGCAAGGTTTTCAGGAAGTTGGACAAGTGGACATCAACCAAATTCTGGTTCCTTGATAGACTGCCTAGAGAGAGTATAAATAGCCCCCAAGTAATTTTCAATGATTTGAAAGTTTTATTACAGTAATTCATCCTAATGTCCTAATGCACATTAAGAGTGAATTGAAAGAAAGATATTTGAGTAAATATTTTCTCTGTAAAAAAAAAATCAATGTGTTTGAACAGAAACCAGCATCACGGAAAATGTACTTATCTGGCTATGGTGTGGAACTGGCAATTAAGAGTACAGAATACAAGACGCTGGACGATGCCCAAGTTAAAAGTAAGTTTTCTTTCCGTATTTGAGTAGAATGAAAATTTGGAGGTGTATATGTGTGTGTTTCATTAAAAATTTCGCACCTAAAATTCTACCTGTGTTAATATGAGTCTGCAGATGGAGCAAACGTGTTCTTCCCAACTTTGGAATTTAATTGTAAACTGAAAGAAATATATCTAATATTGCAGTCAGCCTTGGTTCTCAAACATGTTCCATCTGGAACAGTTTGGTTCTCAACCAAGTGGTTCTCAGGACAGTGTCTCGGTTGTCCAACAGGAATTTGGCTCTAGACCTGACAGTCTGTTCATGCTGCCACCTGTGTGCTCCGTCACACGTCTCTCAGGTGACGGAGAAAATGCACGATGTGAGTGTGATTCGGTGTCTGAACAAATCGCTTCTCGAACAACCTGCTGTAATAAAGTTTGAGAAGCAAGGCTCCCCTGTGTCATGCTCTCGTAAACTTATTTAAAAATTGGAAATAGCATCTTATTTTGCTTATACCTAATGGCTTACCAACCATTTTTAGCAACATTTAAAAACGATACTGCAAGTTATACTGAGGCAATAGATGAAGCTCTATATGGCTCCAGGTGGCTGGCCCAGGTGCTCGGGCTGGCCCGGGGAGCCCAGCACCCCCTTGGGTGGGGCTAAGGGATCTAAGGAATCAGTATCTTAGCCTGAAATTCCTTCATAACTCACTGCCTTAGGAAGGTTCCTCTGAAGTATTTATTTATAATGAAGTTAGGATGATGGTGGGTTTCTTTTTTTCTTTTTTGAAGTGGGATGAGAGAGGTCTGTGAATTGTTTTTGATGAAGTAGATTGGTTACATTTGTGATCTATAAATCAATCCATCTATCATCTGGGTACTAAACACATTCTCTAGATGAAGAACTCTGGAGACCAAAACTAAAGAAGTTTCATAAACTTGTGAAAATCTTTTATTACCTGGTTTCTCAGAAATTCATTTATAGTTAAGAATTTTAAATTCATTCATTTATATGCTCTCAGATGTGGCTTCTGCTTCAACTTCATTTTTCCGCTCAGGATCTGGTCCTGAAGGCCCTGCCCTGATTAAAGACTTAGCCCTGGCCACTTCCACTGACTGTGGGTCAGATAAAGATCTGTATTACTGTGCCTTAAATTCTGAAGAGTTACTGGGGAAGTATAGTAGAAATAATATTCAAACTTTATATATTTTCTAGGATAGATCACATGTTAGGACACAAAACAAGTCTCAGTAAATTTGTAAAGATTGAAATTATCTCAAGCATCTTCTGTGACTATAATAATGTGAAACTGGAAATTAATCAAAAGGGAAAAAAACGGGAAAACACAAAGACATGGGGGCTAAATAGCAGGTCACTAAACAATGAATGGGTTAACAATGAGATTAAGGGAGAAATCAGAAGGTACCTTGAGACATGAAAATGAGGACGCAACAGCCCGGGATCTGTGGGACGTGCGGAAAGCAGACCTCGGGGAAATCGACAGCACGAGAGGCGTACCTCAGGAAAGAAGAAAATTCTCAAACATAACTGTACACGTAAAGGTACTAGGAAAAAAAAGCAACAAAACCCAGATTGAGTAAAACACTAAAGATGTAAGCAGAAATAAATGAAAGGGTCTAATCAATACAAAACATCAATCAGACCAAGAGCTCATTCTTAGAAAAGAAAGATGAGATTGACAAACCTTTCACCAGACTCATCAGGAAAAAAGACCCAAATAAATACAATCGGAAATGAAACAGGAGAGGTAACAACTGACACCAAAGAGATACAAAGAATTGTCAGAAATATTACAGCTGGACTTCCGCCAACATGGAGGCATAGGTGGAAGCACTGTGCCTTCTCACACAACCAAGTTTAAAAACAACAAAGTTTTAGCAACAAAAACGCAGCCAAACGACAGAAAATTGTACTACACAGAAGTCTGACAACAACGAACCTTTCAGCCAAACCGGTAAGAGGGACAGAGCCAGCAGCAGAGCAGGGTTGGGCAGGAAAGATCCACTGGACCAAACCCAGGTGCGCATCCCAGGTGCGCCAGCAGCCATGGGCGGATCCCAGGTGTGGAGAAGCGGGCGGACCCACTGAGGGCGCAAGGTGGTGGACTCGCTGAGGGAGGACCGTGGTCACACATTCACACACAGATAAACTGGTGAAGGAGCTAATGGTGGTGAGACAGACGGCACAGGCCCCAGTAGCGGGAAGCGGCAGAGGGGACCGCCATTGTCCCTCTCTGACCCCGCCCCCACATACAGCATCACAGACCAGCGACCTGGGTGGCCCCACCCTGGTGAACACTTAAGGCTCCGCTCCTCATACGTAAGAGTCACGAACAGATCAAAACATGGCTCAAGAAGAACTCAGAGCCCCAGAGCCGATAAATCTAGGTGAACAAGAAATTGCCAAACTTTCAGATGCACAGTTCAAAACACTGGTGATCAGGATGCTCACAGAACTGGTTGATTTTAGCCACAAATTAGAGGAACATATGAAGGCTAAACTAATTGACATGAAGGAAAATACACAGGAAAGCAATAGTGATGGAAAAGAAACTGGGACTCAAATCAAGAGAGCACACTAGAAGGAAGAAAAAAATGACCAAACAGAAAAGGATGAAGAAATAAGAATTCAAAAAAAGGAGGGGAGGCTTAGGAACCTCCAGGACATCTTTAAATGTTCCAACATCCGAATTATAGAGGTATCAGAAGGGGAAGAGGAACAGCAACAAGTGGAAAACTTATTTGAACAAATAATAAAGGAGAATTTCCCCAATCTGGCAAAGGAAATAGACCTCCAGGAAATCCAGGAAGCTCAGAGAGTCCCAAAGAAGTTGGACCCAAGAAGGAACACACCAAGGCACATCATCATTACATTAGCCAAGATTAAAATGAAGGAGAGAATCCTAGAAGCAGCAAGAGATAAGGGGACAGTCACCTACAAAGGAGTTCCCATCAGACTGTCAGTGGATTTCTCAAGAGAGACCTTACAGGCAAGAAGGGGCTGGAAAGAAGTACTCCAAGTCATGAAATCCAAAGACCTACAACCAAGATTGCTCTATCCAGCAAAACTTTCATTTAGAATAGAAAGGCAGATAAAGTGCTTCTCAGATAAGATCAAATTCAAGGAGTTCATCATCACCAAGCCCTTATTATATGAAATGTTAAAGGGACTTACCTAAGAAAAAGAAGATTAAAAAGATGAACAGTGAAAGGACAGCAAACTCACGGTTATTAACAACCACACCTAAAACAAAAGCAAACTAAGAGGACAGCTAAATCAGGAGCAAAACCACAGAAATGAAGATCACATGGAGGGTTAGCAACAGGGGAGGGGGAAAAGAAGGGGGGAGAAGGTACAGAAACTAAGTAGCATAGAAAATGGTAGGTAGAAAATAGATAGGGGGAGGGCAAGAATAGTAGGGAAAATATAGAATCTAAAGAATTTGAGACACGTGGTCATAAACAAAAGGGGGGGAATGGTGGGGGAGGGGGTGTGCAGGGTAAAAGGGAATGAAGGGGGGAAATAGAACTGTAATGGCCTAATCAATAAAATATATTTAAAAAAAGAGTTGTGGAAGCAGACGTCCCTGTCTTGTTCCCAATCTTAAGAGAAACACTATTAGTTTTGAACATGATGTTGGCTGTGGGTTTGTCATGTATAGCCTTTGTTATGTTGAGGTACATTCCTTCCATAACCTCTCAAACTGACATTTGAGAGTGTTTTTAATCAAATGGGTGATATACTGTATCAAATCCTTTTTCTGAATTTATGCATATAATCATGTGATTTTTATCCTTCATTTTGTTTATGTGACGTATCATACTTCTTTGTAGATTCTCTATCAACCTTCCTTCCCCAGAATAAATCCCACTTGATCATGGTATATGGTCTTTTTGATGTATTGCTGTATTTGGTGTGCTAATATATTTTGTTGAGGATTTTAGCATCTATGTTCATCAAGGGTATTGGCCCAAATTGTTTTTCTCTGTAATATCTTTATTTGGTTTGGAATTAGGATGTTGGAGGGCTTGTAAAATGAGCTTAAAAGTGTTCCCTCCTCTTGAATTTTTTGGAACATTTTGAGAAGGTGTTAATTATTTAAAAGTTTGGTAAAATTCATCTGTGAAGCCATCTAGTCCAGGACTTTTGTTTGTTGCAAGTTTTTTGATCACTTCTTCAATTTCATTAGTTGTAATCAATCTATTCAGATTTTCTGATTCTTCCTAATTCAGGTTCTAAAAATTATTTCTAGAAATTTATCCATTTCATCCATATTATCTAACTTGTTGGCATGTAGTTGGCTGTAATATTTCTTTTTCCTCTTTTTTATTTTTATTTTTGTATTTTATTTTTTAAAATATATTTTATTAATTATGCCATTACAGTTGTTTTATTTCCCCCTTCGTTCCTTTACCCTGCACACCCCCTCCCCCACCATTCCCCCCCTTTTGTTTATGACCACGTGTCTCAAATTCTTTAGAGTCTATATTTCCCATACTATTCTTGCCCTCCCCCCTATCTATTTTCTACCTACCATTTTCTATGCTACTTAGTTTCTGTACCTTCTCCCCCCTTCTCCTTCTCCCACTCCCCTGTTGCTAACCCTCCATGAGATATTCATTTCTATGGTTCACTCCTGATTTAGCTGTCCTCTTAGTTTGCTTTTGTTTTAGGTGTGGTTGTTAATAACCGTGAGTTTGCTGTCCTTTCACTGTTCATCTTTTTAATCTTCTTTTTCCTAGGTAAGTCCCTTTAACATTTCATATAATAAGGGCTTGGTGATGATGAACTCCTTGAATTTGATCTTATCTGAGAAGCACTTTATCTGCCTTTCTATTCTAAATGAAAGCTTTGTTGGATAGATCAATCTTGGATGTAGGTCTTTGGATTTCATGACTTGGAAGACTTCTTTCCAGCCCCTTCTTGCCTGTAAGGTCTCTCTTGAGAAATCCACTGACAGTCTGATGGGAACTCCTTTGTAGGTGACTGTCCCCTTATCTCTTGCTGCTTCTAGGATTCTCTCCTTCATTTTAATCTTGGCTAATGTAATGATGATGTGCCTTGGTGTGTTCCTTCTTGGGTCCAACTTCTTTGGGACTCTCTGAGCTTCCTGGATTTCCTGGAAGTCTATTTCCTTAGCCAGATTGGGGAAATTCTCCTTTATTATTTGTTCAAATAAGTTTTCCACTTGTTGCTGTTCCTCTTCCCCTTCTGATACCTCTATAATTCGGATGTTGGAACATTTAAAGATGTCCTGGAGGTTCCTAAGCCTCCCCTCCTTTTTTTGAATTCTTGTTTCTTCATCCTTTTCTGTTTGGTCATTTTTTTCTTCCTTCTAGTGTGCTCTCTTGATTTGAGTCCCAGTTTCCTTTCCATCACTATTGCTTTCCTGTGTATTTTCCTTCATGTCAATTAGTTTAGCCTTCATATGTTCCTCTAATTTGTGGCTAAAATCAACCAGTTCTGTGAGCATCCTGATCACCAGTGTTTTGAACTGTGCATCTGAAAGTTTGGCAATTTCTTGTTCACCTAGATTTATCGGCTCTGGGGCTCTGAGTTCTTCTTGAGCCATGTTTTGATCTGTTCGTGACTCTTACGTATGAGGAGCGGAGCCTTAAGTGTTCACCAGGGTGGGGCCACCCAGGTCGCTGGTCTGTGATGCTGTATGTGGGGGCGGGGTCAGAGAGGGACAATGGCGGTCCCCTCTGCCGCTTCCCGCTACTGGGGCCTGTGCCGTCTGTCTCACCACCATTAGCTCCTTCACCAGTTTATCGGTTCGGCTGAAGGGTTCATTGTTGTCAGTCTTCCATATAGTTCAATTTTCTGTCGTTTGGCTGCGTTTTTGTTGCTGAAACTTTGTTGTTTTTAAACTTGGTTGTGTGAGAAGGCACAGTGCTTCCACCTATGCCTCCATCTTGGCAGAAGTTCTCCCTGCTTCTGCAACTCTTATTCAACATAGTACTGCAAGTCCTAGTCCCAGAAATTAGACAAGAAGAGAAAACAGGCATCCAAATTGGAAGGAAGAAATGAAGTTGTTGTCATTTGCAGATCACATGATATTATATATAGGGAACCCTAAAGATTCCACCAAAAAACTACTAGAAGTGATAAATGAATTTAGTAAAGTAGCAGGACACAAATAAATATCCAGAAATCAGTTGCATTTTTACACATCAATAATGAACTATCAGAAAGGGAAACTTAAGAAAACAATCCTGTATGTAATTGCATCAGAAATAATATAAAATACCTGGGAATATAACCAAGAATATAAAAGTCCTGTATTTGGAAAATTATAAGACACTGAAGAAATTGAAAAAGATACAAATAAGTGGAATCATGTTTATGAATAGGAAAAATTAACATAATTGAAAAATCCTTACTACCCAAAGCAATCTATAGATTCAATGCAATTTCTATCATGATACCAATGGCGTTCACAGAACTAGAACAAATAGCCCAAGAATTTATATGGAACCAAAAAAGATCTGGAATAAACAGCAATCTTGAGAAAGGACAAAGTTGGAGGTATCACAATATCTGATACCTGACTATACTATAAAGTCATAGAAATCAAGACAGCATGGTACCAACATGAAAACAGACATGTAGATCAGTGGAACAGAATAGAGAGGCCAGAGATAAACCCACACTTTTGTGGCCAATTAGTATTTGACAAAGGAGGCAATAACATAAAATGGGGTAAAGACAACATACTCAATCATTGGTTTTGGGAAAATTAGATATGGAAAAAATGAAACTGGATGATATTTCACCATACACAGGAATGAAGTCAACATGGATTATAGACTCAAAAACTTAAAAATTATAGATGAAAACATAATAAAACCTCAGATATTTCTTGTAACAGTATTTTTTCTAATATATCTCCTCAGGCAGGGGAAAGAAAAGGAAAAATAAACAAATGGAACTACATTAAACTAAAAAAATTTTGCACCGCAAAGCAAGAAAATGAAAAGACAACCCACTGAATGGCAGAACATAATAATCAATGATATATCTGATAAGGAATTAATATCTAAAGTTTATGAAGAACTTACACAATTCAACATGAAAAAAGCAAACAATGCAATAAAAAAATGGGCAAAGCGCCCTGACCAGTGTGGCTCAGTGGGTTGGGCATCGTCTTGCAAAGTGAAAGTTCACCAATTTGATCCCCAGTGAAGGCACATTCCTGGGTTGTGGGTTCGGTTCCTGTGAGAGGCAACCAATCAATGTTTCTCTCGTTCTCCACCCCCCCACCAATTCTCCTCTCTCTAAATAAATAAATAAAATCTTTTAAAAAATAAATATAAAATGGGCAAAGGACTTGACCAAATACTTCTTAAAAGAGGAAATACAGATGTGGTCAGTAGATATATGAAAGGATGCTCAATGTCACCACTCATCGGGGAGGTGCAATTAAAACCACAACGAGATACCAGCTCACACCTGTCAGAATGGCCATCAACAAACAAGTGCTGGCGAGGACGTGGAGACAGGGAACCCTCGTGCACTTTGGTGAGAATGCAGTTTGGTGCAGCCACTGTGGAAAGCAGTATGGAGTTATCTCAAAAAATGAAAAGTGGGCCCTCACTGGGTGCCTGAGTTGGAGCATCATCCTGTGCACCAGAAGGCTGCAAATTTGATTCCTAGTCAGGGTTAACAATACCTAGGTCGCAGGTTCAACCCCTGGTCAGAGCACATACGGCAGGTCAACCAGTCAGTGCTCTCTCACATCAGTGTTTCTCTCTAAAATCAATTTAAAAAGAATGTCCTCAGGTGAGGATTAAAAACAATTAAAAATGCAACTGCCTTATGACCCAGCAGTTCTACTTCTGGGAATATAACTGAAGAAACCCAGAACAGTAATGTGAAAAAACATATGCACCGTACGTTCATCGCAGCATTACTTACAACTGCCAAGATTTGGAAGCAGCCCAAGTGCTCATCGGTAGATGAGTGGATGAAACAGCTGCACCGAACTGCATTCCCACCAACAGTGCATGAGGGTTCCCTGTCTCCACATCCTCGCCAGCACTTGTTCGTTGACCTGATGGCCTTTCTGACAGGCGTGAGGTGATACCTCACTGTGGTTTTATTTGCATCTCCCTGGTGAGTGGTGACATTGAGCATCCTTTCATATCCCATTACACAGTGGGATACCACTCAGTTGTTAAAAAGGAGGAAATCTTAACTTTGTGACAGCACGGATGGACCTGTAAAGTGTTATGCTAAGTGCAGTAAGCTAGTCAGAGAAAGACAAATACCATATGATCTCATTTATATGTGGAATCTAATGAACAAAATAAACTGACGAACAAAATAGAAACAGACTCATGGATACAGAGAACAGACTGACGGCTGGCAGAGGGGAGGGGGGTTGGGGGACTGGGTGAAGGGATGAAGCAAACACATGTATGTGTGTATAAAACACAGACACAACAATGTGGTGATAGAGGGAGAGGGAGGTGGGTGTAGGGGGAGCGTGCAAGAAGGGAAAATGGAGACAAAAAGGGACTGCTTTGGGCAATGAGTGCTCAGTACTGTGTGCAGATGAGCTTATGTTGAGTTGTACACTTGGAACCTGTATGGTTTGATGAACCAATATCACCTCAGTTCAGTTTTTTTAAAAAACCTCATAGACACAACCGTGTGGTGGTTAATAGAGGGGAAGGGGGAGGGGAGGCAGGAGAGGATGAAGGGGAATAAATGCTGATGGAAGGAGACTTGACCTTGGGTGGTGAACACATGGCACAGTATACAGATAATGTGTTATATACAACTGTACACTTGAAATTTTTTACATTTTATTAACCAGTGTCACCCAATAAATCCAATGAAAAATAAATCAAAATTAAAAATGCACACTCGGGCATGCAGGCATCTGCTTATACACATGTCATTGAGCTGATCATGAAGGAAAGACCAGGTGAAACAAATGGAATATAATTCCTTTTTAGTTCTTCTAATATTTGATCACATATTCTTTTCCCATTCTGAAAATGTTTTTTTTTTCTTTTCCAAAATATAGCCGTGGCTAATGCTATTGTTGAAGATGAAGTTGAAACAAACGAAGTTCAAGGATTTCTCTTTGGGAAACTAAAGTAAATATGAAATGAAATAAAGTTATATTATTATACTCTTAAGTTTGTTTCTAAAGGAACATGCTGTGTTGGCATATTTTAAATATAGAGATGTAATTATTTTTATGTATTATGAAAGTAATGCACAGTTAATGCAAGAAAGCACAAAATTGAAGGGTAATCTCCAACTCAGCTGTATAAGTATGAGAAAATAGGAATTGAAAATGATCAAAGTTATTTCTGACAAAAAACTAAATCAAAACTTTGTAGAATCTTTTTATAGATATAATAGGTTATAAAAATCATGGTTAATATTTAGTACGAAGAATGTAAAAATTTTAACACCGCAAAAAAAGAGAAAATGATTTCCCTAAATTTCTGTGCCACAGATTTTTGTATTAAAAACCTTTAACACCTGGTATTAATTTCATGCCCACATGTGACTAAACGTTGAGAAATTAAAGTTGTGCTTCCTTTTTTCCCCTGCCTCACTAACCGAAGACAGGAGTAGGCCGGTGAGTGCTCTCCGAATACTCGTGCATGGGGGTCACTGTGGTGGTCTGTGCGCTTTCTCTTACTTGTACAAGGGAAAGTTTATGATTCCATTGTAAGGCCAAAATTAATGAAAAGGACTGCTTTTCTTTAGTATTTTTAGTTCTCATTTAGTGCGGCAAGTATCTATAAAGGATGCTCCCAGCACGTGTGGTGAGTAAACTGTGGGGAGAAAGGGACCGTTTTTTGGAGACTGTGCTAGTTTACACGGAAGACTGGGTTACAGTTCTACACTGTGTTGCCCAAGGGGTGTACTTTAGGGGCTTAAAAAGTCAGTGCCTGTTGTAAACATACTTATTCTAAGTAATGTGTTAGACACATTCTGATAAAACATATTCTAATTAAGGTATTTATTTAGTAAATAACAAAATGTTTTTATTCCATTTTCAGCTGCATTTACTATCTTGGAATCCATAGTTTCATTTTTTTTTTTAAATAGGACTTTTTATGGGAATAAATTGTGCATCCTCCAAAAAGCCTTTGGACATTAGTTTTTTAAGAGGAACTACTCAAAGTCAGTTCTTACACCACTCCTCATTAGGCAAGCCCCCCAACCCCTTAAAAAACCTTTGCTTTAAGGTATCAACATATGAATAATGTGTTTTTGCCTGAATTACATAAATGATTTTAACATTGAAATGTAAGAATATGATTAAATATGAAAAACAGTATGATAGCTCTCATGAACTTAATTATTATTCCATAACTTAAAGGTTCGAGAAACGAGGGGTAATGTGATTGGTAGTGAGCTTTTCTGAGGTTCGCTGCCTTTTCATCACGAGCCCAGTCGTCGTCGTGAGCCCTGCTGCTCCTGTGAGATGCGGCCCCACCCTGTCATTGAACTGCAGACAGGGACCCTGGGGTGTATTTGTCTGTTGTTATCTGTAACACTGGCGAGTTTCAGTAAATACATTTTTCACTTTTTATCATCTTCATTTCTCTTTACTGCTGAAAATACATATTTTATAACTTGTAATGGAAGCTAACGTTTTATTTTTAAGAATTCTATTTAAATCCGAAACGGTACTATGTCTTGATTTCATGAGAGAGAGAAGATTATACTTTATACATATAGTAAAATGTCATTCTGCATCATTATTTGGCGCTGTCTACAGGATACCTAGATATATTTCATGTTAGGCAAAATTATCTTACGCTTTTTATTCATTTCAAACATGGAACTTTTCAGAAATAGAGTAGACTCTGAGAGTGTATAGAAAATATTATTGTCTTTCCTTATGAAATAGTATTTATCTTAAAGTATAAAAGCAATATTAATTTATAGTGTTAAAATAAAAACTATATAGCATAAAAACTAATAATTCTGCCCTCACCTTTGACCTCTCATAGTGATGTTACCATGTTAACAATCGAGGGAGGCTGTATCTCTCCAGGTTTTGTTTTGTGTATTGAAAAAAGTAGACATATATCTTCCTCCTTATTTAAGTTCTGCATCTATAGTTCTGCATCATGATTTATCCTCTTAACGATGAACAATTAGTTTGTATCTAACTATCAGGAAGAGTTCATTTCAAAAACACACTGCTTACATGATGATTCGTAGTCGGTGGTGATAATTAACATTACTTAATATCCCAACACAGAGAAAGGTATTCAGCTCTCAGAGAGAATCTGACGGCGTTCCAGACGTACCTGATTGAGAGCAACAAGGAAATGACGCCTCTGAAAGTCTGGGAGCTACAGGGTGAGTGTTTGGTCAGCTTCGATGCGGCACTTCGGTCACTGACCTCTGTTCTATTATTAAATAAGCTTTGATTTAACATGATATGAATTATTTAATGGAAAGTAATAATAACTGTGATGTAAATAATATAAATTACTACATTATTCCTTGTGGAAATATTTAATTAAAACTCTCTCCATCCAGCAAATTGTATTTCTGTTTGTAAGACTTAAAGTTTACATAAGTGTGATTATTTGATATTATCTGATTCTTTTTAAAGTATACACTAATTTATCTTATAGGTTCACCTGAAGCAGTAAATAGCATTTCAGGAATTTGTAACATTGATGAAAAATTCTCACTGGTAGGCCAGGAGAGGTCAGGACTAAATCCAGTTTCCGGCTGTGTAGCAATTGGATTGTGGTAGACTAACCACTGCCCGCTGCTCCGTTAACTTGGAGCAGCTTCTGGGCCGGCATCCCAAACGCGGGACTTCTGTGGCCAGAATTTGGTTAGGATTGAAGTATGAGTCCTTTACAACTTGTAATTTTCTTTTTCATTATTTGTAAGCTTTTGTAGGTCATGGGGACATGTTGTTTTTCTGTGTGATCCACAACTTTTATCACATCTCTCGACTTTTTAAAAATATAACAGTTTATTGAAACATAGCTGATATGCTGTGCAGTTTACCCACTTGAAGTGGACTGTTCAGTGGGCTGTAGTGCGTTTTCAGAGGTCTCTAACCGTCACCACAGTCAGTCTCGGGGTGTCTTCATCACCCCCAGAAGAAACTAATGCACACACAAATGACTACTGATGTCTCCCAGCTTCTCCAGCTTTGGGCAGGTGCCAGTCTGCTTTACCTTCAAAATGCTCTGCCAGGGACCCAGGATTCAGAAAATTGCAAGTGATAGAGTGTTTCTGAAGGCTTGTAAACGGAGAACACGCAGCATCAGCTCCGTTTTAACTAACCTTTCTAGTGTCTGTGTAAGATACAGTTGGACAGACTAGAAGCAGGAAATCCAATTAAGGCATCACTGAAATCGAGGGACCAGAGGCTGGAGGAGGACTATGGTGGAGGTGCAGGCGGGAGAGCCGGCTCGGGCAGACACGGAGGAGGTGGAAGGAGTCCCAGAGGACTTCGGGATCTCCAGCCGTAAGCCTGAGAAAACACAGAGCGTGCAAGCAGGTGCGGGGCTGGAATGTGGGGCCCAGGAATGACGAGACTGGCGTTAAAATGATTGACTGGAAGGGATTGTGACTTATCCAGATGATAAGGGTTGTTAGTGGGGTGAATATAAAATTCTTAAGGTAAAAGAAGAGGATTTAGAAGGCTGAAAATCATAGTATAAAGCAGGTGTCCAACCTTTTGGTGTCTCTGGGCCACACTGGAAGAAGAAGAGCTGGCTTGGGCCACGCATGAAATGCGCAAAACTAACAAAAACTGATGAGCAAAATAAAGGTTCTAAGTAAATTTACGATTTTGTGTTGGGTTGCATTCATAGCCATCCTGGGCCACACACACAAGTAGTGCTAACTGAAAGGGTAGGTGACCAAATCAGTGTGCAGGGCGGGGTATGGTGGTGCTCGTCTCCGCGCACGTACAAGGCGCAGGGGACCCTGTTCTCATTGCTCACTCCGTGCTGGTGACAGCAGTGCCCGCGGAGAAGACATGGTGGGATGATGAGAGATGGAAGAGAGCAGTACAGAAGCCAAAGGAAGCACATTCCCAAGACAGGGACAGTGACCAGTGCCCTTTTCTCTCTCTCTCCTTTTCTTTTCTCTTCCTCCCTCCCTCCGTCCCTTCTTCCCTCCTTCTTCCCTCCCTTCCTTCCTTATTTTTTTTTTTTTTAAATTTTATTTAGTTATTTTTTGCCCTTAGCAGCAATGGAATGATCAGAAATGTAACATAAAAGGTCTCACTTGTTATTTTGCTGTTAATTCACTCATTCATTCATTAGTATTTGTCGAGCTCTTTCTTGTGTCTGAGATACTTTCTTTTGGTGAGAATATTAAGGCTGCTCCGCTTCTAGCACATTGAAGACTGACTACACACATTTTTCTTTCCCTAGAATTGTTGTTTCAGGTAAAACAATGCTAAGTTTAGGATTTTATCTTTATTGTAGTATAAAAGGAGAACAATACTGAAAGAGAAAATGAATGTTTCATATTTACCGAGTTAAACACATTAGGTCCTCCTTAATGTTCTTTTCAGAATTGGCTCTTCAAACTCTTTTTTTCCTTCCTTTGGTTATTCTTTGTATCAAAGCCTTTTCTTGCCTGTTTATTTAACCTAAATATAGATAAAAATAGCTTTGTATCAGCATTTATTTTCATCTATCTCATTCTGAAGTTGTTATACTGTAATTTGAGGAAAGCAAGTATTAAGTATTAAATGATAATTACTGATTGATAAAAGTGTAAAGTTTATCTTAATTAGAAATAAGTGCTACGTTCCATTTAAAATTTTTGAAAAATGATAACTCTAAGAGTGTTAACATGTCTATACAAGATTATGTAGCTGGAAGGGTTAAATAAATTACATGGAAATGTTTATAAAGGTATGACATTATGCTAGATTTTTTTAATGGTATTTTTTCCTTCCAGATCTTAGTTTTCAAGCAGCTTCTCAAATAACGGCCGCTCCAGTTTATGATGCCTTAAAAGTAATGAAGGACATTTCACAGAACTTCCCCATAAAAGCCAGGTATAATAAAGTTTATTAGTTTGATTATAGCCAGGATTCTTTCCATTACATACATTTTATGAAAATAGGTAATTTCACTTAACCTAATGATATCAATTAATTCTAGTATATACAATGCTTATGAAATCAGGGCCTTTCTTCCTTATGCACGTTGGTTTTTTACTAGAATAGAATACTGGCTTGTACACATACATGTATATATATGAAGACTTTAGGGGTGTGAATTTCTCACACAAACTATTCTATTACCTGGAACTACAGATTAGTCCTGAACATAAAGGAGGAATGAGTTATACCAATATTTGTTTTCCCAGGACTCTGACCAAAGTTGCTGTAAATCAACATATGAAGAAGGAAATACAGAAAAATCAGCAGGTTTGTTTGAATTCTTTCTTAAAAGAATTTACTGTGCTCTTATCACTGTTTCAGACTTTGGGTCTTCAGTTTTCATACAAAAAAGAAAATGTTTGTTTGTATTTTTGATTATTAAAACAATTCCAGTTTTTCCATTTTTGTACTGTCTACATACAGTGTATGACTCTACCCAATCTTTCCTGCTGTGGGTCTCACCTCCTCGTCCACCCTGTACTCCAAACCTTTTGTTCCTGTAGTATGGCTTTCTTCACAGGGTAAACATTAAAGGCTATAAATTATTAATTCTTGTTTCTCACAATTAGTTTTGCTTAAAAACTTGAGGACCAAGTCAAGTTTAGGTCATTGGAACATTACTAGAATCCTATAGTATGCAGGACAGAAGTGACTGGTAGTTTGGTAAGGTTCTGCCAAATGGTTTCTTAAATTACCTAAAGATCCCAAATGACCCAAAGTGCGTTAACATTTGTGGGGTGCTTAGAACATTGCCTCACTTTATGGCATAGGACACGTTTGGTTTTAAGTAATATAATACCAGATGCACAGGGCCGCCAAAAGTGTTTTTTCGCACATAAAAAGAAGTCTTAAATGGGTGGCCGCAGGCATGGTTTTCTCCTTTTATGGTTCCAAATTGCCGCCACAGCTCCAGGCTTCTGATAGGAATGCGAAGTAGGAGGAGGCAGGAAGATGGTATCAACCACGTGCATCCCACTAAGGCCTCAATCCTGGTGGTTCACCCTGGTGCAGAGATCTTGACCTTAATCAGTAAGCTAGATAATCACGACCCTGTATTGTCATCTCTTTGGCCGCCTCTTTCAGGGGCACTCGGAGGAAAAATGAGGATGATGATGGTGGCTTTCATGTCCTTAATCTTGGGAAAGTGTGTTTGGACCAGAAGGTCCGGTTACCTCCTACCGCTTGGGGGTGTGGGTGGTAACTGAACAAACTGGGGTTCCCATCCTGGGAAGGAGGGCAGTAGTGACTGGAAGGTCAAGGAGTCTTAGGAAGCCCCTTGCAGTATCACTGAGCACACATAGTGAGCACGTGATCACCCGGAGGTGTGTGGCCGTTACATCTCGACTATGCACAGCAAGAGTGTGATTTATGCAAAGCATGTAAACCAGAGGTAACCACACACAAAAGAAATAATAATGGACTTTAATGTGTAGAACGATGATCTGTTTTCACTCACAATAAGACAAATACAGATCAAAGTTGTACAGAGATACCAGATTTATAATAGTCAAGGTTTGATGGTGAATTCTCTTGGTAACTTTATCATGTGCGTGTGTGTGTGTGTGAGAGAGAAAGCAGGCAACACAAGATACATATGTGTAGGTATTAGTATTTGCATAAAGGGTTCCCAGAGGATGAACAAAAACTGGGGGCGAGTGTAGAACAGTTACCTCCATGGGCCATGAGAGGGGCCGGAGGACCAGGTAGGAGAAGGTCCTGGAATGAGCATAAGGATTCTTCGTGTAGGGTTTTATATAGTTGTGACTTGGAATTCAGCAAAAGTTAGTCAGAAACTCTGACTGTGCTGAGGTTGTACAGGTGAATTTGGGTTTGGTTTACTCGGGAGACAACAGCATCAACTCCGAAGTACACCAGATTTTACCTTTTAAGGTAACAGCCCTTATTTTGCTCAGAGATCAGCCAGAAGCTGCTCTCGGTGTTTTCAAACCAGTGTGTGTGTCTTATTGTTCACAGTTGCATTACGTTCCATGCCATTTTCTTGTTAGGAAGAAAAAAATGGGAATATGGTCAGGTAGTCTGGCAACTTCTGAATTTTGCTTCAGCAGCGTGAAAGAAACATTGTTTTAATTGCATAGTTACATAAAAAACAGGTGACATACTTAAATGTAAAAGCTAAATAAGGATTAGACTAATCCAAAAAGAAGTTCAAGCCTTTCCTAATTTTGTCAACTGATTACTTAGAATATATGAGAATTTCACAGTTCTAGAAAAATTCCCTTCATCGGAATAACCTCCCTGAAAGTTCCCCTGTAACACATTCCTTTAGAATCTTTTTTTGTTCACATCCTGGAAAAAATTTTTCCTATCTTTAGCTTTATATCTGACTTGACTTCAGGTTTTACATTCAGAATGCATCTAGCTTCTGTCTCGGGACCTCCAGACCTGTTCATAAACCCAAGTCACCATTCAAACCTCAGCCGGTCAGCTGAGGAAATGTGGAGCATCAGGTAGTGGCCCAGTCCCACTGGTTGTAAAGATGTTACAATACATTCTTCCCTCTTTTTTTTTAAATGAAGTTGTATGTCTCTGTAGGGATTTATATTTGTTTCTGCTCAATGGCTAAGATCACTCCCAACTTAATTCCACCGTGAATTAAGTCTGTGCATGTTTTTTGGACCTAAAAAATAGTGAGGAATCTAGCCTCAAACGCCTTTGAAGATAAACCAGAGGCAATGAATCGTTATGGAAGACTCGTTGTTCCTCCCAACCAAGACGAGATCCACAGGTTTCCGAGCTGGTTCTGCAGGGCACTCTGTTTTCTAGGTCACCTCTCACCGACAGCCGCTCTTCCGGCCTGCGCACAGCACAGGGCTGTCTCTCACCCTCTTCCCTGCCGGGGGTGAGCCCTGGGCTTTGCTTCCTGTCCTTTTGAGACTAGCCCTGAAGAACCCAGGCCTTACTGTACTGGAACAACCATTAAAATAAATAAATTAAAACAAAACAAAAACAGAAACAAACCCAGGCCTTAGGGACCTGAAATTGTTTGTGTCCTTGGACTTGTATTTCTACCACTTCTCTGCCCTTAGGAGAAACCTTTCCTTTTAAAAGCTAACCATTCATTTAGAATGTCCATTCTTCATACTTTAATCTAGTGGTTTTCGTGTTTCCTTTTAGAAGGAGGATTTTGGGATGTCTGGTTCACCCCATGGCTGCAGACTGACTGCTTAGCCTTGATTTGAGAAAGGCTGCCGGAAATCAGACCCCCCGGGTAATTTGCCAGGATTTAAGGGCATGTCTCTGGGGGAAGGAGGAAGAATTTGTCATTGTTAACCTCCAATGGACTGACAGTGTTTCAGCAATGAAGTTCAGTTTATTACCCTTTTTGAGCATCTTTCGTTCAAAGAGCTGTGCTTGGCTTAAAAGTCCCTGAGGGGGTTAGCACTTTAGGGGACATTGTGTGCTTAGGTGCTTCCCACTATGAATGACCGAATGACTGGCCTAAAGCAGATGAAGTGCTGGGAGAGCTTGACACAGAGCTGAAGACAAACCGGGGTGTTGCCTTCGGACCTTCGAACGTGAGGGTTTAATCTCTGCCAGTGTTCTGTGTAAATCCGGTGGAAATACTTTCTGCCGTGTTACAAATTGGGTTCCTCTTTCCCTCCCATGTGTGTACTTCACCCATCGTGGTGAATGATAAACAGAAACACTTACCTCTGTGAGTTTTTCTCCGACTTTCCTCAAGTTAGTTTCTTTGTCTGTCTTTGTGGAATAATTTATACCAGTCTCTATTAGGGCACTTATCATGTGATCACTTTAAAATGCACTGCTTTAAAATTGTTTTTCTCCTAAATTAATTTGCCTACACTGATAATAGTAATAATAAAGGCTTTATATGTGAGTACTATAAATTTAACTAGACACAGGTATATATTTAAACTTTATAGCAGACCAGTGAGGTAGATACCAGTACCCTATTACACAGATAAGAAAACTGAGACTTAGGGAAGCCAAGTGAATTTGTCCAGACTTTGCCACTAGTGAGCAGCAGGACTGAGATCCACAGTAGACTGACTCCCTGCCACGGCCTCAATGCCCGTGCTGTGCTGGGGGCAGGTAGGGCGCCTTTTTACTATTATTGCTGCCCCAGTGCCTGCAATTGTTTCTAGCACACGGTCGGCACTCGAGCAACAGTTACTGAATGAGAAGACAGGGAACCTTCATGAATTTAGAGTGATCTCCAAACATTTATACATGCACCAAGGTTTTGAGTCCCGGGATTGAAGAATAGGAATGTGCCAGCTGTCAGATTCTCAGTGTGCAAGTGTGGACACACACACACAATATATAGAGTATAGGAGGTAGGTCATCATTGGAGCCTTAGAACTTTTAATATCACATCATATTGCAGAATCAAAGGTCTCTGTGTCTCCAGCCTGTCCCCAGATGCCCGTCACTAGATCAGGGTGGGCAAACTTCTGCCCACCTGGAAGTCAGGTCTGGCCTGCCACCAGTGCTAACAGATAAAAGCCTCACCGGAGTCTCGTTGTGCCGATGTGGGTGTGTTGTTTTGGTTGCTTTCGTGCTGCAAGGGCAGAGTCCAGTGGCTGCAGCAGAGATGACATGACCGGCAAAGCCTGAAACGTTGACTGTCTGACTCTGTGGTTGTGTGACTTGGTCACCTGTTGTTCTCCATTTCAAGGAGCTGATCAACCGATTCGAAATCCACCCGGGGGATGCTTGTCTGTACATAAATGGCCTTCATGTGGACGTCGATGCCCATGACCCTTTTAGGTAAGTATGGAATTCTTGATACAAACTAACTGTGGCCTGTGTAAAAGGAAATACTGCCCTGAATTTAGTATTTGTCAAAATTCAAATAACCACTTTAAAGGTAAAGCACACGCAATTTTGATGGGATAAAAGGTTTCTGTTGTGTTCATAGAATGCTCTGGTAAGTGTCTCAGAACATAGGTGCTGGGAGAGACCTTGGGGGCGTTTTCCAGCTGGGGACCTGGAGTTCCCAAGCCTCAAACTGGGACTGATCCGGTTGTTTGAAACTGCCCTTCCCTGAAGCGGAGGCTTGTCCCTTAGCAGGGGAGCGTCCCAGCAGCCAGGGCGCTGCCCTCCAGAAAGGAACCAGAGGGATGGGAGATGGTTCTTCAGAGGAAGGAGATTAACCGGGAGAATTTAAAGTGCTTGTATCTGTTCAAAAGGAAATTGGAATCACGGAATTCAGGGTACTACTATCTCCGTATGTAAAAAAAAAATTTCAAAAATGCTCTGGAGCAGAATTAGATAGTCTTTTATTCACGCCACTGGCTCATAAATCATTCATGGGCCAGAAAAAGAGAAATCAATTGCATTTATTTTATTTTTAAAGAGAAGCATAAAAGTACTTTAAAAATTAATATTTGGAATATAAAATGAATTTTGTAAAATAAAAATACTTTAAAAATTAATATCTGTAGTATAAAATGAATTTTGTAACATAGTACTTTATTTCAGACATTCATTGTGAATTCAGTTGAATATGTTTTATTGACTTAAATTGTTTATTGTATTTTCGTACCAGTTTGGAAATATCTAGGAAAACATGGGGAAGGCTGAGAAGCAGGAGTCGGTAGTTCTAATGGGGCTTCTCTCTCTATTCCGTTGATCCTGGGACCTCGGGTCGCAAGAACGGCAGCTGTTAGCTCCTGGCCTGTAGACTTCAGAGGGACAGAAATTACATTCGTGCTCAGGAACAGTGAGAACAGGTTTGGAAAAGTCCTGAGATGACAGGCAGATTGTGGGAAGTTTCTGTGTTGATGGAAGGGGAGATTTTCAGAGCAGAGACATGGTGTTGTGTCGTGTCAAGAGGCTGCAGGTTATTCGAGAAATACAACCCCCTTGGCCCCCCCACCTGGTAATTAGTGTGAGGCAGGGTGTGTGTTTCATGTTCACTCCTCATCGAGGTGATCAGTGGGAGCTGCTGCAGCTTCCTTAGAGGAAAACAAGATGCGTGCAGGTAGTTACACTTCTGACATTTTTAGTACCACACAAACAATCAAAGAGGTTCTCAGAGGACGATCAGAACGTGCAGGTAAAATGTGTAGAGGTTGTTACTGGAAGAAGACAGTGTCTGTCACTGAAGTTCTGTCTGGGTCTGCACAGGGGTCCACGCGGGGGAAATACACAGCTGGGAGGCGGGGGCTTTGCTCGTCTTCCCTGCCTCCTGTCTCTGATCTCCTCTTTGGGTTGTGGGAGCTGGTACCGTACCCCACGGCCCAGCCCCTCTTCCTCTGGTCCTGGAAACAGAGGGAGAAGCCAGAGCCTCACGGGTTAGGGCAGTGCTGGTTCGATGGAGGTCGCGCCCAAGGCCTCCTCTCCCCCGCAGCCCCCGGGGAGGCTGAGACGGCAGGAGGCCAGGGCAGTGAACAGGGAGGAGGGCGCAGGGCCAGGTAAAGCTGAGGATTTCCGTCAGCGGTGCCTTTTCTAGCCGTTTCAGAACCACGAGCACATCTTTATCTCTAAGCAGTCCCCTCAGCATGTTTGTGAACAGGCAGAAACTGGTCCTGGCAACTGGTACTGCGTGGACGGCACCCACTTGGACAGCCAGCCTGTCCGTGCTGGAGTCCTGCCACTACAGACAAGACAACCACCAGAGAAAGGACTGGCAAAGGGGGCTGGACAGCCCCTCTTGTGTACACATATTTCTCTGCATCTGAATGAAGTCATCTGCCTCAGAATTCTGTTGACCTCTTGGTAAATATGTATTTTTCATGCAAGCAACATTAAAATTCAATATTATGAAATCAACTGGATATTAAAATTCACTTTAGTGACAATTGGAGTGCCTACTAGTCTGTAGAAACCACTTGATATTTGGGGCGTAGTGGTGAACAAGATGGAAGTCTTGCCTAAGTGAAATTTACAGTCCAGTGGAATAACCAACGTTAAATAATTACAGCGTGAGAAGTTTTATAGAAGGTAAAGGGTGGCACTTTGGGAGTTTATACATTAGTTCTTGTGGAACCTGGAAACAGCAGAGTTCAGACTTCTCCATGGAAGTGACATTTAACGTGAGAGTCAAAGGATGAATCAGGCAGGTGGGGGAGCGGAGTCTCAGCAAGCATGGCGCGTTAGAGAAGAGGAAAAGCTGCTGTGGCCAGACTGGGGCATGAAGACGAGGCAGAGGAAATGGGCCACTGGGGTGGGCGAGGGTCCGGTGCGACCAGGGGGGGTCTGGGCTGCGTATCTCAAGGGCAGCGGAAGCCAGCAAAGTGTTCCCAGCAAACCTAAAGGAAGTAACTATGTATTTAAAAGAGAAGCATGAGAATTATTTAGGAGTCCAGAAATAGAAGGCATTTTATTAATAAATAAACCTAGCACATTTAAAGAACCGTTTTTTAAAATCAGTTTGCAAAATTCTTCATTTAGGAAGAGCAAGGAAGAGGCTAACGCTGGCCGAGGGCAGCCGTGTGCCCGGCGGTCACTGAGTTTGACACGGACACCCTATGAAGTGACCGTGACTGCTCTCTGTACGTGGAAGGGGAAGCGAGGACTTGGCGGGACCTGGCACACAGACAGGGACGCACAGCAGGTGGCAGCAAGCCTGGGGTCTCGTGCGTTTGCCGGTGCACCTGTAACTGATTTTCCTGTTAAGGGTTCGTTTCCTTTTGAAACTAGCCCAGAATAACAAAGATGGCAGCTCCAAAACCATGGAGAATATTTAAATTCAGTTGTATAAAAGGTGTCTGATCAATGAACATCATAAAGCTTTAATCCAAAATTTTTATTTTATAAGTGAGAAAACTTAGACTAAAGGGGTTGAAAAATCTCTAATTTTTAAATGTGCATCTCTAGTTTTTCCTGGAAACTGTATTTTAAAATTTATGAATTGCTTAATTCTTATTCCATTCATTTCTGAAAGGCGAAGGCAATAGGGTTATTTATTAATATTATTTTTGTCAGTAATTCTGTCATGTTTGAGCTAACAAATTGTATATAAATTAGAAATACTACTATGTATTCTAAACAGATGTGAACTTCATGCTTTAATAGGGCTTTCTCTGTACTAATTTTATAATTTAGGTCATGTTTGATCTTGTTTTTGCAGTAGATTTATCAAAAAAGTGACTTTTTTTTCCCTTCATTTCTGGCTTGCTCAGGAGAGAGCATATTCTTGCTTCTTTGGTAAGGAATCTAATCAATACACCTTGTTCCTTGCTGTCTTATCTTTCAGATAAGATTTCGTTAATCACTAAACACAAAAAACAAAGAACCCTCTACTTCAACCTGGATAACTAATTAGAACTCCTTGCCTTATTTGTTAAGGAGTTTAATAATTGTATGTTTTCCTGCTATTGATAAAAATACCAGTGAAGCTTGTTTTTAATGCTGTGAAAAAGTTATCAACTTTAAAGGATGTTTTTAAATGTTGGCAAATCAAAATAAAATTTGTCTCTTTTCTTTAAACGTGAAGTATGTTGGACATGCTGAAGCTGGAAGGAAAGAGGATGAACGGCCTTCGGAAACTCGGGGTCAGCAGAGAAGACATGAGCGAATTTTTAACATTGAATTCACGCGTTAGAGACAGTAACTATGTATTAGACATTAGGCATTCTTCAATAATAGTAAGTATTCATGTAATTCCTCGTTTCAAATAAAACCAAATATTGTCAGGCTTTAGAATAAACTTAAGCAGTTTGAAAGAGGTGGTGTAGCAGAACTCAGAAGAAAAGGCAAAAATACTGATGTACCCCCTCACGCTTGCATCTGCTCTCACCCTCCCTGCATTCTCTGCGTTTCCTCTCGAGGGCGCCCACTCGCTGGTTCAGTCTCCGTCCCAGCTTTAAAGGTAAAACAACCCAAATGAGAACAACAAAATTACCGCATGAACAGCAGCAATGAGAAAACCCCAGATAGTTCAAATCTGGGGACGGTAAGGCTGCCGCCAGAATATAATGAAAATCTTGCCTGGACCAACGCCAGCGCCCTCCTAGACTTGGGTCTGTGGGACACAGTCGAGGAAAGTGTCTGAGATCTGGTCACACCCCCGCCCTCGGCTGCAGCACAGACCCCTTCACGTGGCCCAGGAGGCTGTTGGACGGTTTACTCCTTCCTTCCATTTCTCAGGGTGAAACGTTCTTTTCACCACTGTTCCTTATCTCCTGCCTGGAAAGCGGATTCCCCTCCCTCTACCCAGCGAACTCTTTCTTTTTCACACTTCACCTCGAGGCTGTACCTCCCGAGAGAAGCTTTCTGTAACTACCCTAGGTGACATTTTAACTCACACATGTGTCGGGGTCTCCAAGAGCACCACCAAGTCTGGTGATTTGCTAAAAGGATTCAAAAAGCCTAGACATCGTTATACTTGTGGTCATGACTTTTTAGAGCAGAAGATACAAAGTAATATCTGCAGAGGGGGAGAGGGCGTGGGGCGGAGTCCAGAGGGAGCCAGGTGTGGGCTTCCAAGGATCTGCTCCTAGTGGAGCTGTGCGGGACATTCTTAGTTCAGTGTGTGACGGCACATGCACAGTGCTGCCTGCGAGGGAAGTTTGAGCCTGGGAGCCCAGGGTTTTGGGAAGGGGTGTGTTAGATGGGCCACATGGCTGGTCTCAGTCCTGGGGCTCTCACTGTTTCTGGGTTCCGCCCTTCTCTAATGTTCTGCCCTTCTCTAATGTGCATTCCCAAGGTCGCTGCGTGCTTTTGATTAGTTTTCATAGTTCTTAATGTTGATTCCCACAGATTTTTCCAGTTTTTCGTGATTTCTGTGTAAGGGTGGAGTTTTCGACTTTCTTAGCCATTCAGTGGACAAGTCATTCAGTGTCTTGGTAGCTCAGCAGGTGCAAAGACCAGAATTACGACCAGCAGAACTAACAAGCAGGTCATTAACCATCAGTGCCTGTTCTGTGTGCAGCGTGGTGTGGCCACTCTTCCAGTCATTGTTGCTGCCTCTAAGTTTGCCTGATGTTAAAGAAGTGGGCACTTCAGTCTCTCTGGACCTGTACAGTGACTTCAGTAGTTCTCCAAATGGATCAGGATATCAGCTAATTAATTAACCCAATAACCATGCTATAAATAGGCCATGGCTATAGTTTTCTAACTTTAGTGCCGCTGATAAGAATCACCTAGGGCACTTGTTTTAAATAGGGATTCCCAGGGCCTGTCCTGAATTTCTTGTTAGCAGGTCTGAGGTGCATTTTAGATAAACACGTCCAGTTGTTTGGATTCACATTAACTGCGACTACCTTCCATCATTATCAAGTTCATTGGGACTGATACATAAAGCATAAGGCCAGTTTCTCACTTAAAAAAAGTAATATAACTGGTCACCAAGGGGACCAGGTATTTACGTCCTCTGTGTGGTACCTTCTCCTCTGGCCCAGGATTCCCGTAGAAGGATAATAATCTGAACTGACGACTGAGTTTCCAGAGATTTCCAGTTCACAGTGGATTCCTGGCCTGTTGTGAGGACCTTTACAACTCTTCCCAGCCCTGGCCGATGTGGCTCAGTGGGACGAGCACCATCCTGCAAAGCGAAAGGTCGCCAGCTGGATTCCTGGTCAGGGCGCAGGCCTGGGCTGCAGGCCAGGGCCCCAGTTGGGGGCATGAGAGAGGCAACTGATCAGATTCTCTCCCACATCGATGATTCTCTCCCTCTTTCTCCCCTCTCTAAAAATAAATAATTTTTAAAGAAAGAAGTGTTCCCATTACCTTTGCATCTGGGCAAGAACTGCACCAGAAAAACAAACAAGATACCCTATTACTTGACTTTCCCAGGGAGGCCGGGGTTCTGCCTTCTGTCTCAGTGCCACCGGGACAGATTCTTGTGGAAATAGATTGGTCCCAGATCTCCGTCACCCCTGTCCACCGCTAACGTGGGCTTTGTCCATGTGTTTCCTCCTCAGACGCCGCGTGCCCTCCGAAGTGTGCCTCGCACGAGACACACTTCCCACTCCACTTTCTTTCCCTCTGGTTCGGACAAGTCTCCTCCCCTCAGAGTCTGCTCTGTGTTGACACAGGGTTCCTTTCTGCAAGCTGTGAATCCCCGGGATTCCTCCCTGTCTCTCATTTCTCTTTGTGTATTTAATTCTGTCTTCTCTAAACCACTGCCTCATAGGTAGACCCCCAAAAAAACTCATGTCTGGGTTTCTGCGGAAGTCACCTGATCATCTTCACGTTTTGCATTGTCCTGTTCTTTTCTTTATAACTTGAAGCTGTATCTATATTATACCTTTGGCCCATGTTGCTCATCTCTTTTACACTGTATTTTATTTTGAGTTTGCCTTATTTTTTCAGTGTACTTTAGTTAGTATATATTCTATAACTTTACAAGGCATTTAATTTTTGTATGTCCAAGCCTTTAAATTTGAGAGGGGAGGCAGAGGGCCTTGTTGTCTCCTGTACTGCTGATAAGGATTTATCTCTTTTCAGTGGTTTATGGAGAGTAATTTTGATACAGTTTCATTTTTTAATATAAAAAAACATGAATAAAATGGAGTCAGCAATTTGGGGGGAAGGCTTCATGTAAAACGCCATGTTAATACGAAGTTGTTGCCTGTGACATGTTCCTTAATTAAAGAATTTTCAACTGACATCCTGTACTTAATCAGTCCAGTGTGGAAAACTGTATTTCCACTTGTCCTTCGACAGAATGAAGTCTACCTTTGAAAATGATTTGAGTGTTAATACAGCTTGAACAGACTTCTGTATTCTTTCCTAGTGGATTAACGACTTAGAAAGTGACGGTTTCTATGCTGCCTGGCCTGCAAGTTGCCAGGAACTTCTGAAACAAGTATTCCCTGGAAAAATACCTTCCATAAGGCGTAATTTTCATAACTTGGTGAGTTTCATATTTTGACATTTTGCATACATTTTAATGAAGACATCAGCGCTCTTTTCAGATGCCCCTGCTCTTGGCGAATGGGCATCTGAGGAATAAGGAAGGAAATAGCTGCCCGATGCAACATCCTTGACCGATGTGGCTGAGTGGGCGTCCAAAGCTCGCAGTGTGGCTGACCTGCCTCTGGCCACGGAGCCCCCCCACACCTTCCTAATGCCAGTGTGAAGTTGACCGGCTGCTTCTACATTTTCTTTCTTCTGTAGGATCAAGATTTCGTTCATTTCATGGAAAAATACATGAATACCATTTTATCGTCTTAGAATATAAATTCATCAGTACAACATAAACAGCCTTATAGAATTTTAACTATGGAGAAACACCTAGGACTTTTTTTTGTATAGAAAGTGAAAATCTTATTTCCTATATCAACCTAGAGTGGTCAGTTACATTAATGCTGATAGAGGGGCTCAAAATTCTATTGCTATTTCCTCTTTTAAAAACTTAGAAAATCCACTGAACATTTAGAACAACATATTTCCCTTTTGTAAAAAATAATTATTTTATGGTGTGCTTCGAAAAGAAAACGAGTCATATGTTATTAAGTTCTGTGTGGGACTGTAACTGGATGTGCAGCTTCTAGAAATGGTTCCTTAACGTCAGTCAGTAAAACTAACAGATGGAGGCACAATGTAGACATGTGCTTGATGGCTTTAAAATTCTGTAGAAATGCTAGAAATTTCTTTTTAAGAACCTTGAGTTGTATACTTTTAGCTGTATAGACTAAACTTGAATTTCATGGAAATTCTGAAGTGTTAAAACAAATAATGACTTTAGACTATCTACTTTCTTTTAGGTTCTGTTTCTTGATCCTGCTCAAGAACAAACCTTGGATTTTATAAAACTTGCTGAAGCGTTATATTATCATCAGATTCCTCTCAGGTACGGTAGTCATCAGTTTGTAACACACCGTCCACTGAGGGAGACCAGCGGTGTTCGTGTTGTGCGGCAGGGCGTTAGTCTGGGGTGAAAGCAGTGGTTTCTCCCCAGTGCCCGACCCAGTGGGGCTGTGGGTACCTTTACAGACTCGGCCCATCAGAGCTGCCCAGTGATCTTGTGTATCTTCCTGAGAGAAGAATCTGATCACTTCGGGAACTTAAAGATGAATCCATTTCCCTGTGGTTGTGATAAGAGTTTTCTCCTCCCCTCAGAAAAACATGGTCATTCCATAATGTTACCACCAGATGGTGTACATTTTGGAGGAATCCATCAGATATGAGGATTTCGGTGAATAGGCAGATCAAACCCTTTTAAATATTTCCATTTCCCCATTTACTGACACAATCTTTCCATTTAGATGTTATAGTCTCACATCTGTTTTTAAATCATAGTTTCTCCATGGTTCAAGGGGTAGTTGTGACATTCCTCACGGATCTTCTTTTTCCAGAATTGGTTTTGTGTTCATCGTTAATACGGATGATAAGGTTGACGGAACGAGGGATGCTGGAGTTGCGCTTTGGCGGGCTTTCAACTACGTTGCGGAGGAGTATGACGTCTCACAAGCGTTCAAATCCATCGCACATGTGAGTTTATGCATTGGGCGTATTTATTTAGAATGTAGAGTGGGTTTCTTGCATTACTATAATTATGATTATCCTCATATTATTTTTCAAAGTTTATAAAAACTATCATGAGGATTAATGCAGCGTGGATTTGATTCTTGCAATTCCCAACCAAAGTGCACAATATTGTCCCTAATTTAAAAATTGTGCATCTGAGGCTCTACCAAGATACATGCACTTTCTTAGGTTTACCTCGCCAGTAAGAAGTTCAGAGAAAATGATGAGTCAGGGAAGAATTCTTGAACAAATTTTGAGTAAAACCATGAATAGAAAAATAAATTCTAAATGACAAAGTGGAATGTTCTAAATGTTACAGTATATAGATACTTTGTATAGAATTTCAAAGGAGAAGGAGATCACTTTATGACCATAAATTGGGGTGGAAATGGTAATAATACTGAAACTGAGTCTGACAAAGAAATGGGGGGAAAAAGTTGGAAACTGGTTCAGAGCCAGAGAAAGGAAGAGTAGAGACAGGAAGATTATTTCATAGTTGAGGTTTTGAAACTACTATAGTCTGTCGTGAAAAAATATAAAAGTATTTAAAAATTGTCTGGTTATAGCTTAAAAAACCATTTCTGTTCATTTTCAAATTCATCGGTCTTTGGTGTGTCAGCCATTGTAAACAGGGTTGGTTTCTCTCCACACTGAGGAGGAAATTACCAAAGCACTGTCCATGTTCTACTCTCTTCCTTCCGTAGCTGCCTCACAAACCACTAACTTCCTCATTAATTCATGCTCCTGGGGTGTCGAAACTACCTACCCTGCAGTGACCAGAGTTCATTTATTCAGTAATACAGCAGCGCCCGGAGTACTTGTCGATATTGTGCCCCAGTCTGTTGGTTTTACTGATGGATGTTAAGAGTTTATAAGGTGCTTGGTCAGATTGACATATCTTTTATTTATAATAAAGTCCAACTTCATTATTATAAAAGGATCAATGTGCTGTTCCAAAACTAAGAAACGTGAAGACCTTTCAAAGTTACCTTTACCTAAGTTTCCTTAATTACTTCTGTTGAATCACTGTTCTGTGAGCATCTTGTATCAGATGTTAATTAATTAGCATGATGGCATAGTTTTGAGTTGCTCACCTTTTGAATGATCTACTGTGATGTTAGCACAATACTGTACTCTCTTCAAAAACTGAATTTCACGTGAAACCACTGGGTTCAGTAGAAAGCAGCATAAAAGTAAGCATTAAATATGTTACAGCCTATAAGTTGTGCCGAACAACCAGAGGAAGAAGGAGAGGGAAAAGCTGAGGAGGGACTGTTCGGACGGGGCGTAGTTAGAATCCCCCGCAGCCCGCAGTGTGGCAGCGGCACTGCTATTCCCTGGGAGTGCAGTGTCCCCTTTAGATTTACTAAGCTAGAGTAATCTGAGTGAAGTCTAGACTTCTAGTAAAATACATGAATTAATAAAGTTTTAAAAACCGTTTCATTACTTTCAGTGAGCAGATTATTTGATCTAAATTAAATAATTTGAAAAATACAACCAGGAGAGAGGGGAAATACAATAGGTCAAAATCATAGTAAACATATATGAAGATTCGAGAAATATGGTAGGGAAATTTGGTAGACTAAGTACAGTGTTTTTAATAAAACGGTAGGACTTAATAACTCAGCTCCCCAGTGGCTATGCAAACTTAGAAACAATTTAATTTTTTGTCCCTACCTTGCAAATTTAAGATTAAAAAAAATGTTACATACTTAATGAATATTTGATGAAAATAGGTATTTGAGAAGGTGAAAAGTTTCTCTGAGTCTTGGCCATGATGGAGAAACCGTCAGTGGATTAGCCAGCCGATAGTAAGCAGTTACAACACTGGACAAAATATATGTATGAAGTAAGTCTGTTTTTTAGCACTCAACGAGAACTGAGGTACTTGCAAAAAGGTGAAGTAAAGACACTTACAGATAAAGACAGAAAATTCCTTGCTGCTTCAGAGAAGTACCGAAGGAAAAACCCTTCGGGGCGAAAGGAAATGGTGCCAGGTGGTCACTCCGATCCGCAGGAAGAGGTGACAGGGTGAAATGTAGATGCCGGGTCAACACGGGAGGCTGTGTTTTTCTCTTCCCTTTGAGTTACAGAAGGTTGAACAAAGCATAAATTCTAACATATACAGATGTAATATGTGTGATGATAATGCATATGTACAAAGGAGCAGAGGATGAAATGCATCTATTTTGAAACTAATTCTATATATGTACAATATTAAGTTAGGATTGATAGAAGTAGATAGTGATAAGTTTGTACATATGTTGCAATTCCTAGAGTAAGCACAAAGAACTGAAGTTAAAAATAGAGTTGAAAAGTCAAAAGAAGAGTTGGAATGATGCACTAAGAAATATCAGTTAAGCACAAAAAAGACAGCAAGCAGTAAAGGAAGAGCAGTGAGCAAAAGGCACATGTGATACATAGGAGACGAATAGCAAGCTGACACATGTTAACCCCCTACATCAAAAATTACAGTAAGTATGAGGGAATGAAACATAAGCAAGCATAGGAGAAGAATGGATATAAAAACATGGAAAGTTGTACACAAGCTAAATATTCAATAAGCTAGAAGAAAATTCTTAGAAAGAACCTAGCAAGACTGAATCAGGGAGAAATAGAAAATCTGAAGATCATTTACTAGTATGAAGATTGAAATGGTAATCAAAAAGCACAACAAAGAAAAGTTGTAAGGACCAGATGGCTTCGCTGGTGAATTCTGCCAAACATTTAAATAAGAATTAATGCCAATCGTCAGACTTGTCCAACAAATAGGAGGGAACACTTCCAAAGTAATTTCACAAGGCCAACACCACCCTGCTCCCAAAGCCGGAAAAGGCCACTGCAAGATGGGAAGTTACGGGCCAATATCCCTGATGAACACAGATGAAAAATTCTCAACACCGTAATAGCAAACTGAATTCAAAGTACTTTAAAAGGGTCACCACGGTCAAGTAGGATCTATTTCTGGGATGGGAGGGTGGTCCAACGTACACAAATCAGTAAACGTGATAAACCATATTAACAAAATGAAGAGTAAAATCATATAATCATTTCGGTAGATGGAGAAAAAGCAGTTGACTAAATTCAACATCCTTTTATGATCACTCTCAACAAATTGGGTAGAGAAGGAATGTACTTCAGCATAATAAAAACCATGTGGCAAGCCCCCAGCGAACATCATACTCAGCGGGAACAAGATGAAAGCTTTCCTTCTGGGATCAGGAATAAGACAGTGATGCCCCCTCTCACTGCTCTGATTCGACATAGTCTTGAAGTCCCAGCCAGAGAATTTGGCAATAACAATAAATACAAGGCACTGGCGTCAGAAAGAAAGAAGTCGTCTGTTTGCATGTGACGTGATCTCGTACATGGAAAACCCAAACAATCTGTTAGGACTAATAAATGAATTCAGTAAAATATCAGGATATGAAATTCAGTTGCACTTCTGTACACTAACAACCATTGGAAAGAGAAATTAAGTACACAATCCCATTTACAGTAGCATCAAAAAAGAATATATCTAACACTTAGGAATAAATTTAACCAAGGAAGTAAAAGATCTTTTTACTGAAAATTATAAAACATTGATGAAAGAAATTAGAGACAAATAGTTGGAAAGGTGAAAAGAAAAAAGTTGGAAGGATATTTCATGTTCTTGGATTGGAGAATTGATCGTTAAATTGTCCTTACTACCCAAAGCAATCTACAGATTTAATGCAATCTCTTTTAAAGTTTCAGTAACATTTTTCACAGAAATAGATAAAACAAACCTAAAATTCATATGGAACCACAGAAGACTGGGAATAGCCAAAGCAGTCTGGTGAAAGAAAAACGAAGCTGGAAGCATAACACTTCCTGATTTTAATTAATATTACAAAATTATAGTAATCAAGACAGCGTGGAACTGCCATAAAAACAGACAACATAGATTTTTGGAACAGAAAATCAAGAACCCAGAAATAAACCCATGCGTAGATGGTCGCTGAATTTTTGGAATGTGAACTGGTGGAGCTCCATGGAAAACCGCCTGGCGGTTCCTCCAAAAATTGAGGATTTCAGTACGACTCAGTAACGCCACCTCTGGGTGTGTACAAAGAAAGCGAGATCAGAATTCGAAGGGATTACTGTGCTCCCAGGTTCATTGCAGCATTATTTACAATAGCCAAGGTGTGGAAATAAGCTCAGAGGCCATCAACAGATGAATGGATATAGAAAATACACACACACACACACTCTGCAGGATATTATTCAGCCTTAAAGAAGGAAATCCCACTGTTTGCAACAACATGGATGAACCAGAGGACATCATGCTAAGTGAAATATATGACAGAGAAAGATTAATAATGTTTGCTATCACTTACATGTGGAATCTAAAGAGGCTGAACTCTTGCAAACGGAGTAGGAAAGTGGCTGCCAAAGGATGAGGGACATGCAGCATCGGTCAGAGGGCACACACTTGTCAGGTGTGAGAGTCATACCTTCCGGGGAATCCCACGGGCAGCGTGGGGCTCTGGGTGGTAATAATACTACGTTGTGTGGTTGACGTTTACTAAGAGAGGGGTCTGAGTGCTCCTGCCAAAAAAGCAAAATGAATAAGCTGATGGCTGTGTTAACTTGATGTTGGTCATCCTTTCACAGGATTTTATCAAGTCATCATGTTGTATTAAATATACCATGATTTAATTTGTTAGTTATACCTCAGTAAGACTTAAAAAATTAAATAGAATTTGTATGGAAGAGTGAAGACCTATAACTGCTGTGCATCTCTGGAGGAGGAGTGAAGTGACGTGTCTGGCCATTCCAGAGAACATCTATAAAGTTCTATGCAGACAGCATGGTCTTGGTCAAGGGAAGGATTTATAGACCGGAGTCGGGAACAGGTGGGGACTCGGAATCGAAATGCAGAAGTGACGTCGCAGTAAGTCAGAGTGGACTTCTGGCTGCTGGGGGTGGACAGCTGATTATCACAGTGCAGGCCTAAGGGCTCATCCCCTGCGTGAACATCATTTTGGATAGCTTAAAAATTCAGTGTGAAAAACAAAGCATTAGAACTTTTAGAAGAAATTAGGACCAAAAGGGAAGAGAGAGGTTTCTGGATAGACTTTAGAAGTTGTGAGCCTGAAAGAAAATATCAGTAAAGTTAGCTACATATAAGTGAAACCGAAAAAAACTGCACTTGAACTACAATTAAAATTTTAAAAAAGAGATATCATAACGGGGAAATAAGTTCCAAGCAGAAGAAGTATTTGCTATGTGTATAATCAATAAAAGATTTATATCCCATTATATAAAGATTTCCTACAAATCAAAAAGAAAATTACAATCTCAGAGAAAAAAATACATAAAAGATTTTTTAAATACAAGAGGATACATCAATGGTAAATTAAAATTTAGTTGAAATTAAAGAGGTAAGTAAATATTTATTACAACTACTGGCAAGTAAGCAAGATAATTTTTTCAGAAATAAGAAAAACAGAAAGGAAGACTTCCCTGAAATAATTATTTTATACCCTACAATTTGGCTATAATTAGGAAGGTTGGCAGTTTACGTTCAGAATGTAGACCCGTGGGAATACCTTTACCCTGTTACACTGCCTGAAAAGTTTGGATTGGCACAGCACACTGAAAACCATCTGGTAGTATTCAAAATTTGACGTTAATTCTGCAAACTCTTTAAGCCCCCGCGCCCCCAAGAGAAACTCTTGTACCTGTGCCATCTGAGGCCATCCTTAGCAGAATCCAGAGTACAACACGCAGGGTAACGAGTGTGTGCGTGTGTACACGTGCATGCAGATACAGATCAGTAGTAAAACAGATGGGTCAAGTTCAGTCTGTTCCCATGAATGGAAAATGATATGCAACAGCATGTGTGTATCAGCATAGTGACACGGAAGGCTAACATGTTACCATGAACTTTAAAGTTCAGAAACAGACAAAGCTAAATATCATAGTGCATGGGAGTACATTTGGGTAAAACTCTAGAACTTAAAAGGTGAGGGAACGGCACACACACACCCGGTGATGCCCAAGTCCGAAGCAGAGGGCGAGGGGACTGGGAGGGAGGCGGTGCTGGGCCCACGCTGGCCATGCTCCGGTCCCGGGTCCCGGGTCCCGTGGTCTGTTCGTGGGGATTCTCCGTTTTGTTATTCACACATCATGTTCTGTGCATTCAGTTTTGCTTACCAAGTTACCCAGCAGTTAAAATTTTAAGAATATAAAAGAAGATTGCTTTTTTTATGTATCTAAGTAGCTTATGCAAGACATTCTGGCTACCTTACGAATATCTAATATTTTAAAATAAATGATTAGTTAAATGACTGATCTCAAAGATTTTCCATATATAATTTTTGCTTCATTCAGACATCTAATTTTTAATTCCTAATTATGTTTACTGTGAAACCCGAAGTTTTCACTATTTTTTAGTTATTAGAATCATGTGTTCCGCTTTGATACAAGGAGAAAACACCTGTATATAGAGAAGCTCATAAAACTAAATTGTGATCTAATTACAGACTTGTGCTTCCTAAAGGAATCGGTTACAAAGTTAACAGCAATAAAAGGAAAACAAAGAAGAATGCCAGTTTCTCATTATGAGGAATAACACGGGGATTCTGTCAACTACAATGTGAGGCTTGTCTCTGGCAATATTGATTTAAGCGAATTGGGACTAAAAAGAATATTCTTAATGGATTCTATCAAAATGCTACCTAATGGTGTTTGTACTTACTTGTTTCTTCTGCTTGGAAGTTTCTTTCCCCAGAATGTCTCTTTATAAAGAAAATTTCATTGGCTTTGTTGAGGTGACATTGGTTAATAAAATTGTGCAGGTTTCAAGTACAGCTTTCTAATCCTCGTACGTCATCTGTGCATTGTGTTGTATATTCCCCAGAATGTCTTAACGTTAGCTCAGCTCTGCCTTCTCTCTTGATGCAAAGCTGTCCTTTTCCCTGTGCCCGGAACAGTGCTGGGTCATCGTAGAGGACCTGTAACGAAGGGACGCATGAAACAGAAGAGTGATAACGAAGCCGTAACAGCTTCCATTGCACCAGCGTGTCTAGGACGTTCGAGGCTGGGGGGGGGAAGGGAGGTTCAGAGAAAGTCTAGGCACGGTATTTCTGAAGTAGTCATTTAAATGCTTTATTCATATCTTTTAAAATAAGGTAGCCATTATTTTATTAATAAGCAGTGATTAATTTAGAATATAACGTAAATTTGTTACAGTATTTTTGAAAGCTGTAGAATTTCACAAAACCATTTTTATTAGATGATATATACTTAAAATGAATGATTAATTTGTGTGTGGGGGTGTATGTATTCATATGTATATTGTGTGCTCAGGACTTTTTGTCTTTCATCTCATATACTAATTTATAAATTTATCTGCATGCTAAGGGAAAGAAAATAACTGATGTAAGGTAAAAACTAATTATAATCTTTATTTCCTCAGATGTACCAAAAAGTGAAGAATCAAAATATACTCACTGTGGACAATGTGAAGAGTGTTCTCCAAAATAAATTTCCTCGTGCTAATATTTTGGATATTTTGGGAATTTATTCTAGATATGATGATAAAAGAAAGGTAATTTGGAATGCAAATTTTCAAATATAGGATCCAAGACCCTTTCATTATAATCTTACGAATTATCCTGGTGCAATTAACTCATGATTTGGATTTTAGTGCCTGAAAGAGAAGGGAGTTTTGAGAGCTCTGAATGAGGCGTGTTTTGTACCGTGTTTACATTCCCACCAGAGGCTCGTGGAGCAGTGCACACAGCCAGGCACCCAAGGGCGGTGGTCGCAACGTGATCGAAAAGCCAGCGTGGCTGCGCTGACTGGTTTTTGTTTTTAGTTGTAGAGGAATAGTTTTCCAAGTAGTTATTTCTGAAACGAGAAAGGTTTCACTGATATTTTGCCCCATTACTATATTTCCATATAATTAACAAACCTAAAAGGCAACTGGCATGAGCTTTCTTTAAGGACCCAGTTACACAAAGGCATCTCTTTTAGTAAAGTCATTTATGGCACTAAGGACAATTGAGAAGGAAAGTTATTTTTTTTGTAAGGATTCTGATCAATATGAATCGTGGAGGGAAGGAACAGAAATTTCCTGTAATGATTTTCTGTCCGCTCATGGAATGGAAGCAGGGGGAAGTTTCGTCACGGGGATCCGTGTGCCAAGGTTGAGAGCAGAAGGTGGCACCGGGTCGGTCCTAGAGTCAGCGCGTTTGGTGGGCTCATTATCGGGTCCGGGACGTTTTCTGTACAGACACATATGTTTCCATTTTTCTTTTTTTTTAATAGACATGGTTTCTTTACTCCTTGCTGCTAAGTGGTCTATCATAATACTGGTGTCCCAAATTCAGTAAAGACTAATTATACAAATGAACACAGGCATCAATGAATCTCTGATCCTGGTGATCGATATTTTTTAAAAAGTATACTTCACACTGTATGTCAAGGGTCAGCAAGCTACAGCCCACAGGCCAACTCTCGCCCTCCCACTGCCTGTTTTCGTGGTTCCAGGGGGACACGGCCTTGCTCACCTGTCCACGCGTTATATTTCTCCGCTTGTGCACTGGAGCGTCAGAGCTGAGTAGCTGCGACTGGACCCCGTAGTTCACAAAGCCAGAAGCACATGTCCTCTGGTCATAAGCAGAAAGGTCCCCAACTCTGCTCTGCCTTCCCTCAAGTGACGTTTGGGAAGGATGGATAAAATTAGCAAAATGAACATTTTTCCTCTGGCATATAAAAATGTCACAGTCTTCCTCCTTTTTCTGATGTAGTTCTTTTCTCCGACTACCATGTTCTGTTTAATTTGGACATTTTTTCACTGGATAGGCAGGAGCAAGCTTCTATAAGATGACCGGCCTGGGCCCTCTGCCTCAAGCTCTTTATAATGGTGAACCCTTCAACTATGAGGAGCCGGATATTCAAGAACTAGAGACAGCTCTCCTTCAGAAAATGATGGATACGACCATATATTTACAGAAGGAAGTTTTCATGGTAGGTAAGCGTTTGCGAGAAAATATATGATGACTGATATTTATAAATGACTTTTTAAATTAAAGCTTTTAATAGTAAAAGTGAATTTTGTAAAAATTTACATCCTAATCATTTTTAGTTGTGAATTTTTTAAGTAATAATTAATCAGCTTTACCTGTGCATAATTACATCTAAAATTGCTTAATTGGAAAGAAAATTCAAAGTTTTGCATGAAAATTTACTATGAGAATCCTAAATTACATATTATTTATTGTATTATAAATGCAAGACTTAACTTATAAGACTGCTTTAGATTTAGCAGTCTTAAAATATCATATCTGCATAATTTTAAAACATATGTATATAAATTACCTATGTTAACTAAATAGTAAGTTTTGTTATTTCAGGGCACATTAAATGACGGAACAAATGCAGTTGATTTCCTTATGGATAAAAATAATGTTGTACCTCGTATAAATCACTTGATTTTGTACACCGAATGGCAGCACCTTAATTTAATATCTACATCAGGTAAAATAATTCTCTCACATAGTTTTCTACAAAGGCTTATTGAATTAATGAGTTTTTTATTAATTCATTCTTTACTATTTAATGTGGAAATTTTCAGTAACTGCAGATGTTGAAGATTTCTCCACTTTCTCTTTCTTGGATTCACAAGATAAGACTGCTGTAATTGCAGAGAACATGTATTATTTAACCCAAAAAGGTAATAAGCATATTTTATTTTCCTGAATTTACTCCTAAAATAGTAAAAAAGTTGTAATTTTAGTAAGGTGTTTGCATAATATATTTTTATATGTTGATATTTGACTAGAGACCTGGTTTTCAATATAAGGGCTTGTAATTTGTTAGGATATAAGGGTCGTGCTGGGAAGATGATGCCCTTCCATCCTAAATAATTACAGATGCAGAGCGTTCATCTCAGGGCTTTTTGGGGGGTTTTCTTTGTTTTTTTTTTTTTAAAACAAGCTAGACTATTTTCACCTTTTGTGAACTTGACAGAACTCTTTCAAGACTCTGTAACCTGATACCTTGTGATGCATGAATAGAAGTGTAATTCCCGGGTCTGAGCAGAGGTGTTCTGAGCTTGCACTAAACGACCAGCGGATGTTGTGCTTGGGGGGGGGGGGGGGGGGGGAGGGGGCCCAGGACAGGAATGTAACTGGAATAGGAATTTAGCCTCGATTGGGAAGTCTGCAGTGGGGCCCCAGAGTCTCTTAGGGTATAGTGATTTATTCAGGTAAAGATAATTAGAGTTTGGTTTTTTGTTTTGCTCTGTTTAACCTGCTTTGCTGTGGAAAGAAAACAAGAGGCACTGCATAGAAGGCCGGTTTGTATTTCAGTGTGCAGAGCAGTGACGTTCCAGCACTGGGAGTGAGCTGCGAGCTGCAGCTGCGGTGGGAGGCTCTGGAGCAGGGGTGGGTTTTCACAGCGGAGGGAGGTGTGAGCAGAGGCGGCACAGCCAGCCTGGAGAACGCTGTGGGGCAAATGGTCCCAGAATTACTTTCTAACTGATCTGTGATTTTATGTTCAAAAAGTGGTCTTTTTACACTCAATCCAACAAATAATAAAATGTAAAATTAAAGGTCCATTTTTGGGTAGGTCAGTGTCTTGAATATGTAGAAGTGAAGGGACAAGGAGACAGATACAGGGAATAAAAGATGCAATAAGCATTTATGAGGTTATGGGCTGTGTCTCAGAAGTTACTTCTGGGCGTCAGGATAAGTTAGCCTATGATAATGCCCTCTGGTAAGTCTCTTACAGTTTAAAGGACTACTTTACTAACTGACATACACCTAAGTTTCTCTTATTTGCATTTATGTAAATGTGAAAAGAAAGAAAAAACTGAGAAATTTACTTAGCATTTTGGAAGTATTTCTTGGTTTACTGGCTCTTTCCGGGAAAGGGCTGACCATGAGAAGGCGTTAGGGTCCCTTACCTTTGTTCTTTGGAAAGAATGTACTGTCTGGTAGAGCACGTTTTTAGACTTGTGTTAAGTGGGTCATGTGATCTAAAGCAATGATTTTTCTACAGGCTTTAATGACGACCAGACAAATGTTATTTCAGGTCTTACAAGCCGAGGCTGGAAGAGATCAGTGTGTTTCGTTGAGGTGTCAGAATTAGTAACTGCCTCTTTCTGTAACTTTGCATTTCTTCGAAACAGGGTTGTACTGACGCTGGTGGCCTGAGATGACGGAGTAAGACTAACTCAGTAACAGCCAGACAGACATTTGTAATTAGATGAAACATAAGCTAATATTGCCATTTTTAGTGCCCAATAGTATGCTTTATTGTATTTGGTTTTGGATAGATGAGGGTATAAATATCAATTTTTTATTTTTTATGTTTTTTACAAGTGTAGCTAGAAGGCAGCTTCCCTTGCCAACACTGGAGCGTCGATGAGCGCTGCACCATTTCCTCTGCTCACGGAAGTAGCCTGCAGACAGGCCCCGGGGGAGGGCTGTCCTCTGTCTTTGGCGTCTGAATTTATGTGGCACTTGTATCACGAATCACATTTCTAGCATTCTTATTAGTGTGTCACTGTGTGTATATTTTAGTGATACTTGCTTATTTCAGAAAGATTAATTTTAGTATTTGTTATTTGTTTATATTTTGTTAACTGGATATGTCCTCCGCTTTTAGTTTGATTAAACTATTTGAAACTTTTAGATGAAAATGTAATTTCCTCAGTTACTCTCTGGATTGTGGCTGATTTTGACAAGCCATCTGGGAGGAAACTGCTTCTGAATGCGTTACAGCACATGGTGAGTAAGTCAGCCTAGGTAAAAGCACCTGAGAAACATGAACCAAAATATTTTATGAAATTGTTTTGTATTATTAGCTAAGTGTAAATTTATTGCTGTGTAGCAAATTACTCTAGAACTTAGTGGCTTAAGACAGTAACCATTTATTTTCTCAGTTTCTGGGGTTTGAGAATTCTGGATTGACTTAGCTGAGTGGTAGTGGCTTATATACAAAACTGCATATTTGTAAGTATTTTCGAAATGAATGAAAATTTGAATGATATTTAAACTTGACAGTTAAACCCAAATCTGCATGTGTGTGTGTTTGAAAGAAGAGTCGTAGTAAAATCAGTTACCTAAACAGAAATCTTAAAATTTAAAAACAACTACTTAAATGCCTATCAAATAAAACAAAGGAAAAGTTAAAATTAGAAACAAAAGGTAATGAGATGGAAGACGTATGACTTCCATTCCACAAAGGTCCACAAAGCCAAAAGTTGGTTCTTTAAAAAGATCAGTAGAAGGGCTAAAACACCTGGTGAAACTGTCCGAGAAAAGCGGCTCAGCAGACCTCAGAGCCAGCCCCAGACGGAAAGAGGGCGGGTCACCCCGGATCCTGTGGGCACAGCGGTGGTAGGAAGGTGATGTTTTTAGTTACTGACGGAATGAAACCTGTCACTGAAAAAAATGTTCAAAGTAAAAAAAGGCCAGATCCATATGATCTTAACTAGTACCAAGCCATACACAACAGTCTCACACACATTTTTTTCCAGAGAACAGTGAAATAAACAGTATATCCCAACTTACTTTACAAGATCAGCATTGCTTCAAAACCAGTTGTCTAAAAGGCATTATAAAGTTTGCAAACCTGTAGGCTGATCTTATTTATGAACATAGATGCAAAATTCCTAAAATGAAGAACAGGATGAACGAAAACCAAGAAGGAAAATTTTAAATTCTCATGTTTCTAAATTGTTTATATGGAAAATACAAGTAAATCAACACATAAATTATTAGAATTCTTTAGCTTAACTAGGTTGCTGAATAAACAGGTCAGTAATATAAGAATTAATTTTAAGAGTTGCAACAAACAAGAAATGCATTTTAAATGAAGATATCACTTAATAGTAGCAGAATTTTCAAGTTCTGGGAATAAATGTAACAGAATAAATTTTAAGACATAAAATATTGAGAGAAAATTCAGAAGTTCTACGTGAATAGAGAGATAAACCATAATTACAGATGGAAAGATTCAATATTATGGAGACGCCAGTTCTCCCAGGATTGATGTGTAGCTCCAGAGCAATTCCGATGTGAACCTCAGCACTTTTTATGGAAATCGTCAAGTTGAGTCTCAAATTTATGATGCACAGCACCAAGAATAGCTAGATTACTCTTAGGGAAGAGGAAAGCAGGGTAATTGCTCTGTTGGATATGAAGATCTTTTATAAAACTATCAAATTGAAGACAGTTTCAAAGGATAGAAAAATAGATCAGTGGAAAATGGGTGGAGGGCCCAGACCCACCCAAGCCCATGCAGGTGTCACGGTTGGGGCCTGAAAGCGGGGAGGGTTTCTGAAAGGGAACATGAAACCCAGTGGTCATAGTGAGAATACCAGTAAACTGAGCTACATTAAAATTAAGGACTGTTTTTTGTTAGGCACCATCAAGAGAATAAAAAGGTAGACCACAGAATGGCAGAAGTTATCTGCATACATATAACAAACAAAACAGTCAAGTCTTAGAACTCAAACTCCTGCAAGTCAGTAAGAAAAAGATAATTATCCCCAAGAAAATAATGGTAGAGACTGAATTGGCAAATCAGTAAAGAGGGCAGTGAACATGTTAAATAAGGGTGTTTAATATTATTGATGATGAGGAAAAATGAATTGGCCTTACATGTTTACCAGAATGATTTAAAATAGTCACTGGGGTAATGGTGCTTTCCTGTGTCACTGGGGGGAGTGAAAACTAGTCCAACTATTCTGAAAAACCTCAGTGTCTTCCGAAGTTGGAGCTATGCATACTCCGTCTGTAGAGCACAAGACCAAAAAAACTCAGCTGTCTAGCACCAGTGCAGTGGGTACGAGGGCAGGTTCATACCGTGGAATTCTATACAGCACCAAAAAATAAACAACTGCACCTACACAAAACAGTGTCGATGAATCTCAGCCATCACGTGGAGTGGGAAAAGAGCACAAAAGAATATGGACCACGTGACAATATTTATATGGGGTGCAAAATGGAGGAAACATTTAGCGAGGCAGGCTTCCATGGTAAATGATAAAGAAAAAGCAAGGATGTTGTTAGCATAAGCGACAGGACAGTGGCTGTCAGTAGATGGGGGTGTGGTCATTGGCAGGAGGCCAGAGCTGCCCTTGACCGTGCCCTGTTTCCTCACCTGGGGTAATTTGCTACGCTCTGCATTTTTGTTATGTATTTTGTTATCTCACAGGCACACAAGAAGCAGTTAAACAAAGAGTCGCATTATAAAATAATCATTATGCAGAGAGGTGAAGCAGTTGGCGTTACTAAAATGACTTCTTGGGTCATGTCAGTGACAGGTCACCTTCAATAGTCAACACAGAGTTTGACAGGGGCACTGCGTGGTGAAGGGTGGGCTTGAGTGGAAAGGAAACGGTTCAGCTATAAAGAGGCCTGTGAGATCAGCTCTTCTTCACCTATAAATGTGTTTTGCAGAAAACAAGTTTTCATAGTCGGTTGGGCATTATTTATAACCCTACATCAAAAATAAATGAAGAAAGCACAGCTATTTCTAGAGGAATTTTGGCAGCTTTTCTCACACAGAAAAACAGATTTTTGAGAAACTTTCTCAGGAAACTGGCAAGAGAAGAAACTGCTACAGCCATTTACTCTGGAGACAAAATTAAAGCATTCCTTATTGAGGTCAGTAACTGTTTGTTTGAAATAATTAGTGTGTATCGAATATTTCTAAAGTATAAATCCACGTGTTTGGAGATGTCATGTTACTAAAAAACATCAGTGAATACAATCATTTGGGGATAATAAGTATTCCTTTAAATGGGAAAAGATAAATGTTAAATGATATGATTTTACAGAGAGGCATTTAATAAATCACATTTCTTGTATTTCAGCCACTTCATGATCCTTCAGGTTGATGCCATTCTAGTTAGGCTGTGCACTTCGGGGTCGGGAGTTCCAGGGTTTCTTAAGTAATCCTCAGGTGTCTCCTTACTGGACCAAAGGGGTCCAGTGTGTGGGAAATTTCCAACATAGAAATGGTCTCCTGGAAGAAAAGTTTCTCTGACCCTTTCAAGAGATGTTTACTGTCTGCCAGACAATGGGGATGCACTCTGAACAGGCAGCACTGACGTGATTGTTGGGGACAGACCGAGTAAGCTGTGCTGGAAAGATGGGGGTACATAAGAAGGTAGGGAGTTTGAGAGAGTCGCTTTTAGCTGGAGTGGGCAGGAAAGGAGTTTCCAGAGAGCTTCCGTCTGGTCCGGTCAGAGCTCTGAGAGCAGCGAGAAATCGAGCCGTGGGCAGGCTGCAAGAAGAATGTGGCGGGTTCAGGAACATGGCAACTCTAAAGAGCCGACGTGGAGACAGTTGCCGGGAGGGACAGAGGTTCGGGCAGAAGGTCATTATGACCAAAACAGAGACGGGAGCACTGGGGCGTATGGGTGCAAACGTGGCCCAGGTGCTCCAGGCACTTGTAGGCTGCAGTTGGGAATTGAAACTTTTTCTGAGTGTCACGGAGGAGGTGAATAATCTTTGAAAAGATGGTTTTGGATACCGTGTGAAGGTTTCATAGCAGGCTGACAACAGTGGAGGTAGGATGAACAGTTAGAATGTAACTGTAGTAATCTAGGCAAGACATATGGTGTCTTGGGCTAGGTAGTGGTGGAGATGGTAAGATGGTGGATAATTAATACTACGTTATGGTCAGTAAGATTAGTTGATTGGTTGTATGTGACGTGAAGATAACAGGCTAGGATTTTGGCTCAAACAGCTAGACTTCATGGTGGTTTCTTTTTAGTGGGGAGTAGGTGTGGGAAAGTCTATATGAAAACAAGATGTGGGCACAGGGGGACCAGGTGCTAAGTTCTGTACGTGTTACGTTGGAGATGCCTGTTGGAACATTCAGGTGGAGGTGTTGAGTTCACAATTGAGTGAATGAGTGTAACTGGAGTATCATCAACAGCATGTATAATTTCAGGCTAAGAAACTGGAGGAGAAGTCTCTGTTAAGTGAGGGTGTGGTGGAGAGCAGAGAGGTGGCAAGCTAAGCCCTGGAACGTTCCAAAGTGTAGAGGAGCCAGAAGAGCCAGTGAGTTAGGAAGGTAACCAGGAGGGGGCGGCGTCCTGGCAGCCAAGCAGAGGGCTGTTTCGTGGAGGGAGTGGGCCCCTGAAGTTCCTGTGGGATAAATAGCAAACTGTTGTACGTCTGCTCTTAAAGAGATGTCAGAATATCGTAACTGACTCGACAAAGAAAGATTCCTGTTTTACAAATGTGCTTTCAGAAGAAAATACTAATTTTTTTGTCATAATGTAATATTTAAGTTTTATACTAATGTATCAAAGTGGGCTTTATTAATAGAATAACTTAACAGATTCACTGCTCTTTTATTTATTTCATTATTTTCCTGCTTTAGGGGATGGATAAGAATTCTTTTGAGAAAAAATATAATACCATTGGAGTGAGTATTTTTCGGACCCACCAGTTGTTCTGTCGAGATGTCCTTCACCTGCATCCTGGAGAAATGGGGATTGTCAGCAATGGGAAAGTAAGTAGGAAAAACAGTTGCTCACTTTTCTCGGTGACACTGTGATACAGGGTCACACACATTTTTCTGTCACAACGTACTCAACATCAGACTGGTCTGGGCACGAGTGAAATGCATGCGGAGAGGTTTCAGTTACGGCGCATCCCTCCCCCGGTGGATGAGAGCGCTGATGCGGGTGAGGAAGGATGTTTTCCTGGGGTACCGTTTATTTTGTCCTCATGTAAGTATTAGACTGAGCACGTGGCAGCACTGTGATCGAGAACCACTGTTTAGCAGGTGTAGACAGTGCATTGTGACATCTTATTCCTCTTGTTGCTTTCCCTACGGTTGTTTAATAACAGTGCAATGCTTTCGTATGCAGTATAGACTAGTGTTTATTCAAATAACCTTTAAAAATCTATAGGAAAAGTCACTTACCTCCACCATCCTAATAAATTTTATTAAAAGTTGATTGTATTAACTTCTAAACGCTTTTTTACCCTATTGAGTTATTTCTCATTTTCTAACATACATAATTATAGTTTTATATATAACTTTATATCACACTCTTAGTATATCACAAACATTTTTCTGATTAGAGAATCTTTATACACAAAATTAGTGGATAACAGCTATTTATTAATATACTTTGAATGTGATAGTCTGTTTTTTATTTCTGAGGAATTAAATTTTAAATAATTGAATCTGGTGCTTAGATTTATTAAGAACTAATGCGATGCTTTGACACCCGTCTGCATAAACTATCAAATTATATATTCCTAAGTCATCTCCAAAGCTCTAATATACTCTTGTTTTTTTGTTTTCTACATTTTTATGAGCTCTGTTCACCTGACTGTTTCATTCCCATATCACTGTTCCCATAAAATTATGCTTGCTTATTCTTTCTGGTCTGAATCCATAAAGAATATGGTTAGGAAGAGTAGGAGACCCACTTCCCCATGCTTCTACATATTAGATGCACCTGCTACATTGGAATGGTTTTTGAGCTGGTCGTATTAGTGTCAAAGGCAGTGAGACTCAGGTTCGTCTGTGGACCATGGCTGTTTTACAGGTTTGTGACGATGGTGGCCATTATTACAATAATATAAAGTACAGGATGGGGCAAAAGTAGGTTTACAGTTGTGAGTACGCAAAACAGTTTATTCTTATATCATTATTTATTTACTATTATATTATTTTTAATACAAACAAGTGTAAACCTACTTTTGCCCGACCCTGTACTGGTGAATTTTGAAAGTGAGTTATGTAGAAGCCCAGAAATGACATAGCTTTTTGTGTCCAGTAGTTACTTTGGGAGGAAGTGAGGCTTTTTAGAAGTTTTCAAGTATATGGCTACCTTTGGTTTTGTCAGTCATTTTAGGAAGTAAAGAGGGAAAAGTTCTATGTGCTGTATCTAGTACCTTGCCCTGTGATTATGCCTTGTGGAACAGTTACCCTGTGTTTTCTTTGCCACTATTTAACCTATTTCAGATATCATTATCAATATTAATGATAAATATTAGCTGTAGTTACATTCAACTTATTTCCCATAGAACTATGAGTTCTTCTCTTTTTCTGAAGTCGACAAAATATGAAGATAGTAATTTCTTGCCTGCTGTGAACCAAACACTATTCTAGGTTCTGGGAGTATAGTGGTGGACAAACACGTTTTCATGGTGTTTACATTTTGGCAGACAGGTGACAAACAGCATCCTTACTGCTAAGGTGTCATTTGGACAGAGAACCGAAGGAGGTGAGGAGGAAGCCATGTCTGGATGTGGAATGTTCTGGGTAGAGGCAGCAGTGAGCACAGGTCTTAGGAGGAGGCCGTGCCTGTGCGTTTTAGGAACAGCAAGCACATTGGGGGCAGATAGGAGAGGAGCTCGGGGAAGTCACTGGGGACCAGGTCAGTGTGGTTTTACAGGGTTTGAGGACGCCTCCTTTACTGCAAATGACTTGTGATGTTCACAGGTCTGCACCGGGCTTGGCACAACTTGACCTGCATTTACTGTGGGTCTCTAGTGGCTGTTCCATTGAGCGTGAACTACAGGGGTCAGGAAGCCTGGTGGGAGATGCCGCAGTGGTCCAAGCAAGAGGCGATGGTGGCTTGCCCCAGAATGGCTGGAGTGGAAGTAGTCAAAGGATGTGGGATATGTTTTGGAGGAAGGGCGACCAGGGATTGCTGCTGACAGTGTGGTTCACAGCAGGTGAGAAATCACGAGCAGAACAGGTTACCATGTGTTCCAGCAAGAAAGACTGCAGGAGGAGTAGGGGTCCGGGCGGAGTGGAAAGGGAAAGGTGGAGAATTCAGTTCTGGACGCATTTAGCAGTCCCTTGCTCCTTCCTGGACCTCCACGTAGGCTTGTTGAATTCGCAGTTGAACATATGACCTGAATTCAGGAGAGAGGTTGGGGGCTAGAGATAGTATTACATTAACTGACCTTTCATGTTGATTAATAGAAAATTGTTAATTTTGATTGTTCTGTTATTTGTACAACGTTGATTTGAATAGAAAAGTCCGGTATATCCAAAAGTAAGTTCAGTGGTTTGTGAACGCTAACCTAATACTTGGCTTGTGGCTCCGCCCCAGTCGTGCTCTGGAGCCCAGTAGTCACCGCAGTTCTGGCAGGTGGTGATCACTGTGAGTCAGACAGCTTCCTCCCGGCATCAAGTAGTTCCGACGTTTTAGAATGGATCTTCATTCTGAACCTGTCCAGATGCTTACGTCGGAATTGGAACATACTCAGAGTTACAATTAGGAATGATCAAAATTGGGACCAATGGGACTTTTAAATTTTTTTAATATTTTTATTTTTCAGTTACAGTTGACATTGGTTTTCTGTTAGTTCCAGGTGAGCAGCATAGTGGCTAGATGTTTATGTCACTTATGACGCAATCTCCACAATTAGGCGAGGACTCCCCCGACACCGTACATATCATGATATTATTAACAGATTTCCCTGTGCTCTGCTTTACGGGCCAGTGACTCTCACTGCCAATTTGTCCTAATTAATCTCTTCACCTTTGTCACCCAGACCCCTCTCGTCAGGCAACCAATGATGATACTTTCTTACTGCATGCTCAAGAATTATAAACTTGTGTTTTAATATGAACTAAACCCCTAAATAATGCTGTTGCTCTATTTATAACAAATTTTTATCACACTACATATTTGCAAATTGCTGAAAGACAGGGGTGGTTGAGTGTATGGCAACAAGCAAGGCCTTTTTTCTCTAAGCTGGACAGGTCTGGATACAAAATCCAGCTGTACCATTAACCATATCGCCTCTCTGAGACTTGGTTTCTTCATTTGTACAATGGGAATCATAATAGCATGACTTACAGAGTTGTCAGATTAAATATACTTTTGTACATAAAGTGCATAGAACAGCCCTAGACACTCAGTGAATTTTCAGTAACTGTTCACTCCTGTGTTCTCTTCAAATATCTGCAGACCGTCATGGGTATAGAGTGTGCCTTTGTAGGTCAACTTGTGTTACACTTGGTGGGCGTCAGTGTGAGGTCAAGGCCAGCTGGTCAACCCTCCACGAGTGGAGAGAGATTTTTAGCTCAGTAGGTGAAATGAATACTCTAACAGAGTTTCCTAAAATTTAATGAGCCGTCAAAGGAGGTAATGCATTTCTGGTATAGCAGTTATTCTGTATAACTGAAAAATTGCGTTTCTGAAAAGTTGTGAAGAAGATTTAAGCACCGGATAGGTTTTACTGTGCCAGTGTGTGATCTTCAGGTTTAATGTTCCTTTTTCCAGCATGGACGTGCTGTGACTTTATCCTATTCAAGTTTCTTTGCTTCACGAATAAAACCTTCAACTTCAAATAGGAGAACTAAAACACAGAAGAATCAAGTTTCTCCCAGCCATTTGATGCTGGACTTATGTCAGTGAAATATAGTCAGTTCTCTGGTGGATTTAATCAGTAAAAATAGCCATCTTGTTAATTCCTGAAGAAAATAATCTGAGGTTTCATTTCCTCATTCCGAGCTGCTAACATAACTGCTTGAGTCATTGGAGGCAGTAGAGATAGACTTTCAGCTCTTTTCCTGGCCTTTCCTATTCATCGTCCAGAAAATATGACATTGAAAGTGCTTTCAAAGTTACCTTAAAAATGATGTCAAATCTTAAGGTGATGAAATGTTTATATGTGGACTTTTAGTTTTAGAGTGCCCTTTTGTTTATTTTTTAGTCATGTTTTGTGTTTGTGGTGAAACATGATACTCCTATGACATGAGCAAATAAGAATTGGAGAACTATATTCATTGATTTTTAAAAATCATTAGCTGCAAAAGCACACGAAGGGGAAGTGAGAAAATCTGCAATTATTTCATTCTGGCCTTTTTACCAAGAGAATGGATTCTGCTTGACGTATTTTCTGATTGTCAGTAGGTACGATTGTTTAATGCATAAGGCCACTGCAGGCTGGCCTTCTGTGTACTTCAGGTCCATGTTCATAACAGCATGGCCATTGCCTGCGTTGGCTCCTCAGAAAATGCACGTGGCAGTAGCACTGGTAGGAGCTGTGATGGGGTGGCCGTCCTGAGACGTTAGGTTTGTGGCGGTTTGCCAGGCTCCCCGCTGCACTGCTGGTGTAGGGCTAACCCCTGCCACCTCACTGAGCTCCAAACCTTCTATGCAACACCCTGACATCCAGCAGATAAAGGCCGGTCGATGTCATTAAGTGATTATGTGATTTGTCTCCTGGTTTTTGCTCTTTTACACCTTGCTTATATGCTCATGTATACCTCCTATGGACTACAGTTTATAGATGAGTGGAAAATAAAATTAAAAGGTTTTAAGACATGTAGGCAGTTGCTTTCTTCATTTACTTGAGAAGGAAAAGGCTTAGGTTTTTTGAAGCATTATGTTTCAAAGTAAACCTTTCAAATGGAGATAATTTTGTACTTTTTGTGACTTTGATTTTGGTATTTATGCAAATGTTATTTGTGATATGAAAGTGAGAAAATATTTTTTCTACTTTTTATCTCAGTGGATTTAGTAGATGGTGGGATTAATAGCCACCATCTGTTTATTCTGTAATTGATTTTTGAGAAAATATTTCATGAAATGACTGGTATCTTCTAGAAGATACACAATAATTACTTTGTTTTAAGTTCTTAGGACCTTTAGATGAAAATTTCTGTGCAGAAGATTTCTCCTTGTTGGAAAAGATAACATTTACTAATTTAGCAGAAAATATTAAAGACATTGTCGAAAATATGGCAATCAGCTCAAAGAAGTAAGTATTTAAAATCATAAGAGCAATTCATTTCGGGGTTTGATGTTTTCCATATTTTTTTAAGATTAGAAAATGTATCAGATACATGCACAAATTAAGATATAACAGAAGACAGAGAAATTTTTAAAAAATAATAAAAGGTACCCATTTACTCATCATCAGCAAACCATAGATGTTATTTTGTTTCCTTTGCCTTGGATCTTACCGTCCATTCCCCACCCATCCCAGCCTCCTCACTTCCCAAGTGGTGACCATTTCCCTAAAGTTTGTTTACATGGTTCCCGTATTTGTGTTTTCACTTTTGCTTCATAGATAAATATGCATTTTCAGTTTTTATTGTGTCGGGTACCTTGACTTTAGAGAAATGCTGCTATACTGAAGACTTCTTTTGCTCTCTGCTTCCATAGAAGCTTTACTCCATTTATTAAATACATATATGTTATTTATATGTAACTGTACAAGCATACATATATATATTTATAATGTAAATAGGTATAGATATGTAACTGATATATACAGTGTACAATTTGTATATAAGTATATAAGTGAATATGTAGATAGACACACTTACTGGGTGTTTTTCAAGGGTTCTTCAGTGAAGCTTTAATTTTTTGTGTGAAATCTTGCACCTTTTTAAAATGTTTAAACTTATTTTCATTTCTTACTGTACTTTCCTCCTTATCCCCCATACCCTCCCCCCAGGCCCCTCCCCCACGATGGCCACACTGTTGCCAGTGTCCAGGGGTCTTCTTCTTTTCACTCACGCCACCTCTCACATCCCCCAGAGCGTCAGCCTGCTCTCTACCTATGGGTGTGCCTCTTTTTTGCTTGTTAGTTCAGTTTGTTCATTAGATTACAAGTATGAGTGAAATTGTGTGCTGTGTGTCTTTCTCTGACTGGCTTACCTCACTTAGTATAGTGCTTGCCAGGTCCATCCGTACTGGATTTTTTACCACAAAGGGTAAAATTTTCTTCTTTTTTAAGGCCCAGTAGTGTTCCATTGTGTAAATGCACCATAGCTGTGTTATCCACTCATCTACTGATGGTCAATTGGGCAGCGTCCACATCTCGGCTATTGTTAATAATGCTGCAGTGAACATAGGGTGCATGTATTCTTTCACATTAGTGTTTTGGGTTATTTTGGATAAATTCCTAGAAGTGAATTGCTGGGTCATATGGCAGTTCCATTTTTTATTTTTTGAGGTAGTTCCACACTGCTTTCCACAGTGGCTGCGCCAGTCTGCATTCCCACCAACACTGCCCTCTGGTTTCCCTTTCTCCACAGCCTCGCCAGCACTTGCTGTTTGTTGATTTATTAATGGTGGCCATTCCAACAGGTGTGAGATTATATCTTTGTGGCTTTAATCTGCATTTCTCTGATTATTAGTAACACCGAACATCTTGTCATATGTCTACTGGCCATCTATATGTCCTCTTTGGAGAAGTGTCTATTCGGGTCCTTTGCCCATTTTTTATTTAAATTGTTTGTGGGGTTTGGGGGGGGTTTGGTGTTGATTTTATAAGTTCTTTATAAATTTTAGTTACTAACCCCCTATCAAATGTACTGGCAAGTATGTTCTCCAATAAATGGGTTGTTTTTCGTTTTGTTAATGGTTTCCTTTGCTGTGCAATATCTTTTTAGTTTAATGTGTACAATTTATTTTTTCTTTTGTTTCCTGGCAAGGGAGCCTAGGGAGAGATACCAGAAAAACTATTGCTGCAGGCAAGGACTGAGATTTTACTGCATGTTTCCTTCTAGGATTTTTATGGTTTTGAGTCCAAATTTAAGCCTTTAATGTATTTCAAATTTATTCTTGTGTGTGGCATAAAAAGGTAGTCTAGTTTCACTTTTCTTCATGTACTTGTCCAATTTTACAAAACCATTTATTGTATAGACTGTCTTTGCCCCACTGTATTTTTTTTTTGCCTCCTCTGTCAAATATTAATTGACTGTAAAGGTGTGAGTTTATTTTTTGGCTCTCTCTTCTGTTCCATTGCTCTCTATACCTATTTTTATGCCAGTACCAAGCTGTTTTGATTTCTACGGACTTGTAGCATAGTCTGATATTAGATAACATGATTAATCCAATTTTGTTCTTCTTTATCAAGATCACTATTGGTATTCAGGGTCTTTTGTGGTTCCATATAAATGTTTAGAATGTTTTTTGTAGTTCAGGAATTGAATTGAATCTATAAATTGCTTTGGGTAGTATGGATATTTTAATGATGTTAATTCTTCCTATCCATGAACATGGTATCCACTTATTTGTATCTTTTTCAGTTTCTTTCTTCAGTGTTGTATGACTTTCCAAAAAGAGATCTTTTACATCCTTGGTTAAATTTATTCTTAGGTATTTTATTCCTTTTGAAGCAATTATGAATGGGATTTTCTTAATTTCCCTTTAGATAGTTTATTATTGGCACATAAAATGCAGCTGATTTCTGGATATTAATTTTGTATCCTGCTACTTTACTGAATTCATTTATCCGGTCTTGGTGAAATCTTTATGTACAGTATCATGTGATGTGCAAATAATGACAGTTTTACTACTTTCTTTCACATTTGGGTGCCTTTTATTTCTTCTTCTTGTCTGATTGCTGTGGCTAGGACTTCTACTACTGTGTTGTATGAGAGTGGTGAAAGTAGACATCCCTGTCTTTTTCCTGATCTTAAGGGGAACACTTATAGTTTTTGCACATTTAATATGATGTCTGGTAGTGGGTTTGTCATTTATGAGCTTCATTATATTTAGGTATGTTCCCTCTGTTCCCACTTAGCTGAGAGTTTTTATCATAAATGGATTTTGGATTTTGTCAGATGCTTTTTCAGCATCTATTGATATGACTGTGGTTTTTCTTCATTTTGTTTATGCAGTCTATCATGATTATTGATTTACAGATATTGTACCCAACCTAAACCCCCAAATAAATTCTACCTGAATTGCTATATTCAGTTTGCTAATATGTTGTGGAGGATTCTAGCATTTCCATTTATCGGGGATATGGGTGTATAATATTCTTTCTGTGCAGTGTCTTCATCTGGTTTGGGAATTAGGAAAATTCTATCCTCATAAAATGAACTTGGGAGGCTTCCCTCCTCTTGAATTTTTTGAAATAGTTTGAGAAGTTCTTCTTGTAATATTTGGTAAAATTCACCTGTGAAACCATCTAATCCAGGGCTTTTGTTTGCTGGGAGTTTTTTTGTTTTATTAGTGCTTCTATTTCACTAGGTGTAATCTGTCTATATAGATTCTCTGAATCTTCCTAATTTCATTTGGAAGATTATATATTTCTAGGAGCTTATTTAGTCCATATTTTCTAATTATTTGGCATATGGTTGTTGGTAATATTTGTTTGATTCTTTGTATTGCTTTGGTGTTAGTAGTTCTCTTTTCATTTCTGATTGTATGTATTTGGGTCATCTTTTTTTCTTGATGAGTCTGGTCAAAGATTTGTCAGTCTTGTTTATCTTTTCAGAAAGCCAGCTCTTAGATTCATTGATCATTGGTATCAGTTTTTTAGACTTTATTTCATATATTTCTGCTCAGATCTTGAGTCTTTTACTCAGTTTGGGTTTTACTTGTTCTGTTTCTAGTACCTTTAAGTGTTAAGTTAAATTGTTTATTCGAGATTTTCTTGTTTCCCGACGTAGGCCTGTAATGCTCTGAATTTCCCTCTTAGGTCCGCTTTCCTGGTGTCCCACAGATTTCGGGTCACTGTGTTCTCATTTTCATTTGTTTCAAGGTGTCTTTTTTTCCTTGATCTAATTGTTAACCCATTCGTTGTTTAATAACATGTTATTTAGCTTCCATGTCTGTGTATTTTTTGAGTTTTCTGCCTGTGATTGATTTCTAGTTTTATAGCATGGTCAGAGAAGATGCTTGATATGATTTCAGTCCTCCTAAATTTACTGAGACTTATTTTGTGTCCTAACATGTGGTCTGGACTAGAAAATGTGCTTGATAGGAATTTCTATTCTGAGGCTTTGGGGTAAATGCTCTGAAGATATCAATTAAATCCATTTGCTGTAGTGTGTCCTTTAAGACTGCTGTCTCCTCACTGATTTTCTGTCTGGAAGATCTAGTCATTGAAGTCAATAGGATGTTAAAATCTACTGTTATGACTGTATTTCTGGCGTTCTCTCCTTTTATGTTTATCAGTATCTGCTTTACATATTCAGGTGCTCCTCTGTTGGGTGCATACATGTTTACTAGGGTTGTATCCTCTTGTTGTGCCCTTTATTGTTACGTAGTGTCCTTTGTCTCCTACTATAGCCGTGGTTTTAAAGTCTACTTTCTTATATACAAGTGTTGCTACCTGGCTTTTTTTTCTTTTGTACGAAATATCTTTTTCCACCCTTTTTAGTGAGTGTGTCTCTCTCATTCTGAGATGGGTCTCTTGAAGACAGCATACACATGGGCCTTGCTTTCATAGCTACCCTCTGTCTTTTGATTAGAACAATGAACCTTTTGCATTTAAGGTGATTATTATAGACACGTATTTATTGCCATTTTATTTGTTTAGCTATGTTCCTCTCTTTTCCTCCTCCCCCTCCTCCTTCCTTTAACGTTTGTTGTAATACAGGTTTGGTGGTAACAAACTCCTTTAGCCTTTTCTTGTCTGGAAAGCTCTTCATTTCTGCTTTAATTTTAAATGATAGACTTGCTGGGTAAAGTAGCCTTGGTTGTCGGTTCTTACTTTTATTACATTGAATACATTTTGCCAATCTTTTCTGGCCTGAAATGTTTCTGCTGAGAAATCAAGTAACAGCCTTATGAGAGCCTCCTTGTAGATAACTGCTTTTCTCATGTGGCTTTTTCTTGGTTTTATCTGTCATTTACTAAATAATGTTTGTTAACACTACCACTAGGATTATGAATTTATCATTCTCATATTCTTATCAAATTTTGTTTTACATATTTTGAGCTATATATTATTATGTAAACCCCGATTCAGAATTATTAGCTTTCTAGTGAATTATTCCTTTTATTATTATATGAATTCTTTTCTGATAATGATTTTGTCTTAAAGTCCTTAGAGTCTGATATTTAAGCTACATCAACATTCTTTTTGGGTAGTATTTTTCTATTATATATATTGTTATTTTTTAGTTTCATTGATCCATGCATCTTAGAGCAAATATGTACATATTTAAGGCTGCTATCTTTCCAGAACTAAAGATCTAATTCTTACTGTAGATTATAGTATTCGGATCCAGATGAAACTGATGCCCTTACTTTATCCCTTAGGGTGTGATTTTTTTTTAATATTTATTTAGGAAATAATGGTAAAAGGAAATTTAAAATATCTGTAAAGTACTAGTAAGGGCTTTTCTACAGTGAAGAGTTAATATCCATAGTTATTTTCAAGTGCAATAAAACAAAAGAAAACTTTAAAAAGCAAAAAAGTTATTATTTTACAATTAAATAATGTAGGACTAGTATATGTTGAAAAATTTATAATTCAGTAATTTTATACTGACTATTATAAAAATAATGCTAAAATTTTAGACCTAATTTTTTAACTCTTGTTTGGTTAAAAAATATGTGGTTTCAGGAAGCTATTCTAGCCACTATAAAGCTGCATTTCAAACCAAAATCACCACAAAAAACCAGTAACATTAACCTGTAACAGCTCCCTCTCTGATTGTGTTAAATTGTTATATGCACTGAAGCAATGCTAAACAAGGTGTGTTTTAATTAGAATAAATTCATATTCACTCAAATCTGAACATACATTAAAGGCATGTATTTTTATTATCCTGCTTTTTAAGAGTTATCTAATGAAAAAGGGGAAGGGTTTACAGGAACAAGTGTAAAGGACACATGGACAGAAACTAGGGAGGTGGAAATGGGAGGGAGGTGGGGAGGGCTGGGGGGTGGGCTGGGATGGGGGTAAAGGACAGAAAACTACGTGAACAACAATTAAAGTAAAACAAAAAGAGGTATTTGATGAGGAAGGTAGAACTGAGTCCTCGGAGCTGTCGTCTCTAGGAGCACATCACATCTGGTTCTGGAGTGGAGTGGGCACCGTGCTCCGTTCTGAGAGATGTCCCCAGCTTGATAGCAGCAGGTGCCGAGTTCCTAGTGCCCTTTCTCCGCATTAGTCTATAGCACGTTCCAAAAGGAAAAATTGACCTGCGTAACTGAAAATTTGGCAGAGAATTTGAGGAAAGGTTATTTGGGGCCTCAGAGATTTTCCTTTCTCATCGTCCGCTCTTCTGAGTACTCAGGCAGTCAGCCCAGGTTAAGAAGCCTGGGGAGCACATTTGACCGTTAGTATTTCCTCCATTGTGCCTGCTGTTTTATGTAGTAGAGATTATGTGGCTAACAAGTACCTTTGAGAGGGTTTAGGAATATAGATTATGACTTGGGTTAATTAATTTACTTAATATATGTTTATTACATGGCCATTAAATGCAGTGCTCTGTGAAAAATATGGTAGGTGTTATGGACAGAAACCTACTTTTAACAGAAAATCCTGCATTTCAGGAACTTGCATGCTAGTACAAGATGGTATAGTAGAGAGATACTAACGAGAGTCTTGACCACTCTATTTTTTCTCTTTTTTTACTGAAGTCTTCTGTAAATTTCAGTAAGCACATTCTGCCCCAACATGATAGGTATTTATTTTGTGCATTCTTAGTTTTCAGACTAATTAAAAAACAAAAATCTGGGCTTTTTAACGATATTAAAATGATTTGACGGTGGATACCTGTTGTTTTTCTTCTCTCCGCCCTCCTTTCTTCGCTGTGTGGGCTGCAGCACCCCTGCCCGCACCCCACAAGCACTGACGTGAGTAGAATGATATGTACCATGGTGCCGTAGACGCTGTGAAAACACTGCGTAAAGGGCTCAAAGGTCACATCAATGATGAGGAAGCACAGGGTGACTTTAAAAGCAAGTCTCTTACCTTAAACTGACAAATGCTACTTAGAAGTTTGGGAGAAAAATGATTTATATGAAGTTTGCCCTTTGGACGTGTTTTAAGTTAAATTCCTCTTTCTTGGGGCATTAATTGTGACGCACAGTATATCCATTTCTTTCCCTGGAACACTCACCATTGTTCATCTCGTTCCTCTAGCAAGAGCGACCTTGTCATGAAAGTCGATGCCCTTGTGTCCTCGTTGCCTCTGCGTGCACCTCGTCACGATGTCACATTCCTAAAAGAGAACCACAGGTAGGGATGTGACGGGCTGGGCTGTTCTGTCACCAAATCCTGTGTGCTCAACTGCGCTTTCCATTTGTGTTCACTGTAAGCAAAATTGAGGAAGAATTAGATGGTCTGTGTTAGAGAATAAATGTATCTGACAAGATGAGGAAAAGAAGTTCTTGTTAATTATTTATAAGGTATATATGGGATTTCAAATCAGTTATACCAAGTATGATTTGTTTTACCTTTGATGCTCAAGGTCATTTGCAGCAGCATCTTCGTATTCTCAGTACAGAGTTCTGATGAATAAAGTGTAGACATGTACCACAGCATATCCCAGGATCACCACTCTGAGATGCTGACGGAGATTTTGGGGGAAAAAAAATCTGCTCTGTGGTGAAGCGAGCTTAGAGAACACGGGTGGGGGGTGTTTTCAGTGTTCGTCCACACATGTGTGGTTATGAGTGTGTAGTTAATAAACAGAAGTTCATTTTTGGTTAATTCAGTTGGGTAACTTATTTAACTGTGGAACACTTTCTTGTTAAAAATTTACTATTTTATAAGAATTAGGTTTCTAAAGATAGCCATCAGAGAAATACTGTTTTAGAATAGTAAACTAGTTTATAATTTCACTTTGAAATTTGAATTAAAGTTTATCATTGCCACTGGTATATGTAAAGTAATCTGTATCCCCAGAAGGAGACCCTATTCTGTGGTTTTTAATTAAGGACCACTTAGAATTTGAAAAAGAATCAGTTAGACATTATTATGTAATGAAGCTATAGACATGTTTTATTTTATGGTTTGTTACTAATCCCTGCTTTTATAAAACTAAGTTGAGATATATGACTTTGTCATAAATATAAAACAGCTGACACTGGTCAGTTTTCTGACCTTACGGTAGATGTCATCTGTGTGCTTGTGTTTATTCACCACAGAAGATAAAGCTTCAGCTCTAGAAAGCCTGTCTTTTCAGGTGTCTTCACAGGTGCATTCTCAGGGAAAATTACTTTCTAATAGAGAGATTATCTGGCCCTGTTGGGAGTGAAGTTTCATTTTCAGATAGCTGAGATTCAGTGCTTTCAGGTATTTTTAACACATCCAGTGGAATTCTTTTTACAGAATTTTTGATTTCTTGAATACTGTGTTCTGAAATAATTCAACACAAATTATTAAAACCATCTTTGTAAATGTCAGCCCCTGTACCGTTCCCAATAAGTTATCTTATACTCGGGAATGTTTGCATGTTTGGAAAGATCTACTCTGACATTAGACATTTGAGACGTTTGCTCGCTTCCAGGGTGACGGTGGTGGAGACTTGCTTTCTCTCTCTGGCTTTCTCATTCCATCAGGGTCCTGCCGCTTTCAAGCCTGCTGCCTTAGTTCATGTGGAGGGATGGATACGGGTGACTTCGTGACAGTGGTCTACAAGTCCCCAGTTTTTTCTGGGAACTGGGATTCCGATTTATACGACCTCACAGAATTGGCAGTAATTTGAGGGGAAAAAATTTAAAGTAGCAGTAACCAGATGCCTACTTTATCCATAGTGTTTTATAAAACATACAGAAAGTGACCGGTAAATTTGTAAAACTTTCACCAAGATAACTGTAGGAATTAACCATTATAGATGATCCCTTTACTTTAAAACCTTTGATTTGTAGCCCTTAATTTCTGGCAGCAGTTATCCAGCAAGATCTGTTGTCTAGTCCTGCCATTTCTATTTTAACACAATTAAATCATATCAACTGCATATAAAATAAAATGTCTTTCATTTCCCTATGTTGGAAGGACCCATATTTGAAGTGGTTTTTACATTACCTTTTATTTAATTGCTAAGAAATTTAACATTTCACCTACCTCTCATTGGCTTTTTCTGTGCTTTTAATTACTTTCTTCTAACACTTACCTTTACAGATTGGTTTGTATTTTAACTTAGATCAGTAACAGTCGAAATAGAAAGGCAGAGAGGAGAAGATGAGGACCACATGTCTGGGGTGAAAGTGCAGCAGCAGCATGGGGGTGCCCAGAACTTTTCTGTTGTAACGTGCTGGGGTTTTTAACACTAAATTTAATGAGAGTTCCGGAGTGTCGATGCTGTCACTCTCAGACCTGGGACAGCGTGTTCAACTCAGAAGCATCCTGGCTTCATTTTTTACGTCGTGTGACCAGGGGAGTTTGGGGGCATGAAGTGATCAGTTTTCACAATAGTAGTATTGTTCTCGGAGGAGTTCTTTAAACTCACTCATTCATAAAAGCTTTTATTTTCTCTAATTCTTTGCAGTTTTCTAATTTATTGAACACAAACATGAGGGTTTTAAATTTGTATTTTCTTTGGTGAAACAACCAGGGATTTTTTTAATCTCGTGACACAGAAAGCAATTTATAATCACGTATACCGCTAAGATTGGTTGGTAGTGGAGTACATTTAAGGACCCTCTTTGACCTCACTTACTGTTCATTTTCCTAGCGTCGTAAAGACGGACCCTCAGGAAGGTGACATGTTCTTCGATGTCGTCGCTGTCGTTGACCCGCTGACGAGAGAAGCGCAGATGATGTCGCAGTTACTGATCGTAAGGCAGCATTGCCGCTCTGTGTCACCACGTGCACCGCGTCCCTCCGTGCCCTTCACTGGGGTTCTGTCCCAGTTGTCCCGTTTCCCCCGTTGCGCCCCCCTGCCCTGCCCTCGTCCCCAGCGGCCCACCCCACCCTGTCGTTCACGGCCATGGGTCATTTATGCTTGTTCTTTAGCATACAAGACCTTTTGAAATTTATAACCAATCTTTTCAAGTCTGTTTTCAACTGTAATTAAATGTGTGTGCTCTTGATTCGATTCCATTCAACGTTTTAGGCAGATCACCGTATTTAAATGTATAAAATGAGATGATAGAGCTGATGATAGATGATAGATAATTCTTGGCAGCCCCGAGATTAGGTGGTGTTGCTGTGGGCTTCATTGCTGACCCCCAAAAGTTCCTGGGTTGAAGCCCTAGCCCCCAGTGTGGCTGTGTTTTGAAATAGGGCCGAAGGAGGCACTGAGGTTAAATGAGGTCTCACAGGCCGGGCCCGGATTAAAAGCACTGATGGCCTCGTGAGGAGAGCTCTCTCTGTCCCCTCGCTGGCACAAACAGGAGGCCCTGTGAACGTGGCAGGACATGGCAGCGGGCTGAAGCCAGGAAGAGCGCTCTCGCCATAAACCGGATTGGCCAGCGCCTCAGTCTAAAATAAGTATCTGGTGTTGAGGCCAGCTTCCCAGTCTGCGGTATCTGGTTATGGCTGCCCGAGCTGCTTCCTGTCTTCAGGCGTGAAGACTGGCCTCCAGAGAAGCTGTTGCCTAAGCTTAATTAGTTGAAGCTTGAATATAAAAGTGCCATTAGCCAAATGGGTGAAGCTGAGGGAAAAGGGACTGCAAAGGCCATAGGTTTGGCCACCCTAACGAAGGCCGATGTGACAGCACCTTCAAGGCCGGATTCGACTTCCCTCGCCTCACAGAGCAAGTGGAAGGTGATGGGGGAGGTGCCAGGGCAGCTCCTGCCCAGTTGGTCTGTCATCTCCACGAAGCAGCAGTCTGAGGTCAAGTTCCTAACATCGCCTCTGTGTTTCTGCCAGCAGGGGGCACTGCCCCACAGCTGGTCACTTCTCTCTGACCAGGGTGTAGGCAGGCAGGGTGGGGACTCTGTGCACCCGAAAGTTCTTTCACTGGGGAAGTAGGGGGTAAGGAATACTGGGAGACCACTAGTGGACTCTGATGGGACATCCATCATAGGGCTTATCATTTGAACAACTTCAAGATTCAAATTGTGAGTCAGCTTTCAGAAGTTAAATTTGAATAAGCTAGTTACATTAGCAGGCTGTGTATTTTTTCTAGGGATGTTCAAAATGTGGGGGGACTCCTGTGTGAAATTACTCAGTGCTTTTTCATTAGACATTGAAAAATTCTCAGAAGTAGAAACTCTCTGTCCTTTGACAGTGGCTTCTCTTTTGGAAACAGGCAGAAGTGGCCAGACACTGAGTCTGGCGGAAGATGTAAGTGGTCGGACAGGGTCACCCTGTGTGCTGTCTGTCGGGGCCCCAGAGGCAGCCGCTCCCAGGAGGAGGTCACCCTGCCCAGCCTGCGTTTGTTCTGCGCCCTGTGTCTGTTTTTTCTTCTTTACCTTTATCTTTTGTTTTCTATTACCTTTCAAATTGTCACTGACTCACTTCCTATATTGGGCACAATCAAAATCAATAATTTCCCTACTTTTTTTAAACAGCCCTTTTCTTTTTTATTAAATTTATTGAGTGATATTGGTTAATAATTCTTATGCTCCAGGGAAATGAAAATAGATTATTTCACAATCTGTGTGTAGCCAAGAAATTCCTGCATCCTTTACAATGTAGTTGGAACAACAGAGGCCCAAGGGCACCCTCTCCATTGTTGTGAGGTCGCCACTTTGTGTTTGCAGGTCAAGATATTGATTATTATTTTACTTATTTTTTAATGCTAAGGAAATTGAGATGCCATGAAAGAAAGTCACATTCGGTGAAGGGTAGGCAGCGTAACTCCTGGGCAGTGAAAGCAATGGTTTGCATTCAGACCTGACCTCTGCCCTGACCTAGCGTGTGATCCAGGGCCGAGGTCTGTGTGTCTCTGTGCTCAGCTGTGGCAGCAGCAGCCTCCAGAGGGTGTTCAGAGGGTTGGATGAGATAACGAATAGGAAGTGTTGCCGCAGTGCCTGGTACCTAGCAAATGCTCGGTACATGGTAGTTATTAAAGTTACATAATATCAAACATGGGAATTTTCTTCTAATAGGTGCTTGGAAAGATCGTCAACATGAAGTTGAAGCTGTTCATGAACTGCAGGGGTGAGCGCTCAGAGGCCCCTTTGAAGAGGTGAGTCTCAGGGGGTGTGGTTTCCTCTCGAAAGACTTGCAGACACTGCAGTGAAAAAAAGGGCCATCGTCCTGTGCCTGTGCTGCTTCTTCACAAGGTGGTTCGCTGAAGCAGGTCAGAAGTCAGGCGTAATTTATTAACTTTAAACGGTGTAAAATTAAAGCAGCCTGCCCAGCAAAATGTGTCACCTAATAGCAGAATGCACTAATTGCAGATCTATGTTTATCCATGGGCATTTTTGAAAATACGATTTAGGAATGCCTATGTAGAAATAAATAGGAAATAAAAAGTAGGAAACAGATTGAATTATACCATGTTTGGTTTATCTGTACTTTCAATACTTCAGAACTAAATTATCAAAATGATCTTTATTTTATTATACTATATTATTGAGGATATTGGAGATCTATTTACTTTAGAATACTTTTTAATGATGCAAAAAGGTTTATTGTTATAGGCAAGTATTTCTTATTAATGCTGTTGAATAAAAACTGTACTCATGGAGCTGATAGAGCTCTGAATTAGTGGTTAAAATAGGGTGAAAGCATTTGTTCATATTTAGAAAGACAGTGAAGTTTGAAATACAAAAGATAAATGAGAAGTATGAAAAGTGAACGAGCTCATTCACAGGAGTACAAATCATCTGCATAGGAGCACTTACAAAGGCTTTGGATATGCAGTGAAGAGTAGGAATGTTGAGTGTAAGTCAGCACAGTGGTTTAGGAGGGGAAGAACTTAACTTCTCTAAGGTGAAATAACACCTATGGCACTTGATGGTTGCTTTGAGTGGTTATTATGCTACACAAGGTTAAAAACTGTAAACTGCTTTCAAGTGTGAATTAAACAGTCTTAAATATTCAGTAGCATATATCGAGCACACTAGTGATGTTACCAGCCCTTTACTTTTAGTGTAAACAGTGTCTCCTCCTCCTTGGAGGTGATGGAGCTCAAGGGCAGGGATTCCCTCCGCTGCCTCCTCTCCGGCCCGCACCTCCCCAGCCTCCTGCTGTGCTTGGGCGGAATGTGCTGTCTGCCTTGGGTGACAGCGCCCCCTCTGTTTTGACCCCATGCTTTCCCATTCGTTCATTTCTCTTTCCTTCTGTGTATCACATAGTCCCTTTGTTCTGTACCTTTAATCTCCCTACCAGCCTTTTTCAGTCCAAAGAGTTACTCGGTTTTTAAAAACGAAGGAAACAGCTCCCTCAGCTTCCCCTCCTGCGGAGCCCTGGTTCGCCGTTCTCTCCTGCAGGCTTTCCCAGGCTCGCGTCTGTGAAGAGTGGTCACGGCCCCTCCCTGTTTCCCGTTCAGTTTGGACCTCCCACTGCAGCTTGGCTTCGTCTGCTCTGCTGTCAGATTGACCTGATAATCACAAAGAAATGCTGTTTGCATTATGCGTGGGGTACTTTTTCCTTGATGACGTTTCACTGCATGTGACAGTGCCCAGGACTTGTTTTGTACCTCTGCTTCATGGCTGCTCCGCCCTGTGTCTCTTCTTAGCCGCCTTCTTTTTTGACTCCACCTTCCTGCAGTAAACAGGTTTGGACTCGGCTGCTGGTGGTCACCACCCCTGGGATTCCCGCTCTGTACACTCCCTTGAGTGTGGACCGCAACAGATAATTTGCTTCTGATAAGTAGGACATGGCCCCAGTGATGGGACGTGTCTTCCGCAGTTAGGTTATCGAAGACTGTGGCTTTTGTCCTGCTGGCGTTCTCTCTCGTTCTTGTGTGCTTCTCTGAGGAAGTGTGTGGGGGTGACCCTGTGGCAAGGAACTGCCGGTGGTGCCCAGCCAACCATGAGTGAGGACCTGGAGTGGTCCTTCCCCTTCAGGCCTCGAGATGACTGCAGTCTCCTGTCTGGAGACGTGGCTGTTCTTAGTGATATAAGTGATGATGGTTTTGTGGGATGTGGGAGGTAAGACTAAAATACATGAAAAACGCAAGTCTGTCCATAAGCAGCTACTTTCCCCTTAGTCCTGTTTGTTTTTAACTGAACTGTTACAACTGGTATGAGAATTTCGGCTGGACTTTGCTTTGCTTTCTGGTCATTTCTCTTCATATTATTAATGGTACTAAAAGCTAATAAAAGGCTGGAAAATACACGGGTCAAATTTGAAGGAGTATTGGTGAGTGAATACAGATCATAAACTTCTAGAACCTGCACAAGTCAGTATTTTAAAGTTGGTTAATTAAGAAATAATTAACAAGGGGTTGTGTGTATGTGTACATATGGTCTTCGATAATTAAACAAAATAATAATTGCCTGCCATTCACAAGCACTGTCTCTTCTGCAATGTAATGTGTTTAGTATTTTTATTTGAAGACATTTTGTCATTTATAAACCATTTTTAGTTTCATAATATTTTGGTCAGAAGAAGTCTCAGTTTGGGTCAAAGTACTGTTTTCTTCGTTTGTTTTATCAACAGTTTTTACCGATTTGTTCTGGAACCAGAACTGACGTCAGTGGCTAATGGCATCATTGAACCAGGAGCAAAATTCTCGGACATCCCCGAATCGCCTCTCCTCACCCTCAACATGATCACCCCCGAAGGCTGGTTGGTTGAAACAGTGCGCAGCAACTGCGACCTTGACAACATTTCCTTGAAGGACGTAAGTTGTCGTGTACAGTTGTCCAGAGTTGTGTCATGTGAGTGACATCAGCCACTGCAGCCTCAGCAAGCGAGCGCCCACACAGTGGCTGCTCACCAAACTGCTTTTCTTCGTGACTCCACGTTTCCCAGTTTCCCTAACTTCCAAATTCAGCTTCTCTGCTGTTCTGGGTTTCTAGATGTCCGCACCTTTGTTGGTGCTTCAGACCCCGGTTCACAGATGCTGCAGTGAGATGCACCACGTGGAGAGGGAGGTGTGGCCGCCTAGGGCAGCACCTCCGTGCCCTGCGGTGCCCTCCAGGCTTTGTTTGTAACTCAGCGAGGAGCCGTTGAAACGCTTCTTTGCTGCACAGCTCCTAGCGGGGAGGGCAGTTCTCACGGGACAAAGGCGAAAAGCAGGGGAGAGGGTTCCCTCACGCCCCACAGGCTGGCTGCGTGGCTCTGCATTGTCTCTGGTGTGACCTTTGTCTGGGAAGTGACCAGACTTCCCTTCCTGTTGTCATTTAGTCCACTGCTCAAAAAAGTGAGGGGACTTTGAAAAAACACGTAGTCTTTCAAACATTCTACTTAAAAGTGGGAAAGGGACTTAGATGGCACACAGAACCATCTCAGGAGCATGCGCCTACCTACCGAACAGGCATCCAAAACCGGGAGAGAAAACCCTTCCTTCTCTCTCATTGGCTGCCTCTCGCCCAGCTCTGCACAGCCCCCGACCACCTTCCAGCAGCCCCTTCAGAATGCAGCCTCCGCCCGGACCTGAACACATTTTACCTCTGATGATTTGCTTACGATGGCTCATCAGGCTTATTTCTCATGCTTCTCATGTGTTGTTACCCTTGGCCTCAAGCTTTTACTTTTAGGCAAGTTTCTTCTGATCCACTTGCGAGTAGATTCTGTAGGATCCTAAGTGACTAAGCGACTTCCCTGATAGTTTCAGAATATGAGAATGTTGTAGAGGTCCCCCCAGCTTTACCCACCCAGAGAATAAACTAAAACTCAGCCATCTGAAAGCAGTCTTTTAAACTTAGAGAAAGAATAGAAAGACAAAAAAGTAGTAAAATCCACAAGGGAAAATTGAGAAATGAACTTGACAAGGAATAAAGAGAAAAAAACTTTTTTGTGAGTTTTATCTCTTAAAGGAGCCCCTTGGATTCTTCACTAAGGGAGTTCAGTAATACACATCAATGAGGTAACTTTAAATATTCTAACCAAAAAGGTAAAGAGTTTGTGTGGGAGAATTAATGCAGCTCAGAAAAGATTTTAAATTGAATTGGCTGGTAAAAAAAAAGTCAGCACCTATTAAACAATTACTGAAGCTTAAACATGTTTATTGTGAGTAGCAAATATAACAGTGTCTTTACAGAAGCTCTTTAAGTGAACAGCAGCTTTATTTACTTTAGAAGACTAAACTAGAGAAGGTTCTATGAATGAACAGAAGGAGTTGTGTATCTCCTAGCAGCTGTGATGGCCTCCGAGGCTCTTCCACCTTGTGTGCTACCCATCCCCGCAAGTCTCCTGGGAGAGCGTTAACTGTGCATTAGGGAAAGACACCTGCTAGAGTAGGAAGAGGGAGGTGGAGCTTAAGGACAAAAGTGCACCGTCGCAGAGAGGAGCCGATGAGTTTTGTCACAACTACACACTCGGTCACACCGTGCTCCTTGCTATAGCTAAATCCCAACGTAAATGCCGAAAAAGAGCTTGATCTAGAAAAATTCTTTCTTACCAGGACTTTGGTCAATAGTTAAATAAAAATATAAAGGAGTTGTAAACATCAGAAAGGATACCTAGCTATCAAATTTATCATAATAGGAACGAATTTAAAGTAGTTTAATTTGCATCAGCTTTATGAAATATTAGAAAACTTAAGATATTCACTAAAAAAAACTCTTTGAAAAACAAATTGGCTATTTTTGGTGTTATGCTTTGAGTAAATCAACAGAATTGATGTCTGTTATGGACAAGAGAAAATTTCATATTGATATATTGTAAAATGAAGATACTATTAGTCACAAAATGAATATATTTGGACTTTACTCTGTCAGGGGGTCCAACCTTTTGGCTTCTCTGGCCCATACTGGAAGAAGAAGAGTTGTCTTGGGCCACACATTAAATACACGAACTCCAAAGAAAACTGATGAGCAAAAAAAAGGGCTTTAAGTAAATTTACAATTTTGTGTTGGGCCACATTCCTAGCCATCCTGGGCCACATGTGGCCTGTGGGACATGGATTTGACACCTAATTCATGAAAAATAGTTAAGCTTTACTTCCTAATCACTTTGGGTATAGTTTCCTTGTCTGTAAAGTGAAAGAGTTAAAGTAGGCGATCTCCCCAGTATTCTCATGTTCTGAGACTGTCTCGTCAACATCTTTTCATCCAAGCTAAGTGTTGTGAGGACTGTGGACATTGATTAATAAAGTATGAGGTCTGTCCAGAAAGTATCCAGCCGTGTAACATGAAAAATAGAGACATTTACTGAAGAAGATAGAAGATACAAGGTACATTGTACGCAAGACAATGACACCTCAGTCCCCTTTAAAAGTAGGCACCTTGGGACCTTCCACACTTCTCCTGTCATCGTCAGCTGCCCCATCATATTTTCCTGAATGTCATCAATGTCTGAAATCTTTTCACTTTCGAAGGTGATTTTAGGTTTGGGAAAAGCCAGAAGTCACAGGGCACCAAACCTGGGCTGGAGGGGGACTGAGTCACTTGGGTGATTTGATGTTTCTCAGAAAAACTCTCATGAGACGTGATGCATGAGTGGGTGCATTGTTCTGAGGAAGCTTCCAATCACTGGGTTTGCCCATGGCCACAGCCTTCTGAGTCATCTGAATAATTTCTGTGGAGGAATGTTCAAGGTTAATGCAAAATTTGACACAGGTTCATTGCTCTACTCGCTTGGTCATTTTGAATGTGATGGCCACACAGTATACACACTCAGTGGCATCTACCGCTCTCACTGACTAGTACAGTGAAGTCATTGTTCACACATGCACATTCCAGTCCACTCTCCTTGGCTGCCGGGTTACATCGGTGTCACAAAAAATATTAACAATGGTTAGATTTTTTCTTGACATACCTCCTATATATATGAAGGTTATCACTTTGACTAGTAATAAGTGAACCACTAATTAGAACCCAACTAAAGTTTTTGAAACAAAGAAGTCATTTCTTTTCTTAAAAACAGTAAAATTATGAGAGCTAGTCTCAAGAAATGTTGTACACAAGAACTATAAAAGAAAACAAATATAGAGAATATTTTCAAATACTCTGTATCCTAAATGTACTAAACAGTACTGTTGAAAACCTCATGTAGTGGAATAAAATTAGATAGATTTATCACTGTCTTAACTGCTGAGCAAAATTGCTAAACTATGTAAAAATCAGTTACCATTTGATTTATTGTCATGTTTGGATATGTTTTTCATTTGAAGTGTAGAAAAAGCTTTAGTCCTAAAATATTTATTGTAGCATTTACAATAGAGGAAAATCTGGAAGTATTTGGAATGATCATCACTTAAAGGATATTTATGGAAACTGACATTTTTCCTAGAAAACTAGATTTAATGAAAAAACAGGTTACACTTAGGAAAAAGTTTATGAAAAAAAGTACAAATCAATGCATTGATGTGTTGATGGCTATGTAGTCTGCAGATGATTTCTATTTTTCCTACTTCCTAATATTTGCTAGATTTTCTTTAATGAGCGTATGCTACTTTGAGTGCTAAACAATTACACGTTAATATTTTTAAAATACGAGAATGGCAGTAGATGGTGGTCAGTTGGCTGTGTTGCCGTGTGTCGAGAGGGAGCTGTCAGACCGCAGAGGGGAAGCCCAGTCTTTGCAGAGCTTTCCGTCTGACTGTTGCTGCGATCTTTGACTGCTTCAGCCTTGTCGCATCTTTCTGCTTGAGAGACCGGCGTGTGTATCGTGAGGCTGGAGTTGAGTCGATGGCACGGCAAAGGGAAAAGGTGTGTCATGGGCTTTAGTCTTCAAGAAATCGATTCAGCTCTTCAGTTCCCTCTGGGGAGAGGAAGACTTGGAGTAGCCCACGCGAAATCCATGGGCTAGCGTTAATGTCATCTCTTTTAGTTATGACAGTGTTTGCACTGTGGGAGTTACTAAGGACACATGTCCTCCACAGATAGAGGAAACAGTTACGGCAGAATACGAACTGGAACATCTACTACTCGAAGGACACTGCTTTGACATGGTGACGGAACAGCCTCCTCGGGGCCTCCAGTTCACACTCGGCACCAAAGGTCGACCCGTCGCAGCTGATACCATAGTGATGGCCAACCTTGTGAGTGTGACAGATACGTAACTGACAGCATTACAGTTAGATGCTTAATCTGAAATTCTCCGTTTTTCTAATGAGAAGAGAAAATAAATTTTATCTTGCTCTTGCTGAAAAGATCCTGAAAAACAAAATTGAAATCTTGAATAAGGTAGTTAAATAGAGCAAAAATGAAGGGAATCTTATTTTCAGAATGTGCTTTTACAGGTTATTGAGAAATCCTCTTCCTTGGAATTCATTTGTAGAATTCATTCATCCCATGGTCAGTAAGCACTTCCTTGGATGATTTGTGTGTGATCTTGCTTAAACAATTGGATGCGTGTCTAGTTGTACAACTATGATCATATTTTTCTCATCTTAAAAGGGATATTTTCAATTAAAAGCAAACCCAGGTGTTTGGATACTGAAATTACGCCATGGAAAATCTGAAGATATTTATCAAATAGTTGGGTGAGTTATATGAGCTACTTTTAAATTTTTACATGTAAACAAATACTAGGAGTGATAAATAACCAAGATCATCAAAATAACTAAAATGTTCACAGGTACAATCACTATATAATCACAAGTACAATCACAAAAACTATATATAAAATTGTGGCATCTGTTCCAAAATTTTTTATTTTTTGTTTTATTCCAAAAATATAAATGATATGTCTAATGTGTATGTCTTGTTCTTTACTGTCTCCTTAATTGTTTTCTATACACCTTCTGATGCATTGGCATAATTAATATATTTACAGTTTAATGACAATATAATGTGTGTTATATGACAAAGCCATTATCCATGGATTGTATTCAGTTCTTCTTTTTTATAGATAAGAATTGCTTTCTTTCATAGTAACTCACCTGCTTATCGATGAGCTTAGTGTACAGCCAGGATTATCAAACTTGTTCTATAGGAGTCAGAATACAGTACATCATGTTTTAGGGCACGTCTGATTTTTAGCAATATTTTTTTTCTTAGCAACCACTTTAAAACGTAAAAACCATTTTTAGTTCAGGGCCACACAAAGCCATGTCACCCGTCTGACCTCACTTGCCAGCTATAGCTTACGGAGCCCTCACAGAGACTTTTTACTTCCCTTAGTAAATGTCTGTGCTTTTCGTTTATTTAAACAAATACAGGGTTGGGCAAAAGTAGATTTATAGGTGTGAGCACACAGGGGTTCATAAAGCTGTTGTAATCATCACAACCTGCATGTCTTTTCCCACACGAACACCCGTAAACCTCCTCCTGCCCGCCCTGCACTTGCACTTACGGGGCACCGGCACCGTCACAGGAACTGTGCCCAACAAAGATAATACGGGGGGTGGAGCTTGTACCTTTTTACACTTTCCTTCCTTTCTTCCTTATGCTGCGCTCGCACATGGTGTCATTCAACAACTGTGCTTACTAATTCATGCACACAGGGCCTGGAATGCTCAATTCTGTGATAGGGAGTAGGGGTGGGGTGAGGGAGTGTTGGCTGGAGGGAGGAGAGAGCCCCTCAGAGCTTGGAGGATTATAGTGACTCACTGCGACTCACTGCGACTCACACCGCAGGCATGCAAAACGCTCATCTCCATCTCTGAGGGACATGCGTGGTTTAGAAGGAGAATTTTTCAGATTTTGGAAAGTTGATACAGTGACACCTTGGGCAGGATCTGAAACAATACTTCATTAACCATTTTTGTTGCAAATGGTGTGAATTTTGACATTAAAAGGATATGTAATGACTATAAAGAACAAGCCACAGACTGGGAGAAAAATCTTTGCAAAGCATATGTTCAGCAAAGAATTTAGATAGAGAATATATGAAGAACTATCAAAATTGAACAATAAGAAAATATCCTGATTTAAAAAAATGTGCAAAAGAGTTGAACCGACACTTCACCAAAGGACACTTCACATAAAGATGGCAAACAAGCACATGAAAGAGATGCTCAGCATCACTGGTTTTTGGGAAAATGCATGGTAAGCCCACAGTGAGAGACACCACCACTTATCTGTTAGCATGGCTAACACTAGCAAGACCGGCCCTCCCCAGGGTCGGTGAGGGTGTGAAGCGACAGGAGCCGTCACCACCGTTGGTGGGAGTGCGGAGCACAGTGCACCTGCAGTGGAGCAGTCGGGCAGGACCTTAGAAGTTCGAGTGCACTCTTAATCCAGATGATCCAGGCATTTCACTCATAGATACTTACACCAAATAAAAAGAAAAAGATGTTTATACAAAGACTTGGGCATTAATGTTCATAGCAGCTCTATTTGTAATTACCGGACACTGGAAGTAACCCAGATGTTAACAAGTGAAGGAATAATCAAGATGCGGTACGTCCATGCAGTGGAATCCTACCCAGCAACAGAAAGGAAGAACTGTTGACAGCTGCAGACCACCTGCGCTTTCTCTGTGCTGACGGCCAGGAACCTTGGACACAAAAATACTCAAAATTATTCTCCCCTAGAAAAGAAAATCCTCAGAGTTCTATTAAAATTAGACAGATGCTTCTTAGATTCTTCTAATTAAATTATAGAAAATGTCAGATACTTCACACACACATATATATATATGGCTTACAGTGTGCTAAATAATTATGCTTTACTTTTCACTTGAAACCTTCAGAAAAACAGATGGTCCAGTTCCTATTTATACATAGTTTTACTTTGGTACCTTTGAAGTTGAACTACTTCCTCTGTGTTTTCTAATGGGTACAGGAGAGCTTTCAGACACTTCCCATTCTTTCGGTTCCTGGAGCTGGTGCCTTGGTGAGGTGGCTTTGCGCACTCTCCAGCCCTGGCCGTGGTCAGAGCTCAGGTCGTGGAGTGCTTCCCTGGCCTCTTCGAGGGTCTCTGTTGTGTACCTCACTTTCCTCTGATGCTGGTCCCTGTTGGTGCATCTCTGTTCCATCGAGCTTCTCTGTCCGCCGCCTCAGTCTCGGGCATCTGTGTTGTACCCACAGCCTAGTTTTGCTCATGTCTCTTTATGTCTCCAGGTTGCCGTATTGGCAGCATGCATGACTACCCCATGGTATTAAATAACAAAACACAATTTCAGCCCTGCTTGGCAGACTGAGAGTCTCCGTCACTACCACCTCTGCCGCTTGGTGGCGAGGAAGGAGTGGCCCGGACCCCGTTCGAGCTGAGCCGCAGTGTGGGCTTCCTGGCCCTGCCCTGGTCTCGGTGCCTGTGGCCTCAGCAGCCGAAGTTGCGGGTGCCCTTGAGTAAAGTTCTGGACTAGGAGCTCTTGAAAGTTGTTAAGAAATTTGGTGTTTCTGCTACATGAGTTGGAAGACTTCCTAGTTTCTAGTGGTAATTGCTGGGTGGGGCTGTGCCTTCTCCTTTGGTTTAGCCACCTCCGCTGGGGAAGTCAAAGGCGTGTGTTAGTCCACACAGTGCTAGAATTTCCAGGGTTTTAGAAAAATGTTCAAGTGTATAAATCTGACTGAACTTAAAGTATCTACTAATTTGACATCTGATTGCTTTCCCTCTTTGATAAAATTCAATTTTATTGTAAATGTTTCTTGCAGTAGCATTTTTTAATACATAGTGAATATAGTATTTAAATATTATTTTTGAGCAAGGCTGTTGTATTTGACTTACTCAGTTTTGAAAATTAGTGAAGTGCATCGTGTGTAATATAAAATAGAAACATCAAGTGACGTGGATGGGTATTATAGACATCTCCTGTCTTGTGAGTTTAACAGTACCCTTCAAATTCGAGTATTTGAAAATGGCTGGTAGATATTAAAAAGTTATCGGACGGTGTAGAATTCCTGTGATTATGATATTTAAACAACTTAAAGTGTAAAAATGTTTTATATTTTCATTGTTGCAAATATCACAGAGATATGAAATACTTGAATTTTGGGATAATCTGGGTATACAACAGAAAAGATGAGCAATAATTTGAGATTTCTGAGTCATCAGACAATATTGAATACTGAGTTACTTTTGTACAATTTTAATTTGTACTAAGTTAAAATTGGACAGTTCTGAAAATTGTAGTCTATTATAGCACATATTAGTTGACTATAGAAATATAAAATATTGAATATGACATATACACAAGTGATATTATACTTACATTTATCGCAAAATACATTAGTTCTTTCACGTTGTGTGTCTTTTCATGAGCTGATTGTAGACATTTACGTCTCTTCTCCCTTCAGGCACGAAGGAGCGGACTCTCGGTCGGAGCTGGGCGATGTTGTCGTCATGGTGAACAGCCTCAGAAGCAAAATACTGGAAGTGCAAGTACGTGAGGCAGAGCTGCCTGCGGGCTTTGTTGTTAATATTAAAATTGATCTCGTTTTCAATTAACTTACTACTTTTTATTTTACAACCGATTTTACAATTTTTCTACCGGAAATGTCATGCTGGAACTCTGGCAATGAAAGAAAGGATTAAGTTCATGAAGGAGAAGCAAAGAGCTTGAAGATAGAAGGGAAAAAAACAATTTTTTTTTAAAAATTATGATGTGTCCACTCTATCTACTGGATCTGTAGCCAGACAATGTTACAAATTAGGGACACAGGTTGAAAAACTAACCCTAAAAAGAGAAATTGTTTCTTTCAAGAGAAAGAGGAATGAGTTTTTTGTGGTGGCAGGTTTGGTTCTTTTGGGCCAACCCACCTACTTAACACAAGTAAAAATGTTGAGTAAAATAGACTTTAAAGATCTTGAGAGCAATGAGGAGCTGACAGTAATAAAACCATGAGGGAAATAAGCAAATGCAAAACTGAAATTAAAGGAGAAATGAGAGCCTTAGTGACGTGAGTGAGCGCAGAGCTTCTCTTGTCCCAAGGAAGCCGCCATCGCCCTGAGAACATGTGTCCCTGGAGCACTGGAACGAAAGAGTTTGACTTGCCCAAACTGGAAAACCAAGTAAAGTTGTTTTCTGAAGTGTGAAGGTTTGGGAACCTTGTTTTTTGGCCTTTCTTCTTGAAGTTACGTGCCTGCCAGCACAGTGAAGGTGAAGACTGATGAAGAGGAGGACAAGTGTTTCAGGAGATGGTGGCATTCATGTGACAATTATAGAAAGCCCTGAAACTAACAGGCGGTTAGTCGTTGAGCTCCAAGAAAACTGTCTTCAAAAAGACAGTAATTCTAGACATTTAACATGAATAATAAACTGGAAAACAGTGGGGATGTGGTAAGGCAGAAATACAGCTAGCTCGTCACTAGAAAAAATGGATGCAGTAAAATTCCCCCCCAAATATTACCCTACTGGTGGAATATAAAGAAGCAGAATCCATTGGAATAAGCCACTCCCCCCCAGGAGGCACAGTGGCCACATGACTGTCACTCTACAGAAGTACAAGTTATGCTGTCACAATAAGCACTGTCTACTGATTTTCAAGATGAAGATTAAACAAAAAAGTGTAAAAGATATATTTCCTGGACTAAACGAAAATACCATCCATATGTGCAGTGATAAAGGTGCTTAGCTAATGTAAGTTGGGAGGAAGAGGGAAGAGGTGGAGATGTTGGTATACTTACAAATAGGGTATGGAAGAGGAACTGTGGAAGTTGTTAGAATAGGAAATAGAGGTTTAAATATTGCTTTAGAAGAAAGTACTTGGTAGAACTGATGATAAAGGTATCACTACCAAAACTTCCAGACAAGAAGAGGGAGAGGAAGGGTGATTGATGTAAGTGAGCTGCTCATCTGTCATTATGAAGAATGAATGATGTCTAACCTGTTCAAAATTGATAAATCAGTAAATACAAACATAAACACCTTGTTCAGCACGATGGAGCTAACCGCCAAAGGAATGAAAAGCAAGGGGTTGAACTGATCGTTGAAACCAAAGTGTAAATAGTGTACTAAGATATTCTCTGGCTTCAGGTACTGCAGCTGTCTTAGATTTGCAGGGGTCACCCTGCCCAGTAATGATTCACCTTCCAACCATGCGGCATAACAGTTAAAGCTCCAGCATTCTAAAATTTTTCTTTACCGTGCTACCTAGGTGAAAAAAAAGCCAGACAAAATTAAGGAAGATATCCTTACCGATAAAGGTGAAAAAAAAGGAATGTGGGACTCCATTAAAAGGTAATTGATTACTAATGGCTGTTTCAACGCATAACCGTGGGTCCATCAGGGTCCAGTATGTGGAAACCCTGCAGATGGTAAACATTTCAGGAACACGCAAATCCTCCCCTCTAGAAAGGATAGTATAGATACATAAGCGTTAATGGGAAATCAAGGGAGAAAGGGGCTCTATCCAGTTTGGAGGAAACTCAGAAAGGACTCTTTGGAGAAGATGTCTTCTACACAATAGACAGGTTTTCAAAAGCTGGAGTTGGAGTGCTGGTACCTGGTTACGTGAAGACTGCGTATGTTACTCGAGGAAGAGGAAGTAGCCCAGGTTAGCAGGCACAGTGAGTCCAGCAGGGAATGTGTACATTAGGGTGGGGCCTATGTCATTAGCTGACCAAAAAAGTAATCTGTGGACTCAGTCATCTGTAGAGTCCAGGAGTAGAGCTGGCTTCAGGCATTCAGGCGAGGCAGTATGGAGACTCTCTTCATCTCTTAGTTGCTATCTGTGGCCTCCCTTCACTCTCAGATGGGCTTTTACAGGAAAGGTTTGCCTTCTGCACGGGGGAGAGATCACCCCTTTCTTAACAGTGCCAGTGAGAGCTCCAAGGTGGACTCATTGGTCCAGCTGCAGCCACGTGTCCCAAACTGAACTCACCACTGACACTGACCGACCGCACTGGGGTCACGTGCCTCGTTGTAGAGTCAGTGAGAAGGCCTGTCCCACCTAAACCTCCTGGAATGAGGGTGGAGGCAGGAAGCCTTCCCCTGGCAACAGCAGCGTATTGTGACTCAAGTGGGGAGGACGTTGATCCAGCAAAAACAAAAGCTGCCATAGATCCACATTGTAGGGAATTTTGAAAGTCCGTCCGTATTAGAGATCTGAACTTAATTTGATTTTGGTGAAGAACCATTGATTACATGGTCAAGGCTAAGAGATAGAAATTTGAGGCCAAGTAGATTCAACAGCCCGAGCAGATTTTGTTGCATGATCAAAAGCACTCCCATCATTTGGGTTCTGCCCAGTTTAGGCCCCTTTTTCCATTAGCCCCCTTGGTTGGTGAGAAGGACTGTGGTGTTGTGACAGTGTGTATGCACTGGAGGAGTTGCTGCTGGAGAAGGGCCCCAGGCCACTCCGTTGGAGATGAAGAGGAGGTGTGTTTGGTGGGGCAGTGAAACAATCGGAGCGTTCAGAGTGTCAGTCCATGAGCTCCCGTTCCAGCCAGAAGAGGGCGCTAAGAACCAACGAAGACAGCCGTCCCCTGCAACACAGCCACTTGCTGTGCAGGGAGGAGGCCAAAGCAAAACAGCGCTTCCTGGTGGAGATGGCCACTCCTCCAAATGTCTTAAGTGTTGGTTCTATCACAGTGCTTTTGCTTTTTTAGTCTTAGTTTTATCTTAGTAATTTCTCCCCACACCGAATCAACTTGAGTTTTTTCTGTTTGAGAGATAACTATAAGAAAAGATCTGAAAAATGTTTCTGTTACAGCAATTTCTACTTGGCAAAATATATTGAATGGAAATTATAAATTGTTTAGTTTTCCAAATTTTACAAATTGTCATTTTAAATATCTGTGCTTATAAAAGCAAGGCTTTTAATTGTATACATTTTAAATGGGTAAAAAAAGAAATGGTGAAAAATGAATACCTTAAATAAGACATTCAGCCACTTCTGTGCGTGAGACGGGGCATGTGAAAGGCGGGTCTGTGTCCAAACACTGGTGCAGAGGACAGCTGGGCGCAGAAGCAGCCAGGGGGCGGGTGTGCCCCTCGGGGCCCACGTGGTCCTCCCAGAGGCGCCCACAGCACCAGAGGCCCCGTGGCCTGTACCGAGCGGGGACTGTCACTGGCCAGAGGAGCTCCACGTTGTAGGCCCCTTGTGTGGCGTGTTGTCCTGGGGTAGTCGTGCTGCCAGCACTCAAGGGCCTGCCCGTGACCACATAGGAAGACGCCCTCCGGGGAGTGGGTGCACACTTGTCTGTCTGTTCCTGCCCCCACGGTCGGCCTGCGCAAAATCTCAACATGTGTGTGGCCGCGGCATGCTCGTGCTCTCTCTCTCTCTCTCTCTGTTCTCAGACGACATTTGTAATGCAGAATGATTCAAAGCTGTTGCTTCATTAACCTGGCCACAATATAATTGCACTCCGTGTTTTAAATGTTTAAAAACCATAGACTTTGTTACAGCGTCACATGTTTTAGTATTAATAAGTCATCGTTTTTAGAATGTGTTTCAGTGTAAAAACTTTAATTTGAAAGATATTCCTATTTTTATTGTTTATCAGATTAGTGTGTAAGTATATAAAGTTTGCAGATGTATATTTAGAAACTGCCAATCACTACTTTTTTATTCCAAGTTTCACAAGAAGTTGGCATAAAGAAAAAGATGAAAAAGAAACAGACATTCTGAATATTTTCTCAGTGGCTTCTGGACATTTATATGAACGCTTTTTAAGGTAGGTATATTTTTTATCTAATTTTTCTAAAGTAAATACATTTACTTAGCTGAAAAAGAATTTAAGTTTAAAAGAATAAAATTACAGTGAAACAAATCTCCCACTTTTCCATAGGGAACCAATATTATATAATATAAATATTCATATCCTGCCCAAGATATGTGTAGACAAGCAAATACATTTTTAACTTTTTTTGCCCAAATAGTAAAATGTATATATTGTTCTACACCTTGCTTTTTTTAAACCTAAAATTAAGAAGGAGGTATTTTTTTTCAATGAGATTTCATGAGTTTGATTGATTTGGAAAACTGATATTATTTAAGACTACAAAATGGACATATTTTATAACAACACTGATAAAAAGTATATATTGTAAATTTCTCTTTTCCAATGAAGGAAATGCCTTGTTCTGTTTTAAGGAAAGAAGGTATGGCAGTCAGAGGTGGAAAGCATATTTGCAAAGGGCTGGTTTTTTAAACAGTCCTTTATACAGAAGGATCACAGAGGATGCCTCAGAATGTTTGCACATGTGTTTAAGGTGGAACTTCAGGTGTATCTGTACCTCCCGCAGTCCCAAGTCTAGAGTAGCGAAGCAAGTGCCCGTGTGGTGATGGGATCAGTGTAGGCAGATCACTCGGGCCGTCCAGCGTCTCACACTGCGCTGTTGATGCGGCAGAAGAGCCCGTGTTAGACTGCGGTTCAGCTCCGTGAGACTACTCCAGACAAGCTTCGTTCTTTGTCAGCTGGAGTGAGCAAACGCAAACAGTTCAGTCTGCATCCAGTACAGTAGTGTACATGTACAGATGCCCCTTGTCTTACCATGGGCTTATGCCCCAGTAACCCCGTCATAAGTGGAATATATTGTAATTTGAAACTGCATTTAATAACCTACAGGACGTCATGGCTTAGCCTAGCCGACCTTACACGTGCTCAGAACACCCACATCTGCCCACATACAGTTAGACAGAGTCCTGTCCTGCCACTGCCCAGCTCCCTGCAGAGTATAAACCACGTGTCGCTAGCCTAAGGGAAGATCGGAGTTCAAAGTCTGGAGGACAGTTTCTGCTGAACACTTGGGCACATCGTAACGTTGAAAATTCCCAAGTCGAACCATCACAGGTCAGGAACCCTCCACAAGTCTAAATCCTTGTACATCATCTACTTGATGAGCAGCCATAATATTTGAAGGTCTACTTCTTCACTACACATTGGGCCCAGCTTCTTTCTAACAACGCCTCTACATGTTTAAAAGCCTCACGGAAAGTAGGATGAACCATCACTGTTAACCTGGCCGGTCCAACGTTCTCTCACGCAGAATCATGATGCTGTCTGTCTTACGTAACACCCGGACACCCGTGAAGTTCTGGTTCCTAAAGAACTACCTCTCGCCGACATTTAAAGTAAGTGCATCAGTCTTCGTGTTAGAGAGTGGTTGATGTCTGAGTAGTAAATTCTCTAGAGTGTCATAAGTTCATGTAACTTCAGAATGGGTTGAAAAGTATGTTTGCTCAAATTACTACTGTTTTTAATTTTCTTTTTTAACCCTCATTGAGTACATGCTTATTGATTTTAGAGAGAGGGGGAAAGAGAAAGGGAGAGAAACATCAATGGGAGAGAGAATCATTTGTCATTCACCTCTCATGTACACCTGTGTTGGGGCGATTTTGCCCTCAAGTGCCCCCTGTCCACCACGGATAAAAGTAAACACTACCAAGACATGATCTGTTTGGGGAGGAGAGGTGGCCAGTTTCACAGACAAAAAAGGCCTCGGGCCCCTTCCTCCAGGGGCTTTTATTGGGTTGTAATACACAGGAATACAGGGTGGCAAGGATCAAACAGTAGATAACATTTCAAAGAAATCTGAGTGCTTAGTCTGAGTCAGTGTCTGTCAGGAAAGGAGGTTTGCAGAAACTTTGGGAGACATATTCATTTCCTCTTGGACACTTGACATATGAATGAAAGCACTCTTAGCAAAGCGGGTTTCACAGGACTTTCAGGAATTCTTTCTTATGCCAGATTTCTCCCAGAGAACAAGGGGACTCAGGCTATGTCACATAGCCAGGGGGCAAGGGTCCATTGCTTCCTCTTTGTCACCGCCCCCCCAAGTCCTTCCATGATGGCCTCCCAAGTGATCGAGTCTGGCTTAGGTTGCCCCTCACTGTGAGGAGTCCTACCCGTCATCAACATCGACCATGCTTTTGGGGAGCGACCAGAGACAAGCTTTATCTCCTGTGGCTCACATTTCGGAGGTTGCTCACTCATCCTTAGCCATGGCGGGTAATCACAATTCCTGAAACCAGGCAGACCGGTTCCCAGCACACCTGGACCAGGGAACTGACCCCACAACCTAGGCATATGCTTTGACTGGAAATCAGACCCACAACTTACTGGTTTACAGGACGGCGCTCCAACCAACTGAGTCACACCCCCAGGGCAAATTACTATTTTTAATCAATTTTTAAATCTAGCTTAAAAATTTCTATGCCATTTTTATTTAAGGAAGTATTTAAAAGGACAGCAGGAGATAGCTTATTTTTAAGTAAACTCAAAATTAGAAATATGAGTGGTTTTTCATGATGGTGAATAATTACATAAAATTTGGCAATAGAAAATATGTACAGGTTGTCAGTAAAAAGAATTAGATTCTGCCTTGGCTGGTGTGACTCAGTGGTTTCAGTGCCAGCCTGCAGACCAAAGGGTAGCTAGTTCAATTCCCAGTCAGGGCACATGCCTGGGTTACAGGCCAGGTCCCCAGTAGAGGGTGTGTGAGAGGCAACCACACATTGATGTTTCTCTCCCTTCCTTCCCCCCTTCCTTCCTCTCTCTCTAAAAATAAATAAAATCTTTTTAAAAAATAAAATAATTACATTCTTTTCACAAAGGTGGGTAGCAACAGTATCAGGAAAATGTGAACACTGCACCGTAGACCACAGTGCGGTGGTACGAGGGTAAAGCAGCTCTCTGCCATGATGGCTGGGCACTGTATCCAGGAGCGCGAGGCCCTTTGTATTAGGAGTTTTCAGATGGCCAATGTCTGTTACACTTGACTCACCCCCACAGTCCTGCTGCAAAGTGCTTCCTATTCTCACTGCAAAGTAGTCAGATTCCATGAAAGTCAGGGCCTCCTTTAGCAGCAATTCAAAGAAGTCCTTTTTTTCTAGACCCCAACCAGTGGTAAAAACAGAAATAAAATAGCCAACCGTATTTTTATTCTTTAATACTGCCAGGCACGGTGCCAGCTGCCTTCAGTGTTCAGTTGTGCTGGTAACATCCTGTCGCCAGGAAACTCTGGCTTGGCAGGGACACCGCTGGCCCACACAGTCCGGCGGTGTCAGAGAGCACCCTCTGTCCTGTAAGTCTCCAGTGGGACTCACAGGACGCAGAAAAGCAGTCACAGTCACGGGTTTCGTTTACCACGGGAAAAGGAGCCATAGCAAAGTCAGGGAAGAAGAGACGCACAGGACAAAGCCCAGACCCAGAGCTTCCAGTTGTCGTCGCCCCCTGGAGGCAGGCGGACAGAGCTCATTTGTCCCAGCAAAAAAAATGTGTGAGAATCCTATGGAGAACTGCCACTAGAAGCTCACTCAGACTTTGGTTTTCAGAGTTTTTTGGGGGGTTGGCCACGGAGTCCCACCTGATGGATACTGTGGCTGACCTCAGCCTCCAGCTCCCCTAGAGGTTGAGCTGATTTCTGGTGGCCTGAGGTCCCCACTGTAAGTCACATCTGTGGACAGATGGTTTGTCATGGACTAAGGTGCCCAGATAAATAAAGGCATTCTTATTAGGCAGAATATCCCAAGGGTAGAAGTTACCTCCCCGGAGCCAGGGGCAAAAGGACCATGCCCTTTTTTTTTTTTTTTTTTTTTAAAGAAAGATGTGTCCTTTATGGCCCAGACCCAAGATCGAACAGCTGACCTGGAACATAGCTGAGATCTGAACTCAAGCTTTCCAGCCTCCAAGCCCAGGCCCTGAACCCTTACAGAGCCGCCTCTCGGCCCCCGCCAGGCCTGCTGCCTCCTGCGAAAGATCCATAAACATAACCAAGCAGTTGTGCCAGCTTTTCCCTGAGTCTCACATGTGGCCCTACTAGGCAGGTGGGGACCTAGCGCTGCGTGAACCGAGGTAACACTATCCAGAGTCTCGTAGCGGGAATGGCGTTCACTGGAAATCCAGTGCCGTGTCCAGGTGAGTCTTATCTCACCACGTGGTCAGAAGTCATCACCGTGTCTGAATGAATATTTCCTTCCTTTGTGATGCTATTGCTTTCCCTCAAAATTTCTATCTTTTCAACTTTTCGGTGAATTACAATGTGTGCAAATGCTAAGTGTGCAGCTGTGGTGAACTTCTACAACCTGGAAACACCTGCATCCGTGTCTGGGCCGAGCAGCCAGATAGAGCAACAAGGCACTGCTGCCCCAGACCCTTTCCCTCTAACTGGAAGAAGTCCCGCTTTCCTGCCAGTCTGTGCTAAATCGTGTCTGCTTAGGGAGTAACCCTTTCCTGACCGCACTACGTAAAATTACGGTCCCTGTGATCTGCCACTATTCCTTTCTTGTTTTATTTTTTCCGTGACACTATTGTCTACAGATAAATTACTGACTTCACTTATTTTCTGTCTGTGACCTCTGAAATGGAAGTCTGTGAGGGCTGTTATTTGTATCGGCTTCGTTCACTACCATATCCCCGTGATCTAGAACAGTGCCTGGCATACAGTGCGTGTTCAGGGAATGTTTTTAAGTATATATTTGCTGAATAACAAAAGGTTTTTAAATTTGTTCTGATTTTTTAAAAAATTTTGAAACCAAAGTAATGATCCCTAGAAGCTGGTCTAGCCATAAAGTCACAGTTCAATTCAGCAGTGCTTACTGTAAGGAACGCAGTTTAAATCTACATTGCTCCTACAAAAGCAGGGAGAACATGAAACCAAGCGTGTCAACAGATACTGGCTACAGAGGAGAACCGAGGAGATGTCTGCAGATGTTAGGTTGGCTGGCCCGTCGTTCCCCTCTCCTTCATCACCCTCCCTCTCCGCTTGTGGGCTCTGAAGCCAAACTTAACTGGCCCTGTGTCTCATTAACTGCTCTGGTTTAAACAGAGCAAGGTGCTCTAAGCCTGTAAGACACTAAATCAAACAGATAATATTCACACCACAATAGCTACCTTGCATTGTTGATCATTGAATTAACTAGGCATGAATCTCAAACATGAAACTGATGTAGAGAATCTGATTCATTGATTATAACTCATTTTGTGTTGTTTGCACATCCTCCGTCTCCCTGAACAAACATGTTGGTGTTTACAGGGTTGGGTGAAAGCACGTTCACGGTTGTGGGGACCCTCTACACGGCTTGTTCTTGTGTTAGTTGTTAATTGCTCTGTTGCCTTCTGTACGAGCAACTGCGAACCCACCTTTGCCTCTCCGTGTGTGGAGCCTGTGATGCACGGTGGTCGCAGGACCCTGAGGCGCATCCTGCTATACGTAGTCGGTGTCCTCAAGTCTGTCCTTAGCTGGGAAAATACAGGAACGTTTAGCTTAGTTAAGCTTGCTAATTAATGTAATATGCCTGTTTTTGATGTCATTTAATGATACAGTTTAATGTGTGCTTGTCTCTTTCTATTTGCCAGCATTTTCACATTTCTTACTAATATGTGTAGCTTGTAGAAGCAGTATTTAGACACTTACCAATTTGTTTGTAACAATTGTACAGTGAACTCTGCCTTCTAATATGATGGTGTTTCCTCTAAAACAAAAACTGCTTTTTCTCCCCTGAAGATTTTCTTTGCTTTGCACATGTGTGTTTGTAGGAGGTCATCCCACACATGGCGCAGGAGTATGGGTTCCAGTATGAGCTGGTCCAGTACAAGTGGCCCCGCTGGCTCCGTCAGCAGACAGAGAAGCAAAGGATCATTTGGGGCTACAAAATTCTTTTCCTCGATGTCCTTTTTCCGCTGGCAGTGGACAAAATCATTTTTGTTGATGCCGACCAGGTAATAAGATTAACTTTTGTTTTTATCAGTACTTACACTTGTTTTATACTTCTTCTGTCTGAGTATAGGGACTCAATTTATGTTGCTGGTATTTTTCATCATCATTTTGTCCTGCTGCATAAACATGTGATACATGGTTGTGATACAAAAGCAAAGCATGATTTTTAAAGAACTGTCAGAATTCCAGGAAAATCAAAGGTTTTAGAAGAAGTACCATTTGTTATTTAGGACATAGCGGTTTTCTTGCTGAAGTAGAGGGGTTTTTTTTAAATTTTGCTATTAAAAATAAATACTTATGTTAATCATAATAAAAGTTAGATGATTTCCTGTGAATATAAGTGGATATTTGCATAAAATGAGCCGTTCCTGCTGGAAGAGTTAGCAGTTCCACCCAACCTTCCCCCCCCCCCACACGTTGTCTGGCGTGCAGTCAGAGCCAGCCTCATTATTCTCCCACTTACGGGGCAGGCAGGCGTCCCAGATTTGGCCCAAAACCATCATGATTCTCAGCTTTCAAAATTTGCATATTTAGACATTGCAGTGACTTTTCCCATTACTCCTTGCATACCTTTGCAGTCATTAATGCCAAAAAATGTTTTCATTAACTGCTCTGATTTAAATTTCTAAGAAAAAAACAAGTATTATGTAAATATCAACGTTATATAAATTAAATGTATGATTAGCATTTATATTTAGGACACAGTTATATTTTCAAATTCAGTATCAGGTTTTACTTATATTTGTGAACTCTATTTTTGTATTATTTTTCAAAATGCTAAAAGTGAATCATTATAATTAAAAACTAAGAAAGCAGGTAAGTGTGGGTGGTGAACTTAGCATTTCCAAACATACCGTGTAACAAAATGTATTCCTCCTGTCTGCCTGCAATATATACCAGCAGGCTAGTGACTATTAAAAAATGAAGCTTAAAAACATTATGCATTAAAGCCATTGAAGATAATCAGGAGATTTTTTCTTATGACTCAAACTAATATTTGCCAATACACAATAATAGAGATTTATCATAAAAATGATCTTTTGAGTTAATAATCCATTCCCTAAGAAACTTAGAGCTGTGCACTTGTCTAATATTTAGTTCCTTCCCAAAACACATTTTGTTTAAAATACTCAGGATGTTGATGACAATGATGTAGTAAATTATTCTTACTAACGAGGGAGACCCCTGTCATATAGACTAGGCGTATAAATGTCAGGCTTCTTTTCGTCTGTGAGGACAAGAGAAAGAAATGGAAGCACGAGACCTGGAAGACCCGTGAGGGAGGTGCAGCGCCCTGTGTTTCTGCAGTGAGGGCGGTCGGGTCCGAGAGTCCCGTGCAAGGGGCTCGTGTGGTTTCATAGTCCTCCCCAGCAGAGTCCTCACCAGCAGAGTCCTCACCAGCAGAGTCCTCCCCAGCAGGGCAACCCTTTTAATGATGCAGATTGTGAGGCACGACCTGAAAGAGCTTCGCGACTTCGACCTGGACGGAGCCCCTTACGGGTATACCCCGTTCTGTGACAGCCGCACCGACATGGATGGGTATCGTTTCTGGAAAAAGGGGTATTGGGCAGCCCATCTTTTAAGAAGGAAATACCACATCAGGTAAGAAAATGTGTCCTCCTACCTTTTAGCACAGAAATGACTTACCGAATCTCTAATACTTTGTTGTCTCAGTAATTACACAATCACGGCAGCCAGTTGCATTGTGCCGGTCCAGGCCAGTTGCTCTGATGAGATTTCACGTGTGCGATCACCTTTTGAGACACTGCTGTTGTGCCAACTGTGGACATGAAACAGAGGCACACGGCCCTTACCTGGGCTTGCATAACTGAGTCGAGCGAAACCCGAGTGGTGTGGTGCCCATGATATATGCTCCTGGCCACCACAGCAGGTTACATTTGGTCTGAGGTGACAGGATGAAGGTCCTGTCCAAATCTGCATCTGTTTTGTAGGACCGTGAGTTTTGTGAGGTCTTGGAAAGATTTGAGGTGGCTCTAAAAGGACATGGGTCCCAACAGGATTAGCAAACTTTGAACCCCTTGGAAATAGGGTTAGGTACTGGGAGCTCATTGATGGAAGGCTTCATGACCAGCCGCAAGGGTCTCTGAAGTTACTGTCGTTACGCAACACAAGCGCTGGGGGAGGTGAAACTCCATGAATAACGCAGCCTACCAAGGAACGCTCGCTCTTTGCAGTGCCCTGTACGTGGTGGACCTGCAGAGGTTCCGGAAGATCGCGGCGGGGGACAGGCTGCGGGGCCAGTACCAGGCGCTCAGTCAGGACCCAGACAGTCTTTCAAACCTGGACCAGGTGAGTGGGGCGCTCCTGGGCCGGCCGCCAGTGCGCAGGCAGGTACTGCGCCGGGTCTCCGCAGGCGAACTTCACACCTCCATGGTGTCAGCCTCTTCTCTGTATGGACTCCTCTGTCGGATGTCTAGACTTAGAATTTTTTAACTTCAGGCTCCACATTTTTAAAAGAATAGTGTTCTGTCTTTTCCACCCTAAAACCTCTCCTCCCCACTCCCTGCCCAACCTCATGTGTCCCGTCCTTTTCTTACTCGTCTCCATTGTCGTTCACACGTGTCTCTCTGAGCTTTACGGTAACTGACCCCGTCTCTGCCCCATCCGGCTACTGCCTGGCATCTGTCTTACCTAACAGGTACTGTTTTCTTCATGTCCCTACTAATTAACCAGTAAGTAATTTATGCCCCCATTAGAATGGTTAACATTAAAGAGATTGCGCCATGTGCTAATGAGGATGTGCCGTGGTTGGAAGTCACACACGTTGCTGACGAGAATGTAAAATGGGACAGCCATTGCAGCAAAGAGTTTGGTGATTTCTCATAAATTCGTATTTGCACCTACCATGTGCCCAGTCTCTCCACTTGGAGGCATTTACCCAGGAGAAATAAAAACACACATGTACACAAAGACTCGCACATGGACAGACTGTGTGTGTGATGGCTCCACAGTGTGAAGGTCCCCCTTGAGATTCGTGTTCAGGAGGCTACAGTGACAGCAGTGACTGTGGTGTGTGTGTGTGTGTGTGTGTGTGTGTGTGTGTGTGTGTGTCGTGCAAGGCATGTTCAGCTGCACGGATGATTGCAGAGGTTTGCATTGAACCAGGACTATAATTTTGCCAAGTGGGCACAGCTAAGTGAGACAAGGGTAAGGCAATCGAGAGGATTTTGAACACGTTGACTTCGGTGATTAACCATGGAAATTAGCTATGTAAGGAGGGGAGCCCAGATGTGAAGGGGTGAGGGACGTGGCAAAGTAGTGATGGGATCAGCTGGTCGGAGGTTTGAATGGTGATCAGAGGATATTGCTATCTGACTACTGGATGCAGTGAGCCAAAAATCAAGAGGTGGTCAGAGTGGGATCATGAATTTGAAATCACAGGACTCAACTAGGACATGACCATGGGAGGGAAAGAAAAAAATTACCCTTTGTGCCAGTATGAATGGACCTGGAGAACAATATGCTAAGTGAAATAAGCCAGTCAGAGAAAGACAAATATGATCTCACATATGCGGAATCTAATGAGCAAACTGAACAAGGAAAACAGAGACTCATGGATAGAGAATGGAATGACAGCTAGATGTCTCAGGTTTACATGTTTTTAGGGTTTATAATTGAAATGTCACCTTCAGCTTCTTTTGCTCCGACTCTAATCTCTGTACCTCTTTGTTTAAATCACCTTTCTTCTGCAGGATCTTCCCAATAATATGATTTACCAAGTCGCCATTAAGTCCCTGCCTCAGGATTGGCTGTGGTGTGAGACCTGGTGTGATGACGAATCCAAACAAAGAGCCAAGACCATCGACCTGGTGAGTGTCTGTGGTCGTCTTCCGCGGCGCAGATACGGAAATGGCCGGCGGAAATCTTTCACATTTCACGAGGGGAATGGTGCGCACAGGTGCCCTGCTGCTAGGTCTGTCATTCACCGTTGTGTTTAGTGAGGGTGGCAAGTATAGGGCGGTGTCAGGGGGGTCCCCACACCCACCCCCATCTTTGATGAGCCGCCGAGAAGGACCCCGGCCGAGGCCTGAGAATAGTCACACTTGTGACCATGATTTATCCCAGTGAAAGGGCACAGTGCAAAGGCAGCAAAGGGAAGGGTACGTGGGGTGAAATCAGAGGCAACCAGGTGTGGACTTCCAGGAGCCCCCCCCAGCCACTCACCCCCCAGTGAAGTCATGCAGGACAGGCTGGCCGCCTTCAGCTGGGAAAGTTCTCACAACACGCGTGAGGTGGTGTCTGGCAGGGAAGGCGTGGGAAGCCTGGTGCCCAGGATTCTTACTGGGCGCTGCTCACCTAACACCCCATCTGCCTGGCACGCCCCACACCTCCCAGCATCCAGAAGGGAGGCAGGTACTTGGCGTAACCTGTCTCGTTTGCACAAATTAGACAGAGTGAGCCATTCGTGTCGGGCTGGGGGGAACACTTCTGAGGTCCCCAAGGGCCCGCCTGTGAGCAGGCCCCTCTGAGGACGGCAGGCTCAGGCTGCCGCGGGGGGCCTTCCTGCTCAGGGTCCTGGAAGACAGGCCGGCAGCCGTGAAACGTTCGAGTTGGCCGCCGTCCTAGCAAATCGGCAGTTTAATGCTCCTGCCAAAATTTTTCCCAAATAAAGATGATCAAAATAATGTCTTCACTCAAATCATTCTGTACATGTCTATTTCCTTCCTTATTTTTGAGAAATATTTTGCGTAATTTTCCTTTTAAGAAATTTAACTGTGCTACAGTTTAACTCTCCTAGACATGGAATATTTCAAACTAGTTTACTCTCTGTCTAGAACTCACATACTATACTGTCTGTAACAGTTATAAGATATTATATTTTTTTACCATAGTGTTTTTATGTACCAACTTCAGTATAAAATATTTGTGTACAAGATCTTCACTGAAGAGTAAACTGTCTAAATATTAGAATCATACAGTTTTGAACAAAATAAGACAGAACAATAAGATAGAGGGATGTTGTTCCAGCTGTGCATAGAAATGTATAGAAAAAAGTAGCCAACGTGTTAGAACGCAATTGTGGGTGATAGAATGGAGCAGCAGGAAATGAGATTTCACTATTTAGAAAGAAGGGAATTTTTCACTGAGTTTATTAGGGTGCCATTGGTTAGCAAAACGCTATGGGTATACAAGTCAAACAAAACCTCATCTGCACCCTGCATTGTGCGCCCATCACCCCAAGTCCCCATTTACCCCTCCTTTACCTCTCTCCACTCCTTCACCCCCCTTTCTCTCTGGCAGTCACCGTGCTGTTGTCTGAGTCTGTGATATATGTATGTATGGCTTAATCTCTGCACCTTGTTCACCCAAGGGCCCCAAACACCCTCCCCTCTGACAGCTGCCAGTCTGTTCTGTATCTGTGAGTCTGTTTTAATTTCGTTTGTTAAATTATCTTGTTCATTAGATTCCACATATAAGTGAGATCATATAGTGTTTGTCTGACTGGCTTATTTTGCTTAGCATGATGTTCTCCAGGTCCATCCACGCTGTCACAGAGGCTAAGATTACCTTCTTTTTTATGTATTCCATTGTGTAACTGTCCCATAGTTGTTTTAGCCACTCATCTACTGATGGACACTTGGGCTGCTTCCCTAGCTTGGAGGTTGTAAATAACATTGCAGTGAACATAGGGGTGCTTACATTCTTTCGAATTGGAGTTTCGGGTTTAGAAGCAAGGGAGTTTTCTAAAGAGAGATCAAAAACACGACTGAACATAGCTAAGATGTTGTTTCAGGTTGTGTTGTAATGTAATGGGTTGTGACTCCCACCTGGGGTCTTCGGGAGGACCCAGGTTAACTTGAGCCTCTGTGACAAACCCCACGTGTCCGTGGGTTCACGCCCACGCAGATGCAGGTATAAGGGGGTGTCCTCTCAGTGCGTAGCCCCCTGCATCTCAGAACTCGGGGCCAGTCTCCATCCAGCCTGCGGTGTGTTCATCCCCGGGACCCGCCATCACAGGTCCATCTGCCCAGTACAACGGCCACGGGGCGCACTGGCCACTGAGCACTTACGTGTTGCTGGTCTGCATTGAGAGGCGCTACATGATACAAAATATACAGTTTTGGAAGACTCCACAATAAAGAGAATGTAAAAATATGTCATTACTAGTTATTATGTGGGTTACATGTTGGCTGACAACATTTTGGACATGTTGGGTAAAGAAAATGCAGTATTGAAGTTTACTTCACTTGTTCCTTTTACATGTTCACATGTGGCTACTAGGAAAGTTTAAGTCACATGTGCAGTTTCCTGACATTCCTGCTGGGCAGTGAGTTGCAGTGAGGGAAGGGGAACGAGGGACGTGCACCCAGACTCCTGAGGCCCGGGCACCTTGCGGGCCTTGGTCAGGTGGCCCCCGCAGGCGTAGGAAGAACTGAGAAGCCTCGGTCCTGGGCGGGCAGCTCCTCCCCAGCGACAGGTCTGCGTGGGCAGGGGCAGGCAGCCTAAATCGTGCTGGGCAGCCTAGCCACCTCTCCCACAGAGACACAGAGAACCTGCTGGTGAGCAAGCTTGGGGAGGGGGGAGCTTAAGGGAATGCAGAAACTTCCAAGGAAATGGCACTGGGGGAGGAAGAAGCGTGAACAGTGGTAGGGATGGAAAGACTGTCCATGTCTGTAAGGAGTGTTCAGTCTGGCATCGCTGACATTGGGGACCTCACGGTTCTGTGTGGAGCCCCGTGCGCTGCTGGGTGGTTAGCGGCATCCCCGGCCTCTAACCACTAGATGGCAGTAGCACCCCACCACCCCCCCGATGAGACTAGCAACAACAAAAAAGTCTCCAAACCTGGCAGAAGCTCCCCAAGGGGCATGATAGCCCCATTTAAGCAACATGGATATAGATGGTAGGGAGAAAATTGTAGCACACACATACACAAACTAAGGAAAACATGGTAGTTTTATTTTAATCATTTCTGACACAAAAACAGGGAAAATAGTTTCATTATCTTTATAGAACATATTGCCTACAAAGTTAATTTCTGCAAAGCAAATCCTATTTCCCACTACTTCAGGAATATGTTACTGTAGGAAAAAAGTTCACAACGGAATGAGCCGAAAAGACCTGGTGAGGAAAGTGTGAAGACAGCAGGCTCATGGCTCAGAATTAATAGCTTTCCCATAAGGCAATGGGGGCATCAAATTTCGGCAGCAACCACAAGGAAATGTCGCATAGAAGTGAGCTTCAGGGTGCATTTTCTGTTGATGCCGGGTGACTTCAGGAAGTTTATGCTCTCTCTTGGTCAAGGGCACCTCCATTCCTTACTTCGCTCAGGATAGCCTGGGGTCATCTCAACGCCTCTCTGTCCTCACAGCTAAGGTTCGGCCCATCAGCGGCTCTCGTCAGCTAAACGGTCACATTCATCCAGCATCAGACCCTCCTCAACCATCTTCTGTACTTTTTGCCTTTGACACTTCATTTAATTTCCCAAGAAACTCTACAGTAGGGCCAATTGCAAAGTAGTTTAAATTGATCATATGCTAGCGGAGCCTTGGAAATGATCTTGTTTTAATGCCCTCCCTTTGTACATGAAGAAACTGAGATGCGCCCCCCCCGACCCCCACACCCACAGTTACGTGACATGTTTGGGTCTTCCTCTGTTCGTCAGTGGGACTGAGAGGACGGAGGTGTATGACCATGCGAATGTCACGGCTGTGAGTTGTGACAACGGAGTTCCAGTCAGCTGATTTTTTAAATCACAATTGCTAATTAGAGCAGAGGCATGTGAAAGGGGAATGAGTGCCTTTGCTAAAGAAACTGAAGACTTTCTAAAGGCAGACAAATGGTTTTTTGTCTGTGGAAAATGTATACTAAACCAGGTTTTTAGTCCAAGGAAAAGGCAAGAAAATATTTATGAATATAGTCTGCTGTGGGCTGTGTATTTAGATCCCTCATCAAACATTTCACAGGAGTGTTTGACAAACTTCTTATGAACCACAAGCAGGTCTTTAAACAGTTTTTGTTTAAACTTCTGATTGAGGTATTTGCATTGAATATTTCTTGCTTATGTAAGCTGTGATTTGTCACTGCTCTTGATCTCGTCCCTGTTGAGCTGATGCCAGTATTTCAAGCACTTAGGACTCTTTATAAATCGTCTCTGTTTCCTCTAGTGACCCAGCGGCGTCCCCAAGTATCTCCTCTGTTTCTGGAGCATGGCCTCTTATTAACAACACTTTATTGAAACTTTCAGTGCAACAATCCCAAGACAAAAGAGCCCAAACTGAAGGCCGCAGCCAGGATCGTCCCGGAGTGGGTGGAGTATGATGCGGAGATCCGACGCCTGCTGGACCGCCTGCAAATCAGGAAGCACGAACGTGAGTCTTGGCTCTGCGTGGGGGGACGGGGGGCACGTGCTGTGGTAAACCACATCAGAGCAGGTTACAAACTTACTTCTTAGTGAAGCTTTACTTCTTAGTGAAGCTGCCCACCCAGGAGGTCAGAATTTCTACTAAGAATGTCTAAGACATTACGAATATTTTCTGCGTCTGTTGAGACGATCATTGGATTTTTACCCTGATTTTCTTAATGTGGTGTGCTGTGTTTTGCAGAGGTCGGGTCCTCCTTCCCTCCCCTGAGTAAGTCCCACGGTATCGTGGCGTGTGGTCCTTTTGGTGTAGCGCTGGATTCGGTTTGCTAATATTTTGCTGAGGATTTTTGCATCTATGTTCATCAGGGATATTGGCCTATAATTTCTTTAATTATGACATTATGGTCTGGTTTTGGTATCAGGGTAATGCTGACCTTGCAGAGTCTGTTTGAAAGTGTTCCCTTCTCTTCTGTTTTCTGGAAGTGTTTGAAAAGGATTGGAATTAATTCTTATTTAAAACGTTGAGTAGAATGCACCAGTGAAGCCATCCATTCCTGGACTTTTCTTTGTTGGAAGGTTTTTATTAGTGATTCAGTCTCCTTACTAGTTAGTGATTGGTCTGTTCTGATTTTCTGTGTCTTCCAGATTTATTGTCGGTAGGTTGTGTGTTTCAAGGAATGTGCCCATTTCTTTCGGGTTGCCCAGTTTGTTGGCGTATAGTTGTTCACAGCAGTTGCTCATGTCCTTTGAATTTCTGTGGTTGTATTGTCTTTTTTTATCCCCTCATCTTTGCTCGGTGTCCTGGGAAAATCTTACTTCATCCTCAACCCTTCTTTTCATCTTTGTCTTCGAGGGGGGCAGTCACATCTTAATTCCCAACAGACTTTCTTTTCCCTGCTGGCTGCCTTTGAGGTTCAGTTCGTTCTTGTGTTATGGCTTCACTTCACTTAAAATCTCAGGAAATTATGAATTAGAATTATTTTAAGTATCTGTTCAGTTTTTTTGGTTTACCTTTCTGTTCATTGGGTGGGTTGTTTTGTGTGGTCATCTGGGTCCTTGTTTCTTTTGCGTTCAGGCTTCCTGAGACTTGTCCGCGTTGAAGAATGAAAGGTTAGGTTGGCGTAGACGGCTGGCACATGTGCCCCCTGCCATGGCAGAAACGTGTCTGTCTCTCTCTCCAGGAAGCCTCTTCTCTGAGTCAGGGTTAACTGGAGCTCTCGGCACATCAGCAGGGGGAAGGCCTGGCAGGGCCCCCCCCCACGTGTGGGCGTGGACCAGGCCAAAGCCCCTCCCACACAGCACCCTCCCCAAACGCCACAGGAGGGTGCTTTCCTCAAGAGCCCCGCTGCCCATTCAGAAATGTCCCACGTCTGTCTGCCTCTCTCTGTCCCTCTCCCCCACCACCCAGTAGATTTTTCCATTTATTTTCAAGAATGGTTCTACATTTTCTCTTGGGACAAGCAGGTTGTCAGATCATCACTGACACGCAGAACGGGGGGGAGGGGCTGATGGGCCGGGTTTTCCAGCCCAGGCCTTCGGCTGGTGGCCTCTCCGTCAGCTCACCCGTGCAGCCCCACTCTGCGTCCGTGCGTCTAGCTGTAGATTCTGCCCTCCATTTCCAGAAATTCACTGACAGCTCCGCTCCGGTGACGGCTCCTAACCACCCCCCACTCTCACTGCGATTTCCTTCTGTGTGTCTGTATTATCTTCAAAGTGGAGTTGAGTGAAGACAGACACATCGCCTGTCATCTCGAATTGTGGCACAGGGTGCATTGTTTTGTTTTAATTAATTTCTACCTGAAAATATCACTTTAAATTCTCAGTGTTCTTACATCAATAGCATGTGACAGGTCAGTGATGTGGAAGGAGAAGAACCCACTTTTGTCCCTTGAGAGCCTTCACGGTTGTTGAACCTCACACACATTCAGGACCTTTGTCTGCGCCTGACAGACCCCTCCCCACGTCCCTTCTGCTCTTCGCTGCCGTCACACCAGTGAGAGGGTGCTCTGTGCTTGGCGAGCAGCCTATTAGCATTTTCAAGGCCCTCGTTGCCAGGCAGGTGCTGGTCCTAGAGAGAACAAAGATAAGTGAGGTGCGGTCCTTGTCCTCACGGGCTCAGGGCAGCTCACTTCCAGGAGGGGACAAGGACAAGTACGTAGGATGCAGTGCAGTCAAGGAGATGCCGGGATGTGCACGGCTCCTCTCGTGTCTCGTAAAGCAGACGGGTACCAAACCCACAACAGAAGGGGTCCTCGGTCGGCAGCTGTGCTTTTCCGTGCCCCTGACCTCAGTGACATGTGAGCTCATTTGATTGGAAAGGCTTCTCAAGAACTAAAGAAACTTTCCTCCACTACAGTTTTGACACATGATGAACTCTAGCATTGGCCTTTGTGACAGAGAAGATGGAAGAATGGTGAGGACTCTGCCACCTGCTGGGAAAGTGTGGAACTACTGCTAAGACTTTTGGAATTTCGTACAGGATCAGTGACATATCCTTCAATTTAAAAAAGTTAATTATTTAAAAATACCTGTACTTAGTGTATTGAGTAAGTTTAAGTTATACAAGAAATGACCGCTGAGTATTTAAAATTGGATTACTCCTCTTTCCTGACTGCCTCAAACACTGTGTTTGCACCAGCTGAAGCGCCGTTCAGCCAGGTGGCCCCCCAAGGCCCCGTCTGACTCATGGGGTTTGCCCGACCGTCCACATCCTTGCGTGTGCCAGCGCTGGGTGCCCGTGTGTGTTCTTGTTCGCCAAATGCATTCCAAGTTGGAGAAGCATTCTGGTTTATCTTTTGAAAAAGGAAAAGGACTCACGGTTGTCTGTGAATAATAAAAATAAATTGGGCCCATTTACACCTTAATTGTGGCTGTAAACGGAAGGCATCGTTGCACTGTACTGATTTCATCTTAACTCGACTGATGTTTTAATCTCATGCTGAATCTGTATTTTTAATGTTTCTTTTATAAAATGGTATCTGTGGGCTTATGGGGCATATATTCCTTTAAAAAAAACCAACTGGCTACTTTTATAGAAACTGAGCTGAGAAGGTGAACTGTGTCCTCCTGCTGTGTACTAATAACTGGTGAGTCGGAGTAGTCAGCGTTTAAAACCCACCCGACTGTTCCGGAGCCACAGCACTCGGGGACTGGGAGAGACTTCACTGTCATTAGGACCTGTCCCCAGGGGAAGCTGACGTAATGGGGCTGAGGGGAGAGTGAAAGCTCCTGGATGCTGCTACTGCTAAGTGAGGTGTGGGGAGCACCCAGCAGGGTGGCCCCAGCCGGCGTGCCTGCCCCTCACAAGGCCCTGTTATGTGGTGCCTTGGGGCCATGGAGAACTGTCTGCCCCCGCACAGTGACGGGCTAGTCCGTCTTGGACAGCTCCGCAGTCAGGTCCCCGTGAGCCAGCAGCTGGCAGTCTCTACTCTTGCTCCCTGGAGCTCATCCAGCCATGCCCACTCCCCCGTGTGACCACACAGACCAGAGTCCTTGCCACAAGGACCCTGTTCCCAGCAGCTTCGTTCAGGGTTCATGGAGATCCCAGCCCTCCCCCTCTCCTGCTCACGCCTGCATTACTTGTTCATGTGACTGATATTACACGGAGTGCTCACGTGTGGCCTGCCCTGGTGGAGGGAGGTTGTCGCCGTGGTTCCAGGGACCCTGTGGGGTGCTGTCGAGGGCAGCAGTGGCAGTGGGCCCGAGGTGACCGTCTCCTCGGTGCTTTCCGGCTCACTCCTCTTTAAAGTCAGGTGCTACACCTGGGCCAGGTGAGAGGTCAGGCTGGGAGCTCTGGCCAAGGCCCAGCGCTCCAGCGCTTCTCACCGTAGGGGTCCGGTGGTGGTTTGGGGCAGAAGCACCCCCACCAACTGCAGGACGGTGCTTCGCTTTCCTTTATGGCGCCAGCCTCCGCTCCACTCTGTGCGACCCCTGTGGGGGAGGCATCGGCCGCACGGGCACCTGCCCCCCCCCCGGCCATGCTCAGTGCTGCCGTGCGAGGCCCCTAGACTCTGCATTTCGTAGCGAAGCCGACTCTGCAGAGCAGCGTGGAGCCTTGACAGCCCCCTTCCCGGCTTCTGCCTCGTGGTGGGAATGGCTGAATCTGCGCGTCTCACTTCCACCTGGCTGGTAGCTGGTGTCTGAACATCTGGATTTATGCGCGTTTTATAGGGAGCCACCTCGTTCGTCCAGCAGCCAGTGTGCCTGCGGCAGGTATTTCCATTGCCTTCAGACCACAGCCGGTTGCTCATATATTGCACAGCTATGATTACAGATTTGCCGGCTTTGAGCTTTGTGGAAAGTCTGTATAAGCGTTCTAGCCGTCCTCCAGTTTAAGGTGTGCAGAGTGGACTTGAGGGGGAAGTCACCGCTGGTGGTGGGTAAAAATCACACTGAGACCGGCGGCACTGTGTCCCCCACCCCCCTTTGAGGGCTCGAACTGAAATGTGCAAACTACAGTGTAAAAGGGGCCAAGTCTTCAGAGAAGGCCGGGTTAGGGGTGAATTGTGCTGAAACTGAAGACCCACCCAGGGCGGCGCCCCGCCCTCCGAGGACTTGCGCTAGGCCCGCGGCTGTGTCCTCTCCGCCTTTGGCGCTGTGACCGCCCCTGGGCTCGAGTAAAGCAGCCCGCGCCGCCTCGGTCTGGGAGCCCGTGTCAGACGGCACCGGAAAACAGACTTCCCCGAGAGACGACAAAGGAACCGAAAGCAGAAAGGTACTGATTTTTGACCATCAATATTTTTATTAAATGTGAAAATACAAGGGCATAAAAATAGTGCCCGTAGGTATTGCATGTCTGAGACCCATTTTGATTTTCAGTGTCTTTTATTATGAAAACACTATAAATTGGGTAGGATTAAGGTACTCAGTCTTGTCTCATTTAAAACCAGCTACACAGCCTTCCCGTTGGAGCCGCGTTTCAACCTCTGGAGTCTGGAGCCTCCTGCGCCGACACCCTCCGCGCTCTGCTCCCCGGCAGGCGGAGGCTGCTCCGCGGACGACCGCAACGAAACCGGTGCCTACACACACAGCCACGCAGTGGCTAATTTTACTCTTAAATCACTCAGCAAATGAGATCATCCATAAAAAAGCATTGTCCCCACCTATTAACACTATTTGCAATTGAAGAATAAACTACCGTAAAAGGAATGATCTGATTTAGAGTAAGGATGTTATGGGTTGACAAGTTAGCATTGCCTTGTTCCTTCCTTTGAAAATCTGGGAAAGTAAATCACACTCAGCGAAGGTGCACGAGTCTCCAGGTTGCACTGCTGCGCACGGTGGGAGCAAACCCTCCGCGAGGCCTGTGCGTTCCGGCGGCGCGGACGGAGCCCTGCCGGAGGCCCGTCTGCAGCTTGAGCGTCCCGTGCACGTTTTCACGGCAGCTGTCACACGCCACGCCTGACCAGTTCCACGCCTCTAAAGTGGAATCTCTCATTTTCTCCCATGAGTAGAAAATGGTGCCCATTTCAAATTGTGAGCCTATTGGCTTTTTTCCCTGCTCGGATATCAGTTATTTTTCTCTTTAAAAATCTGTGGGTAGTTTACATTCCATAATCAGAGTCCCCCAAAAGTTTCCATGCTGACATTTAAAAGAAACTTTTAATACTGACTCAAGAGAAAGGCATTTTAAAATTAATACTATGTTATGTCCAATTCACATCAGTAAACTGTTAGTTTTCATTCATCTGTGGTAAGAAAGCACAAACTTTCACAAGTGGGCCATGACGTATTCTCCCTTTTTAGGACTGCCTCCCACTGACAGGCCGGGGAGGCTAAAACTGGCCACTGCAGAAATGTGCACCGAGTGCAGCCCGAGGCCACCAGAGGGCGGGGTTTGAGAAGGGACGCGAGGCAGGTAAGGGCCGCACCCCCCTGTACTCGCTTTTCCAGAAAGAGCTGGAAAGGGTGCGGGTCCTGTTCTCCAAAGAGGGAGCACGGTGAGGGCGAGTCGCCCCAGACCAGCCGAAGGCTCGCTCTGTCTCCTGCTTCCCTCTCTCCCCACCCCCTCGCCCTTCACTCACACCTGCCCATTTTCCTTTCACTGTAGAGGACACTTGAGGTGGCCACCTTGCCACTCAGGTGAGCCCAGAAGACCGCTGATGCCCATCACAGCTGGCACTGAAAAGGTGGTGGTTTCCTTCAACAATCAGCAAAACAAAAGATTCCAAGGAATTTCTCTTGGTGGCACTGGCACTTGGCATCAGAGCTTTTACTGTCTCTTCACTGAAAACAGGCACGTGCACATTTCGGTTCAGATGACTGAACTGAACCCACGGTAAGGCTCTGAGCAGGAGGCGCGACTGTCACCAGCGGAGAAAAGCAAGGTGGACAGCCCTTGGAGCAGCGGCCGGCAGAGCGACGGTGCAGCGACACGTCCGCCCCCGGCTCCCTCCGGCACCTGTCCACCTCTCCCCCGAGGGGACGGACAAGCGGCCCGGGACTTCCTCTGTTCCGGTTGTGTCCGGAACACGTGGTTTTTAATAGATAGTGGCCATGCTACATTTCAGAGAGGTCACAGTTGACGACACAGACGAAAGAAGCAGATTGAAAAAGAATCTAACTAATGAAGTAATGAAATTACTGAGATTAAATAAAAATGAATTTCCTAAGTTTTCACATTAGCTTGAATTTTGAAACATTAAAATGAAATGAAAGCTGCAAGCTGTTCACTAGTTTTCAAAATGCATTCTTAAGTTTATTGGTAAGATAAAAACTTATAAATAGATGCAAAAGCACTTATGTGTTTTACCCAACTGTGTGGTTTCGGTCTCAGTGTGAAGAAAAGATTTTTCCGCGTGTTTCAGGATGACTGTAGAAGAAGGTAATTTGTGCTTGGCCATTGTGGACATTACTGGTCAGGATGCCTCCCACAGTAACAGTAAATGCTTGATTTCATGAAAACAATGTACTGGACTCATACTGCTCGAAATGCTTCAACATGCTGAGAGGAACAGGAAAACCTTTCTAGAATAAAGGTACTAATTCTTATCTAAAGTAATTCTCTTAGAATTTAAATGCAGTATCAGTAGTCCCATAAATATTTAATGTTCTTGATTAAAATACTCATCTTTTAGGGAAAAAATTATTGAATATACAAATATTGAGTAATTTCTTAAAAGGTACAAAGAAGGTACCCCAAGGAGAGACGCCATCTGGACAGTGGGGAGGGTTGTAAACCTGGGCTGGGTCAGGCGGCAGCGTGCGGGGGCAGCGAGGTCCCGTCTGCTGCGCATGCCCGCCTGCAACCGGCCCCCGTGGTGTCTCCACGAGGCTCCGCCCGGAGGGGAGGGGAGCTGCCCCCACTGCGTGTAGAACAGTGAGAAAAAGGGGCGTCTGCTGGGTGCACCTCTCTGAGACGACCCTGTTCTAGGAAGTTCTGCTGAACTCAGTTTCAGTTATTGAACTAGGTCCCTCTGCACTTCTGCAAAACTGTTTGAAATAAAACCACTGCTATATTATCTGAACCTGTTTTGTACATAGCTGTTAGGTTAATTTGTTGTTTCATATTAAACAGATAGGTCTTACAATTAATTGTTTCAGTGGTGGTTAGGATTTTCTTGAAAGTCGGCCCGACACCCATCCATGGTCTGACCCTCGCTACCTCGACCGCCACGTGCGCCCTGGGCTCCTTCGGCCTTCATGCCGAAGGTGGGGGAGATGCCGGTGCACCGGGGTTAAGGCAGGCTCCATAATTTAACACACATTTGCAAGTGACTGGACTAAAATCTAAGCAAAATTGTCCCTAAGGACATATACCTCAAAATGTTAACATTCTCTTGAAGAATACTGAAATAGGACCATTCTCATGAAGATACGGCTCCTCCTCCGCGCCAGCACCGACGTGCTACACACGGCTGTGAGAAAGCAGCTCCTGCGTGCTCCCCCGGGTACCCCCAGGCTGCGAGAGCCCTGGCCCCGGTGCAGGTGGCCCTGCGGGTCACACCTGGCCTCCCTGCCGGGCACACTCAAGCCTAAAGTGGGTAAGAACTGATTTTTCTTATTAAAACAATTCTTTGGTCATGGACAAACTGAAGATTTGAATTTTTTTCATTAGGATCCTAGAACAATGTTTCTTCTTTTAATCTTTAAAAGCAAAAAAAAAGAGCTGGCTTAATTGAAGTGGAATTTGAAGCGAAAAGGTCCGCCGGAGCTGAAGGGGTTGAAGCCCTGCCACGAGTTCCAGCTCCTGTGGAAGGGGTTGCCGCCCCCTTGTTGGCTCTCTGCGTCCAGCGGGTCTTCCCCTTCGTCAAACTTCTTCCTCATCTCTGCAAAAGAAACAGCCAGGTCAGCCCCTGGTGTGATGGCGGCGGGGGCCGCTTGCCCATCAGTGATGAAAACAGGTGAGTCAGGAGCTGAGCACTCCGCTCTCCCAGTCCCCGCCCCATCAGAGGTCTGGTCTCAGGACAACGAGCGAGAGAAACGCCGCTGGTCAGAGAAGGGGGTGAGGGCAGGGGCCGAAACTGGCACCACGGAAAGGGAGGCCGCCTACACCTCTCTCCAAAAACAACGAATGACTGGGGAACAGACCTCCCACAGTCTCACACTGTTCGCCCGGCAACCTTGGCACCTTCTAACCCCAGGGTGAAGTCAGCCCCATCAGGCCTCGGCTTCCCAGCGCCCCACTGTCGGGTCGGGGTAGGCTGGGGGCAGGTCGTGAGGAAGCAGAGCCGGCTAACGTGCTCAGAGATGAGGGACAGCTGTTTTCGTCCTTCAAATAAGAACAGGGGCTGAGGAAAAGGCATCGAGAACAAAACAACTCTCAGCAATTAAAAATGCATTGCTTTTCACATCGCAGGCCTTTGTAACGGCCGCCCCGAGTCCCTGGGGGCTCCCTGCAGCCCTCACCCCCATGGTCACCCAGCTGCCCACTGTGACAGCCAAGAGGGCAGGACCTTCACGGATGCCACAGACCCTCCTCTGCTGAGTGAGAGGACGAACAGCACATACCCTACTGTGCTCAGTAAGTGCGCCTCTGTCTCCTGCACTGGAGTCTAAGTTACTCGAGAGCAAAGGATCATTTCACTTCAACTGCACAGCAGGTGCTCAAAGACTCGTCCAAAGGCCATGAACCTGACTTCCTTCTATTTCATTAAATTTGTGCTGCTCCCACTGACGTGGAAAGACACAAAAAGCAGTAGGTTTAGCTTCATATTAAATTCTTCCTGGAAATGTCTAAGTATTGTTAAATATGCCTTAAATCCTTAGCTGCCTCACTTTTATCCTCCCGGCCATTTTCCTGTGTGATCAGAGAGCATCCGTAGCACCCAGTGAACGCCTGATGGAGGCGAGATTCCTGGGAGCACCGGGCAAGCGGCTCCCCTCCCAGCACGGCGCGTTCCAGCCTGGTGTCTGGTTCCCTAATCAAGACCCTGGTGGTTTGGTGTAAAGGATTCATCACGGATCTATGAAGCTGCGAGGAACCCGAGAGATCCCCCTCACGGTTGTGCTTTCACATTGCAGGTAGGAGAAAAAACCAGGGAGAAATGTCAAACTCAGGCCTCTTGATGGATGCCACATCTCTCCCCCTGTCCACTACACCGCAAACCTGTGAGTCCCTGCATTGGACCAGAGCAGACATAAGTGGGATTTCTGAGACTGCAGGGCCCAGACCAGTCCGCAGCCCCTGCCTACCGTCCACTCTGATGCTGCCTGTACCACGGGCCAAGGGAGAGGGAGGGCTCTGTCCCCAGTCACCAATCCGGCCACTTCACGGGGAGCAATACCTGGATCAGAGAGGACCTCTTTGGCAGCCGCAATGTCAATGAATTTCTTCTCAGCTTTTTTCTTTTCTTCTTCATTCTGGAAATTATCTGGGTGCCACTGCATTGCTAGTTTTCTGTATGCTTTAATGATTTCTTGTTTTTTGGCATTTCTAAGGGGTATTAAAATTAACAAACATTAGTTAGGAATCAATCACCCAACACTTCTGGATTAGCTTACTTAATAAAAACAAGTCCTTGAAAGAGCGGGGTCTGTTCAGGGAAGGTGGTCTTTGTAGCAGCATCTCAGCGCCTGCCAGCTGCTTCCTGACACGCCGCTGTACTTACAGGCCTAGAGAGTTTTGCTTCTCCCCACCCTCTCCCCGCTCTCCACCCCCACGGACTCCAGGCCTAGGGCCTGGTCACGCTGCAGAGTCAGACCTCTGTCCCCAACCACTGACGCTCCATTGTCGCATCACTGGTCTCGGTCACAGAGAACTGGAACGTACTCCAAATAACCTGAGGATGTTAGACTGTTAGGGTTCATCTAAGACCGAATTATCTCAGGACAGGAAATGAATCCGAGAGAGAGACGAGGAACAATGATTAGCTCCAAAGGAGCTGATTTCAAAATAACAATGCAAATTTCAATCATTCACCTTTTTACTCCCAGGATTTTATAATAGTCTCTCTTCTGGGACTGTTTCAGCAGCCTCTGCGCCTTCTCCAGCCCCTCCCGAATCTGCTGGTCGTTTTCATTGTGCTCCTGGGCAGTTTCATAGTCCTGGATGGCTGTCAAAATACGTTCAAGGAAAGGCTGTAAAGGGGATTCCGATTTATAACCTTCACTTACCCTGCAAAACAACACGGATGTCACCATTCCCACCCCTTCACTCATTTGCTGTTACTGCTAAAAGCCTAAGAAGTGACGCCACAATTAAGGCTGAATTTGGCAGCTCCTTGCTCTCAGTCAATAAATTCACCGTTGGCTGCTTGCTTACTTACCCTCCGCATTATCTTCCCCATACCTTTTGGCCTTTCAGGTGTTCTAACAGCAGCACTTTAAGCAAAGCACTCTTACCATTGTTCAGACTAAAGTGACTGTTACGCAGGAAGACAGAAGAGCGGCAAAGAGAGTGCACCGGCAGCTACGGGTCCAGAGCACGGGGCGCCGTCGCCCTTGGAGGCCCCGACTCACAGGTTTCAGCGCACACGGTCCGGCTGGTTTCCTGCGTCAGTCAGACTAGAAAACCATAGACACCTGGCAGGTCTGGGGAGTCTGGTGACAGTGCACACTGTGTCCTTTATTTCAGATATACGCGGCTTCGGGGCACTTTGCAGGGTGCAGGAGAGAGGAAGCACTGCAGGCCTGACACCGTCACCCTTACAAAGGTATACAGGCAAGGGCAGCCCCTGGGAAGCTGGGTTTCAGTTTAAGGAGGGGGCCCAACATTCCCTGATCAGACGGGCTCACCACACCGAAACTATCCGCATAACCAACGTGGTTTATGCTGAATGCTGTCTTTCCTCGGAAGTCTGGAGTTTCGGCGTGAGGCAGAAGGCACCTGCTCCCTAGCCCCAGTAACAGCCTGGGCCCTGGGGCTCTGACAGGCTTCCCTGGTGGAGAGCACTTCAAGCTCACTGCGGAGTCAGCTTGTTCTGTGTGATTTCAGACACACACTTGGAATCTTTGCCCTGGGTCCTCTGAATTCTGCCCCTTGAGCCTGCTCCTTCTGCTGACCTTACTTGGTGCCCAGTCACCAGAGTAAATCTCAGCCCTGAGTCCCCAAATCTGGGGCTGGGCCTGGGAGGCTCCGACACAAGCCCCCCCCCAGTGTTCTCCCTGGGCAGACTCCCCAGACAACAGACCGCTGGTCTCAGTGTCCAGTTGTTACAGAATGCACGTCAGTCTGGGAGCGCCCCCTGCCTGTGGACAGCATGGCTGAACGCTCGTCTTGGCAACAGCTAATCCGGGAAGGGGTTAACCCCAGGCAAGGTTAAAATGAGAAAGAGACAAGAATATGATCAACAAATTTATAAGCCTGCACCACACAGAAAAAGCCACATTACCTCTGGCCCACAGGGCAGCTGCTCTAAGCTTTTATCCTAATTCCTGCCTCAATGCATTGATACTGAGTATTAATATGAGACATTAACTATTACTGTCACCCAGTCCACAGCGACACCCTAAAATGTCCTTCCAATTCAGTGCACAAATCCATCAGAAGCAGTAGTGAGGTTTAACTGCAATCAATACCCATAGCGTTTGATACCACAACCTAGTAAGGAAACGTCTTTTCAAGGAACTGAACAAAAGGGGGGATGTCTGTGCTGTTTTGCTGCTTATGCAAACCCCACATTAAAACGTGCCTGCATTCTTCAGTGTTCACAGCGCCTCCCCAAGGCAGTCTTCCATAGCCTGTCTTGTATTAAAACTTAAGTAGACACATTTCTGCCAAAACAGGAAAAAAATATTATAGGCTGTTTCCTAAATTCACATGGTTATAGGTAGGCAATTAACCAGAAACTTAATATGGATGATGTAAGACTTCCCACGGATCTAAGCTTAGATCATTTTAAATTATATTTCAGACTCTACTTGCCAAGAGAATGTTAAAACTAAATGCCACCCAGTTATGTTTACCCCGTACCATACTGAGCAGCTGTGAAAAGCGGAAGAAGCCGGAAATATTAAAGTCCTAAGTGAACAGCATATGCCAGTAATCTCCAAATCTAAAAAGCCTCCCTCCCAAATTCCTTTTCCGTCCTCTCCTCACTCAGTTCCTCAGGAGCAAAGCAAACCACTAGACCAGGAACACAGCGCACAGGGGTCTGCCAGCTCCAGACCACTATCCCACCAAAATGGCAAAAACACAAAATAACGTAACCATTATGATGTTACCAGCAGACCAGAAATTTTGGTAAGTTTCTGGAAGACAGAAAACATGTGGGATTATATTACTAATGAAGAAACCTAAATAGAAAGAACCACAATCCAAACGCACATTGAAAGAGGACCTAGCAGATTTGGAAGCCACTCTGTTTGGCCAAGGACCTTGTCTCGTGAGCAAGAGTAGCTTTATGGCACCATCAGAACAGTCCCTTAGATGAGTAAAGGGTGGCTGGGCGGGCCCTCCCCTCCCCTTTCACGTGGAGCAGCTACAGCACTACCCCCCGCCCCAAGGACTGGAGGATGTGCATCTGGAGGGTCCCTCGTGGTGGCTGGGACCAGGAAGAGATGCAGAACCAGCCCACAGGCCCCCAAGACAGACCTTCGCAACAGACCTAGAACAAACTGGGGAAAGCAGTTCCATCCACGCTGAAGTGCCCGAGGGACTGCGGCTGGTAAGTAAAGTAAAGCGAGGTGAGCCCTGCTCACTTGGCAGCTGGACAAGATGGCACAGCTCTGTAGAGAAAGTCTTCCTGTGGCTAGGCTCTCCCCCCGCCCCCCCCCATAAAGTTTGCAGTGAGTCCCCCAGTACAGAGAAAGTGTAGTTGCAAGTGACCCCTCGGTCATTTCACCAATCCATTAGCAAGTCCCAAGTCAGCTGCTCTTCCAACAGAATATAACTACTTCTCACCATTTCCAGTTACCGGCATAATGAAGCACATCATTAACAAACCCGAAGGCTGTAGTAGCTTCACAGCAGCTTTCCCCAGCCCCCACCCCCTGAAAGTCTGTTCTCAGTGCAAGGACTCTGGAGAGCCTTTGAGAGAGCCAGTCATACCTCCAGTGCAAACAGGCCCATGGCACGCCCACCTTCTCATCCTGGATACCATGCAAAACAAGATAAATGGGTGCGGGGAGAGCTGCACTTTCAGCAGAACGATTCCAAGGAACTGCAGGAGGGCTGCTAATACCAGCTGTGAATCCAAAAGGAGAGGGGGAAGCAAACAGTGAGAAAGGCCCAATGGCAAGAGATCACAGAACATGCCAACAAAGCACGCTTTCCGTGAGTGTGGGCGCATCCTGAAGCGACAGCCTGCACCCTCCGCCTGTTGCGAGCAGCTGTAGTGGGAAGACCGGTCAAGAAGGGACCACGATGAGCAACAACAGCAGTCAGCCCTGGGCAGCCCATCTCTCCAAAGGTGAGGGGCTCACCCTGCCGTGCCAGAGACACCCCTTTCGTTGTAGCAAAGGAAGTGGGCAGAGGGGCAGCAGGACCGGCAGCAGACGACCTCCTGGACACGGTTTGGTGCAGAGGAGCAGAGGGGGCAGGGCTATACAGAAAGGCCATTCTAGCAGGAAGCAGAATGTGGAGACAGTGAAGCAGAGAGCATCGCGATGGTTACCTACAGATGCTGCCCTGTGCCCCCCCCCAGAGGACTAGGAAAGGCTGCTGCACATCATTCTGGGAGGAGGCGTACTGAATTGACACGGCACAGCGTCATTCAAAGATATGCAATTTTTAAAGTAAACACGAGCACCCAAACTTACCAGATGAACATGCATCAGCACAGCAGCCAGAGAACACATGAACATTCCGAGCAAACATTATGGTATGAATATTCAAAATTTAACTCAGTCACCCCCATTGAAGGTAATCACTAAGCCAAATAAGCACTAAGCAAAGAGAGTGAGATGAGACATGGAGGAGTTAAAAAGGTGAGGTCACAACTCCAGAAAAATAAGTACAACACAGTAAAAACTCTCATTGCCACTGGCTCAGTTGGTTGGAGCATTGTCCCATAACCAGGAGGTTACAGCTTCAATCCCCAGTCGGCACATGCCTGGGCTGTGGGTTTGAGCCCTGGTCTGAGCACACAGTCCTGTCTGGGTGTGTTCAGTCCCCGGTCCTGGTGCGCACAACCACTGGTCTGGACGTACTTGGGAGGCAACCCATCGATGCTTCTCTACCTTCCTCTCTGTCTAAAAGCAAAGAAAAAGTATCCTTGGGAGAGGGTTAAAAATAAAATAAAACTCTTAGAAGTGAAGATGAAATGAGAAGGCACACAGTGAGAAGAACATGGGAAAAATAAGGACTCAACAAAATGAAAGAGTGAGTTTAAAAAGACTAGAGGAAAAAAACTGGCTGTAGATGACAAGCGAAGGGAATACAGCCTACACCTAACTGGATCGTGGAAGCAGAACAATCCAGATTAAATTTAAGAAAACTTTGCTAAAATAAAAAATATATTCAAAAGGTACACCAGGTGCCTGGGCAAACGGAGAAGGACCAACACAGAGACAGCCCCGCGTATGAGTGACACACAGGAAAGAAAGGGCTCTTCAGGCAGCCGGCCCGGAACCGAACTCCTGGCCCTGGACTTTCCACTATTCAGTGCCCAAAAGACTGGAGGAGGAAGTAAAATTCACAGGAAGTTTGTGAGCCGAGGACTGTTTTATCTGTCCAGGCTGTCCTCCAGGAACAAAAGGTACAAAGAGCTTTGAACAGAAAAGAAGTCAGGAAAACATTTTCCCAGGAGCCTTTCGAGGGAACTCCTGTGGGACGAACCCACAAAGAGCAGTCTAGAGAAACCACAGCCCACACGCACTGAGCGGAGGTAGCGCAGAGGGCAAAACAAAACACCGAAGCTCAGTGCCAGCGGAGGGTGGACGCCCCACGAGGCAGAAGGGCCACGCTACCAAAAACTGGGAGGTGAGGAAGTGGCTCACCGACTCCCCCAGTTACAGCTGAAAGCAGTCAGGAAGTTCACCCACTGAGAAGTCAAAGGCAAATACTAGACAAGATCCATATTGACAAGCACTGAGTGGTCGAGGAAAAGTGAAGAAGGGAGAGACATGCCGGCCTTCGTCACTGTAGGGAACCAACAGGTGCTGCCCGACGGAAGAGGGCTAAGTTAGCCAAACGACAAAAACAACCAAGAAGCAAAATACAGACTTTCTTACATATGGAAATAGTACACAAAACAGGGCAGGCCCGACGGCAAAACTTCTCAGCAAAACAACGCCGGGATTCAGACCAAGCACATCTGTCACGTTCCTAAATGTAAGTGTATTTAACTCACCTACTTAAAATCCACAAAACTCATGAAGCCAGCCATTTTAGGTGGAAGGAGGAGGAAGAGGAGGGTGGAGGAGGAGAAAAGAAACCAGTAATAAATTACCAAAAAATGAAAGTGGTAAAAATAGTTTTTAATCACAATGTTAGAACACTAGAAATTAATGTCAAAAATAAAAGGAGTTTCACACCTAAAAATGTTTTAACTCACCAGCAACTCTTACAGAAGAAATATAAATAAAACCTTTATTTTACAGGCTGGCCCTTCACCCCAAAAAAGCGCTGCTTGGCTCCCGTCCTCAGAATTACGGACACTCCTCGTAACACTACAGCAACAGCCGCGTCAGACAGAGTGAACGCAGCAGTCACAGGTTCCATTGGAAGTTAGCTATCCCACAGGATACTGTCTGTACAGAAAAGCTCATGCGAATTCCAAACCACTGTCCTGAAGGTGAGCATAAAGGAAGCCATTTACTTAAAAGTGTACAAGCAACCCTGTACTAAGCATCATCTTATCACAATTCTGAGATACGTGCTTTTGTTTTTAAACTACAAAAATATTTTAATGTACTTGACGTTGCACTAAGACTCATAATTTGATTCATGTGTAACAATGGATGTGAATCATTCCTATCAAACTGAACCATTTCACTCAGGGTATGTTTGTGTGGGTACCTTTTATGAAATAGTTTTTTTAATATGAACCTTGTTCAAAATGCATTTTATATTTAACTGTTTATAAAACAGTATATACTATATGGAATATATATTTATGCATAAACAAATATTATACGTGACTGCACTTTCTAGAATAATAGCGTCACCAAACTGAAGCAAATTCCACATACAGATGCTCCTTCACTTACACTGGGGTTCCACCCCAGGAAACCCACTGTGAATTGAAAATGTCATAAGCCAGATGTGCATTTCATACCCTAACCTACTGACACGCTCAGAACACTCACATGCATCAGCTGCCCTTGGGCAACATCAACATCTGTTCTTATTCCTGTCGTTCAGTCAGGGAAAGCAAAGCCTAACGGGTGAGGTTGATCGAGACCACGCAGCAGACATAACTGGCATACTCAAAAGACGACATACGAATGGCCAACAAGCACGTGAAAAGATACTCAGCATCAGCTTTAGGGAAATGCAAATCAAAACCACAATAAGGTATCGTTTCACACTCTTAAGAATGGCTTCTATCAAAAAAAAAAAAAAACCGGAAAACTCCACATGTTGGCGAGAATGGGAAATACTGGAACCCTTGCGATGCTGCTGATGGCAATCATCACAAAAAATCAGTGTGGTGGCTCCTGGAAAACTACAAAACCAGAACCACAGTGTGGTGCGGCAACCCCACTTCCACACACGTATGCGGGAGAATTTAAAGGAGAGTCTTGCATAGAGAGGTTATTTGTACGCTCATGTTCACAGTAGTGTTATTCATGACAGGCAAAAGGGGGAAGTATGTCCACCTACCGATAACTGTATACATACAGCAGATCATACACATACCGTGGAACACTATGCAGCCTTAAAAAGGAAGAAATCCCGACACGTACTGCAGCAGGATGGACCTTGAGGCCATTATACTGAGCGAAATAAACCAGCCACAAAAAGAAGTATTCTCCCCTTCTAAGACCTGTGTAGAGTAGTCAGCTTCATAGAGACAGAAGACAGAGTGCTGGGTGCCAGGGCCTGGGAGGTGGGAGAAGGCACCAGTGTGCTGGGTACCGGGTGTGGTAGGCATGGAGTTCGGTTTTGCGAGATGACAGCCCTGGAGACTGGCTGCACAGTGACGTGAATATACTTAACACTACTGACCTGCACCGTAAAAATCAGCATGATGAATTTCACGTATATTTTACCGCAGTTAAAAATAAAAATAAATAGCAAAGCCAGCCTCAAGTCAGGGCTAATTCTAAATTCCATACTCTTTTCACTATGACCTTCTTGCTTGACAACATTCATCACTCAGCAACTATGTAAGTGCCTGGCTACGAGCCAGGCACAGGTGCCAGAGATGCTTCAGTTAGTAACAGACGCAGGTCCCGTATAGCTTAAGTTCTAGCCAATGTAACTGCTTACGTCAAAAGGACACTCGGATCGCCCTATGTTCAAAGGAACTCTGCCAGCCGTTCTGTACTGCCTCGGTGTCAGTTTGCTCCTCCCACAGACTATTAAAAGGACTCACAGGGCTGAAGAGCCACCTCCAACCACAGCCATCTCGCGCTCTGCTAGCTTCCGGAGGAGTGGAATCCCCTACTAATCTTCCCAAAACTAATAAATCATGTTTCATGACGCACTAATCGAAGCATTTTTTCTGTATTCATTATGCACCTACTATCATTTCACACTGCTAATTTTTAAAAATGGAATATGGAAAGCCTTTAGAATTTAACTCAGCATTTCAACATACTATGATTTAGCCTAGTTGAGGATGAATGATTATTACATCATTTACTAAACCTCTGATTCAAATCCAAACAAGTCAAGTAATACCTTTCAGTTTCAACTATACAGGCTTCGCCTCTAGCCCCCAAATTTAAAGACCTACCAACCCATTCTCACTCCAGGACGTTGCTTAATTTCCATACTTGTGACTCAAACAACCATTTTACTCTTGTAAAACCATTCACTCAGAAATATTTCCCAGTGTATAATCCAAGCCCTCCTCCCAAAGACAAAGAATAAACTCCTATTTAAAAGAAATCTTTAAAGGAAAAAACAGACTTCAAAGACATCTATTAAATCAGTATTAAGCATCTTTTCTTCAAGAATTAAGCTGTGAAGTTTTCCTTAAAAAAGTCAGTTTGACATTCACAAAGGCATCGTTCCAATTATATTCAGCAGCCTACAAGATTTAACCTTTTTTAACAGCTAAGTTGTTTTGTTTTGCAGAGTCCGATTCCACGGTCAGAGCCGAGGGTCCGCTTACAGATGATGGCAGCGCCTCCGACGCAGTGCTCCCAGAGTGATGGGGAGGGCGCATCGGGAGTGCGTCCACATCACTGCGCAGGCGCAGCAGGTCAAGGGCGAAAAGAACAGCTATGCCCGCGGGCTCCTCCAGGCGGACCACCTGCTTCATTGAAGCGTTCTCATGAAATGTAAAGCTTATCCTATTGACTGCATATGTTTCAAGCCTCAATCAGACTTCAGAGATGATACTGTAAAAATGCCCCACAAATAGCAATAACCAGAGTTACTGTTACTCCCAAGAAACCACTTAGGAGCAAGATTCTTTTCAAATTGTGAAAAGAGGGGAAAAAGTACCATGAACCTTTTTAAATTAAAAGTGTAGTTATCTCCTTTTTAACATAGCTTTTACTGTGTTATCGATGCATCCTTACTGCATTTAAAATTTTATCCATGATCACATTTACACCTATTTTTGCATGACATTAAAATATAATACATATTATTTTAATGGTCATACTCTTTTTTTAAATAAGTATTCAGTATCTAATTAAAAAAACAAAAAAGAGTACTACAGATTAAGTTTCACCAGAAAAATACTATGCTTTCAATTTAAAATGATGTACCTGATTTGAAATGAAAACTTTGCAATAAGGGCAGTAAAACTTGCTTCTTTTAAAAACTATCCCACTTAAATGTTTATGGCATATTGTAATGCGAAAAAAGTCTAGCTTCAAAACGTGTATTACTGTATATGCCTTAGTTATCTTGCAAAAATAGGGCACTGCCATTATTCAAGGTCCTCACGACATCTCGTGGAACACTCTTTCTGTGACTTCAAGTTGAATAGCACAGGATAAGCAACCACCCTAATGTTATTAAACAGCTTAGGGGTCACAGAACATTTTATATTTAGGATATATGACGTAAATGTGTATGCAGTATGAATAACGTATGCCATATATGCATATGTATATTATATAGCATAAAGACTACGTATTGGACAAGTCTGAAAGATAAATTCAACATTAACAGTGATGACAACTGGATGATATAAAATCTAAATCTTCTATTTTGTTACTTATCTTTTCAAACTTGTCTAAAAGAAACACTGAAGTTTTTATTTTTAAGTGCCACTGAACTGATTTCGACAAAACGTTTTCCCTAGATTGTCTACCTTTCAGGTTCTACTAAGGAAGAATAACTTAGAAGTTCCTGCCATTTTTCTAAAATTATCAGGATTTCCTGGTACCTGGTAAACTTGTTCTAAACAACAGGATTTTAAACATGTGCTGACTTTCATGTGCGTCAGCTCCTGCAGACTCACCTTCGTCATACATTTCTTCTATGACGTAGGCCTCCGCCCGGTCCTTCAGAGCGTTCACGTTGTCGGGCTCCACCTGCAGCACCTCGGAACACGCTCGAATGGCCTCGACTGGCTTCGCGTCCTGGAAGGACACGTGAGAAAGCGGTCTCTGGTCTCTCTGCCATATGCTGTTTTTACACTTCCAGCAATAAGGTCAACGATTTCTGGGAATGGGTCAACGGTTACCTTAGAAAAGCAGTGGCAAATCCTTTCCTTTGAACGAACTGTATATTCTGAAACACCAGGCTCTAACTGCATCACGGATTCATATTTGCTGGTCGCATCTGTGTATCTAGTAAATGAGTAAATCAGGATGAGTGACAAATTCTGCTTCCAGAGCCAGAGGAAACACCCTGTGTTCTTCACTTTATGTCGCTTCATCAGTTTACCTGAATGAGCGTGTGCTTCCAAATGCTGCCTTTAACTTACTACAGTAGCAAGAAACATACTATCTCCAATTAGGAGTTAGGAGATGAAACATACGACCACCAAAATGATAAATCAGAGCATACCTGTGAGTATCGATCAAACCACCTGCTGAATTCCCTTACAGAAAAACGCTCATGATTTTGACACTGAGTAAAACTCATTCGAGTCTGACTTCCGTGGAGCACGTTCCGCAAAACAAATAAAATTTATGTTTTGGTCACTCTGACTTTCATGAAATAATGGAGCCCATTACATACACGCTATTTTATATAATGAATGCAGTGTTCACCACTAAGTACAATGTACTTCCCTGCAGGAGGGACCTGTTTACATTCCTATCCATAGTAGCTGTTAGGAACAACAGAAAAGCTGTTTCAGCGTTTTAAAAATGAATGAAAAGTAGTAATCATGTTACACACTAAGTTACTTTCCTCAGTAATCCCAAACCAAGAGACAGACAACGTGGAACATTGTTCCCAAGGCACTGCAGTCTTCAACTTTAAATGCTAATGTGTCTTCCATGGTGGGAGAACAATTGTAGGAAGCTGCAGAGTGGGTGAGACCTCGCTTTACTTCTTACAACCACGTGTGAAACAGCAATTAGCTCAAATGAAAGTTCAATGAGAAAAATACTGTCTTAAAAAAAAGGCTCACTTGTAGGAAGGTGGGATAAATGTACTTTCCGCAATTTGTCTAGCTAGGTACAAATAAATACCCTAGACATTTAATATTTTTTAAAATGTGGGAAGACTTGGAAAGGGAAAGAGCCAGAGACCCGGACCTGAGGGAAAACAGTGTGTTCAGTTCCCCGGTTTCTTTTCTGCCTCCTACACCCAGACTTAGCGCTGAGGGAGCCAGCAACCCAGAGACACCAGTGTGTACAAACACACACGTACACACAACCCAAACAAACAAAAAGCAGAAGCCTGCTGTCCCAAGCCAAAAGACGGGGAAAGAGCAGTTCAGGGAGACAAACTTGTTTTCAATCCTCAACCGAGGACAAGCTTACTGATTTTAGAGAGAGGGAGGGGAGGGAGAGAAAGAGGGAAGGAAACATTGAAGTGAAACACACCGATCAATCGAGTGCCTCCCAACCAACCCGGGATGGAACCCACACCTTTCAGTTTGTGGGATGACGCTCTCCAACCGAGCCATACCAGCCACAGCAAGACAGAAAGCTTTAGACAGTAATGGCTAACTCCAGCCAAACTCCCGAGGAAACTATGGCCCCGTGCCGACCACCGCGAGCAGGCCCCCTGGAGAGCCCAGGCTTCACCCCTGGTTAGGCTGCAGTGACCATGCTGGCACCCGCACAAGGCAGGGGTACGAGAAGGCCAGGCGGGGAGCCAGGTGCAGGCACCCGCACAAGGCAGGGGTACGAGAAGGCCAGGCGGGGGAGACGGCTGAACACAAGTCCCCAAACCTGCACCAAGCAGCACCAAGGAGCCTCTCGCACCTCGAACACTGATGAAGGCTGAGGGGGGAACCTCTCCCTCCACCTGCCCCACACCATTTTGCTGGAGCAATGTCCAAAAACCCCGGCCAAAACAGAAGACTGACATATAAAAACATTCTACAAAATGAAAACGGCCAGCATTCATCATATCAAGGAACAGATCTCAAACTGAGTAAGACAAATTCCAGCACCAAAAGGGCAGACAGGTTACGGCGATCTGATAACCACTTTACGGCGGCCGTAAAACAGCAGCAATGACAAACACGCTTACAGCAAACAAACAAAAATGCCTCAACAAACACAGAAATTCTCAACAAAGAAACAGAAGACACAGAAGAATAACCAAACGGAATTCTTAGAACCGAAAAACAGAAAAACCAAAATTAACAAGCTCCTTGAATGTGCTCAACAGCTGACTGAAGGAGACAGGAAACAATCAGTGAATTGGAACAAGGACCAAACCTTAACAGAGAGAAAATAAACTGACAAAAATGAATGAGCCCAGAAATCTGTGGGGCTGAAACAAAATACAGAGAGGGAACTGCTGAAAAAGTACTTTGTAATCTACTAGCTGGGAACTTCCCAAGTTTGACAAGGTATAAACCTACATGTTCGAGAAACTAAATAAACTCCCAAAAAGACAAACATAAGGAAATGCACAGAGACACATCATAATTAAACTTACAAATACTAAAGACAAGGAAATACTAAAGACAAGGAAAACAATTCTTGTAAGCAGAGGAAAATGTTATTTATAGGAGGAAAAAAACCATTAAAATGACAATGGATTTCTCTGTAGGAATCAGAGGCCAGAAAGAGGTACAGTGTTCTCCAGGTAGGACCTACCACAGAAGAACTGGTAACTCAGAATCCTATACGGTGGAGGGATCTCCAGTCTCACACATCCCTATCGCTCTACGGACCACACCCCCTTTTCCTAATCAGTGTGTCTGTCTGTCTCCATCACTACTACACTGTAGGCTTCTTAAGACCAAAACCTATATAGTCACATGCATGTCTGCAACCCTAGTACACAGTCAGAACCTGATAAAGGAGATACTCAGTAAACGTTTGGTGAAACAGAAATCAATCTGGTAAGAAGACTATGCAGTCACTATTATCTACACTTTTACAGTGTGCAGTTGTGGTAGGTTAAGTGCTGTCCACGATGAGCCATCCTCCACCGCTAGGGAGTGAAAAGCACGCAGCTGGTGCAGGAAGGCTGGATCGTGCAGACAAGTGTACTCTTACCTGCCCTCTCTGATGAGCTCTTCAGCGGACTCGATCAGCTTATTGAGTTTTTTCACTTGTTTGTAGTGTGCAAAACACCTTTTATGATCCTGGTCAAGTTTAAGACACTCACGAACTTCACTGCTCATGTATTTAAAAAGAGGAAAATATTCCAAGTCAAAAAAATCAATGAGTACTTTTCCATATTAAATACAGAAACAATAAAAAGTGTATTTTTTGTTTGCAACAATTAAAACATACTGGCTTAATAATTTACCATATATTTTTATATTTGGTATTGTACCATGCCCACACTTACTAGGTCAAATTAAAGTGACTTAAATAGTTATACATTAGATGCTTCATGTTGCTTCTACAAATACGATACCCACCTTTATTTAATATGCATAATTCATGAAAATAAACTATGGAAGTAGAATAACTTAAAGTGTATAAATAGACAATAGGATATAAACACAAAATATATAAAGCACAAAAAGCCTTCACCACAACTTTATTATTTTAAAATTAAAAAGAGAATGGGGTTACTATCTCGGGGCCACAATAAAAAGGTGAGGAGACGGGTGTCATGAGAACTGACCTGAGGGACAGTTCGTGATCTCCCAGCTGATAGTACAGTGTGCTGATTTTATAGAAAGCCTCGGTATTGTCGTTCTTCAATTTGGAGGCAGCTTTTAAGTCACTTATCGCCTTCCTAGGCTCCCCTTCTTTTATATAACATTCAGCTCGAAGTTCCCGCAGCTCAGCATCCCAAACACAGACCTTGAGAAACAAAAGAACTAGACTTCAAGAAAGAAACAGTCAATTATGCACAGTCATACTTGCATCTCACATATTTTGCAGACTTCCTTCTGAAACCACTTGTCACTAAGGCCTTCGAGGCGAGGAAACCGGACAGCTTTCCCAACCTGGAACCGCTTTCCCAACCCCGAACCGCTTTCCCAACCTGGAACCGCTTTCCCAACCTGGAACCGTCTGGACCCTGGTGACTCTCCACCTGCCTTCTTCCCTTGACGCTTCCCACTCCAGGCGCTGTTCTGTCCTCCGGAACATTATTTTTCCTTTTTCTTAACCAGCTGTCATCTTCTACCCCATTATGTAACCTCTAGAGTTTTCTACACACACCCCCCCAAAATTAATGTCACATCAAACAACTACTAAAGCAAGCAATGTGTAAAAATACGTAACTCCCATTCCATAGCACATTGATTACATTTACTGAAAACCTCGGCTCCAAATTTTCTTCTATATAAATACCATCTTTCACTTCCAAGCTAAAAGCACGAGGACCAGTCTGACTTCGGCTCTCTGGGATTCCCATGGTACGCACCATATCAAAGTGTACCGTCATGCCTTACTGTAAAAAGCAGTGCACATCAGGCTGGTCAGTTGCAGCAGCTAATGAACTCACCTCTAAAATCTTATCAAGGAAGGTGATGGCAGCAACATAATCCGAGTCTTCAAAAGCGTCCAGGGCTTGTGCACGCAGACGCTGCATTTCGTCAGACTTCATAAGTTGGGACTGGGCTTCCTTTTCTTCACTTTCACTTGGATTAGATTTGAGCTAGAAGAATAATAAACAGGGATTTCAATCTCTCAAGTCTAGTACCCACAATATACACAGCAATCTGACCATTCCCAATGAACTTTTCTCTGAAGTTTTCTCACCTTTCTTTCTTATGTGTAACTAGAGAAAATAACTCGAGCTTTTCGTATTTTGCCTTCTAGTTAAATTTCAAAGTATTTTAAGTATAAAATAATTTTACCAAAATAATAAAAAACACAGAGAAACTGAAAAAGGTCTTCTTAGAGGTTATAAGAGAAAAAGATTTGATGTCGGGCTACAGTGTAGTAAGAAAGGAAGAATTTACAAGGAAAAATAAGAGTAATACTATTATTTTAAAGGCTTATGAGATGGTTTTAAGAGATTTATACTTTGTCTCTTTTTTAACATTATCTAGGTATAATTCATACACCAAAAATGCACCCATTTTGTGAGCGATTCTGTGATTTTTGACACTTACACAGCCATCACAGGTTTGGACAATTTCTGCTCTGACACCCCCGTGAGACCCTGTGCCCGTCACAGTCGGCCCCCACCCCGGTCTCCGCACCATGACTCCCAACGGTGCCTCCCTCCAGGTGGAAAACCTTAGGTGTAATGGCTCAGAAAATTGAGTGTCTACATTAAGAAGCTCCTGAACTTTTTTTTTAAGGGGGGGGCTTTTTTCTTTAAGATTACAGTTTATAGGCAATAATTCCTGAAATCTAACATTTTTATTAAGACGGAAATTGTAGCTGATGGGTTTCAGTTTTGGGTGTGGTACAGACAATAGATTATTTCTAGAAATATCTTTCAATTGACCAATCATACTGCTTCCCCTTTAAGTGGATTCCTGTTTTTAAAATACCCCATATCCACCTGGTAGGAGAAAGCACTCCAAATGAAACACCTTAGATCGTCATCACTTGGTAGGGGCTCTCCAGTTCCCCAGTTGTTTTGAGGGTACTCCGGGTATCCTGTTGGTCTGTATGACCCCTGGCCTTTGAAGGAACAGACGAGTCTAAGCAGTCCCAGGTAGGGGGAAGGACTTGGCCACGTCAGCTTGCTCACGGGGTGGACTGTCCCTGCATGACTGAGTTACCCAGGGAAGGGAGTTGCGTCAGGGCCATGGAATGCTTGTCTGTGACTGTTTCATCATCCTGGGGCTGGTCTCGAGTGCTTCGGGCAGACAGCAGTGGGAGGAGTGCAAACGTGTGTGGGCTGCACGCTGCTTTTGGTAAAAGGGAAGTCTACCGATAACTCGTTTTCTGTACGCAGACTAACGCTCCCCTTTGCACAGAGTGAGCTGTAGTGAAGTAGGGACTGCCTCTTCCGATGGAATGCGCGTGTTCCCCTGAAACGTGAGCGGCCCGTCTCTGCCACATGGTTTTTCCTGTTGGAGGGTGAGGGAGGGGACAGCCCTCAGTCTCCAGGTTGAGGACGCCAACTTGGCCTCACTCCGTGCTCAGACAATGGGAACAGGAAAGGGGGTGAGCAGGTCACCTGGGCCTCTTTGGGACTGGGAGGCAGCTGGGAAGGGATCTTTCTAAGGAGGCAAGAAAGGAATCTGAGAAACAAGCTAAGGCCCGACTTACAACCCTGGAGAGTTTCGGAAACGGTTAAGTGAGGCGAAGGTCTCCCGACAAGGCTGCAGACCCCCCCAGCTGCCCTCTTAGCTCCTTCCGGGGCGTTCACACGTAGGGGCTGGACCCGACTGGTGCTTCCCTCCATCCTTGTTTCATGCTCCTCGATGTCCCTTCTCTTTTTTACAGTTTTACATTTCTGACCCTTCCAGCCAAACCTCTAACCATGACAATAGTTCATTCTTACTTCTTACCATTTACTGTGGTCACTGAGCTTTCAGATCAAAACCCTAACAGCTGTGGGATGGGGGCTGGGAGGGAGAGACCAGGCATTCCTCGTCTGCTCTAAATAAACCCCTACTTCTGAGACCTCACGTGAAAACAGCGGATTGGTAGTTGTAGAGGGAAGACTTCTAAGATGGCCCGAATGATCCCACCTCCTGGAATGCGTGCCTTTGTGCGACCCCTCCCCTTGAGTACGGGAAGAAAGTGGAACTCCTTTTAACAACCAGAATACGACAAAGGTGAAAGGAAACCACTTCCTTCGCCAAGTACAAAACACTGTAACTTCCATCTTGATAGATCGGCGCTCCCCCTCCTCCCTCCCCTCTGTCTGTCTGTCTGCCTCTGCCTTCTCACTTGTCCACTCACTGACTCAGGCTGCCATGCGGTGAGTGCTTCATGGAGAGGCACCAAAGGGAGCCTCTGGCCCACGGCTCAAAGAAACTGAGTCTAACAGCTCGAGAGGAACTAAATCCTGCCAACACCCAAGTGAGTTTGGAAGCAGTTCCTTCCCCGCCCCTGCCGAGCCTCCAGATTACACTGCAGCCCTGACACCTCGACTGTGGCCTGTGGGAGACCCTGGAGCAAAGGGTCCAGCCACACCTGCCCCGGTTCCTGACCCCTCGAACTGTAAGATCATAAATGCGTGTTGCTGCAAGCTGCTAACTTTGGGGAATTTGTTACGCAGCAATAGATAACTAATAAAATAGTTTCACTGTCTCTCAATGGCAGGTTGTGAAAATTTCCAAAAACATTTTGTATTATTAATGCTTTAGAATAAAGTCTAAATGGAAAAAGACTAAGCCCGAATCCTGACTTTAACACTTATTATCTATATATTATCAGCATTTTCTTCACCAATCAAAAGGGAGACAATACCACCTACACCCTGAGGAGCAGAGACCAGCTCAGCTGACATCTCCGGCTTCTCATAAAAGACGAAACAGAGAATGTGCACTACAGAAACTGAGTTAGGATTACATATTTATTCCACAGACTGGACCTACCATTATTAAAATGGTTCTTCGATGTCAGCCACCAATATTAATTCAGGAACTGTGATTCTTACATACACAAATCAAGTGATTTTTCCCTATTAGCTATAAAATTATTATTAAATATCTTCCGCCTTGGCTGGTGTGGCTCAGTGGATTGAGTGTCAGCCTATGAACTGAAAGGTCACTGGTTTGATTCCCAGTCAGGACACTGCCTGGATTGTGCGCCAGGTCCCCAGTTATGGGCGTGTACGAGGCAACCAATCAATGTTTCTCTTCCTCCCTTTCTCCCTCCCTTCCCCTCTAAAACTAAATTAAAAATCTTTAAAAAAAATAAATGTCTTCCTATAAAACAAACTTCATATGTTCAAAGTAACATGTTCACAGAACCAAATACAGAATGAACTCACCACTTTTTTAAAATCATCTTCTGCTTCGTCCAGTTTCCCCTGTTTCAACAGTAAATGACCTCTCTGTAATCTTGCCTAGAAAAAAAAAAGGATGTGCTGAGAACAATGCATTTCTAAATTTTCTTTAAACATGAAGAATAAAACTAAGCTAATGAAGTGTTAATGAAATCTTCATTTTCCAATGCCTATTTGATTTGGCACTCTAAGAATACTTCCTGGAATCAATGAATATGTATAATTTTTGATAAACTATACTTCCTTAAGAGTACTTTTTGCTACACCCAAAAAACTTGAAAACACGTCCACACAAAATCTTGCACACGAATGTTCAGAGCAAGAGCCAAAAAGGGAAATAATCCAGACTGCCATCAACCAGTAAGTCAATGAGCACATGTGAGCACACGTGACGTGTCCGTGCAGCGGGACCCCCGTCCAGCCACCAAACGGACGAAGTGCTCAAACCTGCCGCAGCGTGAACCTGGAGGACACTGCACTAAGTGAAAAAAGATACCAGAGGCCACACATTTTACGATTTCACTTATAGGAAACATACAAAACCTACGAGACAGAAAAATAAGGGGTTGCCAGGGGCGAGAGATGATGCGGGGGGGACTGTTAATGAGTGCAGGGTTCGTTCTGAGTAAAAAATGTGCTGGAACTGGACAGTGGTGATGCTTGCACGACCCCAAGAATACATGGATGGTGACCAACTTATGATGTTTCAACTTACTATTTTTCGACTCTGCTGTGGTGCAGAGGTGATACACATATTAGAAACCGCACTCTGATTTCTGAATTTTGATCTTTTCCCGGGACAGCAATACGTGGCACAGTACCCGCCCGTGATGCTGCAGAGCAGCAGGGAGCCACGGCTCCGGTCAGCCAACAGCCGAGAGGGTGGACCACCGACGCTCGGCGGTGTGCAGTGATGCAGGTGTGTTTTGGACACTGTGTTTTGTGTTCTGCATCCCATCGTGGCCCCCAAATGCCCGTCTGTGAGCCCGTGTGTTTTTAGCAGGTGCATCAGTGGTGAGTAACCGTATAACCATTCTGTTTTCACATTCCTTTTTCAATAAAATACATGAGAGGGATTTAAGACATGAAACCATGAAACTCCTAGAAGAAAACACAGGCAGTAAAGTCTCTGACATCATCGTTCTTAGTGATAATTTTTTGGGTCTGGCTCCTCAAGCAGGGAAACCAAACAAACAAGTGGAACGGCATCGAACTTAAAAGGTTCTGCGCAGCAAAGGAAACCATCATCAAAATGTAAAACAACCTACTAAATGGGCGATATTCTAAGACACTTACATCCAAAATATGTAAGGAGCTCAAAGAATTTCTCCAAGAAAGGATATACAGATGGTCAACCACATGAAAAGATGCTCAACAACATTAATCATCAGGAAACACAAATTTAAATCCCGATGAGCTATCACCTCACACCTGTCTGAATGGCTGTCATCCATAAATCAAAAAAGAGTTAGTGAGGACATGGAAAAAAGGAAATCCTCGTGCACTGTTGGTGGGATGGTAAAAAGCGGCAGCCACTGTGGAAAACAATATACATACAACTACCAGATGACCCAGCAATTCCACTTTAGTGTTTATCTAAAGAAATCCAAAACACTATTTTGAAAATATACATGCACCTCTACATTCATTGCATCATTATTTACAAGAGCCAAGATGTGAAAGCAGCGTCCACTGATGGATGAACAGACAAAGAAGACTTGGTACTTATTTACAGATGCATTGGAGGATTACTCTGCCATAAAAAAGGATGAAATACTGCCATCTCTGACAACATGAATGGACCTAGAGGGTCCATCATGTTCAGTGGAAAAGTCAGAAAAAGACAAATACTATTTGCTTTCACAGATAGGAGAATAAAAAAAAAAACTCATTGATACAGAGAACGAATTCATGGCTGCCAGATGGGAGGGTGTTCAGGGGGAAGGGTGAAAAAGGTGAACGGGATTGAGAAGTAGAAGTGGCCAGTTATTAGACCATGGGGATGTGTAAGTACAGCACAGGGAAACAGAGTAAATCACAGGGAACAGAGTGAGTAATACTGTAACAACCAAGCAGGGTGTAAGACGGGTACCAGACTTATCGGGGTGAACCCTCTGAAGGTACACAGACGTCCCATCGCTATGTTGTGCACTCGAGACTAACATGATATTGTACGTCAAATGTAATTGAAAAATGTGAAAAATGTTAAGAGAAACGATGTAGATATGCCACTACAACTTATATATTACTTTTATGATACAAAAAAATTTCCCTAGTCTTCTGTTAAGTCCATCAATGCACGTAAAAAGCAATGTTAAAGCTACTTCAACCAGCTAAGAGCTACTATAATACCAGGATAATGAGCTACTTAACCTTTGTGAAAGGTTGTGCTCAGCTGTATAAAGTAATAGATTAAAGAAAATTAGATACTTGGGAATTCCATCTTGAAATAATAGTAATGTTTCAAACCAAACATTCACCCGTATCTAATTAGTTATCTCAAATTCTTTTTGGAATATGGCAGGATATATCAATAAATGAGTTACCAAATTAATTTTGAAACCATCTGGTTGGTCCTGTTACCTTAAGCCATTACCCTGACCTACCAACCCTGCCCTCTAAAGCCTGCACGTTGGTTTCAGGGGAGGGTCCTGCCTCAGCCAGCACTGTATCCTCACCACAAACCACTGCGTGGCTGAGTTACCCCCTCCGCTTTCTTGTTCCGGCTACAGACTGTTGTTAGTTATAAACTGTTGTTAGTTACTGGACAGCCTTTTAATTTAACAGCCCCTCAGTCAACTCATTTATCAGCCTCACTTCTTGCTCTGCACTCCAACCTCCACCCAGAGGTCTCTCTCAATGAGAAATGAATATCGCCATTAAGATTCTAACAATTACCTAACGCACCGCCTGTCCCTCCTTCATACAGACCTTTCGTGCCAAGGACTTGGGAGGTCCCTTGTTGCCCAGCCCACCGCACCACAGTGGCTGGCTTTCACATCCTCCAGCTATGCCCAGCATACCAGTCATCACCGTGAGAAACAAATGAGCTCTTCAAAGTTCCCTTAAATTATCCTTTAAAGAAAGCTGAGATGCACTTACCGCAGTGAAATCCATCTTCAGTTCAATCACTTTGGTTAAGTCAGGAAGTGCTGCCTTTGATTTGCCCATAGCTAAAAAGACAGTCGCTCTCCGGTAGTAAGCAACATAGTTTTCTGGGTCACCATCTGAAAATTAAAATAATAAATATTACCTCTCAGTAGTTTATTTTAAAGACCTAATCACCTGAATAATAGAGTTTGCAATTCTATTTTAAAAGGCTAATTAAGAAAAGAATTTCTTCCTCAACAGTAAGTCGTGCTGCCTAATGAGATCACTGCAAATGAATCCAGAACAGGGGTCAGCAAATTGTGGCCCCTGAGCCAAATCCAATCCACAAACTTCACGTAAAGAACATTTTTTACATTTTAAAGAGTTGTCAAAAAATAGAAAAATGTAAAGCAGAGCCTAAAATATTTATTATCTGGCCCTTAAGAGAAAAAGCTTACCACCTCTGGTCTAAAATACTAACTATATTTACTTAGTAACTTTGTCTTTACTGAAATGTTCTTGAGTGAAATACTGACTGAAATGTGTACTATACACTTTTCCACAGGATCTTAGAAAATTACAGACTTCCAATACACTGACATGTTGAATGTGCAACCCCTGCTCCCTTACAAACTCCAACAGCAACGGCAGTGAGGAAATAAAGGTATAGCCCTTAGACAAAGAAGAAGACTGGAAATGAGAGCAAGTCTAAAGAGCAAGACCAGAGAGGTTAAAAATACGTGACAAGGCAAAGCAGACGGATGAGAAAGACTTTGAGCTGATTCCACTCTGCTCAGCACCTATGAAGTGAGGAAGCAATAAATTCAATTAGAATCAAACTTCGTGCTGCTAAACAATCCCTCCAAAAAAAGCAACTCTGAAATATATAGATCTCAAGAATGTTAAAAATAATCTTGACCGAATCTAGCCATGTATCGGCGACTCTGCCTCCTCTGGCTCCGTCACCAGTCACACCTTTCACCCTGGCCCGGAGCTCTCCGTTCAAGAAAGGCACGCCTGTCAACTTGCCGTGTTACGCAAACAAAGTATCTTAAGTGATGAGTCATCCACTTCCCCCTTCCCCAACCAAGGGTGTGTGGGCGTTTTCTCCTGTGTCCAGGGGGCCCCCACTCTGCACCTCGTGACAACAGCATATAATTATTCAAAAGTATGGTTTTCGGTTGTTCATGGCACTGGAAATTACCTGAAGTACTGCTGGGGGAAGGCGGGGCAGAAGGAGAGGAAACCATACACCCGAGAAGATACACAAATGACCAATCAGCACACAAAAAGATGTTTAACATCACTCAACACTAGATCATGCAAATCGAAGCTGCACTGAGGTTCCAGTCCACACCCACTAGGAGGAAAGAAGGAATGAAGGAAGGAATGAAAAGGCAGGGAAGGAGGAGGTCAGTTCTGGTGAGGAGGTGGACAAACTGCGCCCGGTGTGCACTGCTGAAAGTGAACAGGGTGCAGCTGCTGTGGGGAGTTCCTCAAAACTCACACACAGAATTACCATCCCGACCACCAATTCCACTTGGTGGTATGTACCCCAAAGAAGTGAAAGTGAAGTTTAAACAGGCATTTGTATACTCATGTTCACAGAAGCATTATTCACCATGGCCCAAAGATGGAACACAAATGTGGTATATACCCACAACGAAACATTATTATTTAGCCTTTCAACACAGATGAACCTTGAAGGCATTATCCTAAGTGAAATGAGCCAGGCATGGAAGGACAAATACTGTGTGATTCCACTTCTAGGAGGTACCTAGAGCAGTCAGTGTTACAGAGACAGGAGTGAGGAGTGGTGGGTGCCAGGGGAACATACATTTCAAAACGTTTCACAATGAACATGGAATACTTTTATATTCATTAATTTAAAAAGAGAAGAAAGAGAAGTTCTCCATGACTTAATTTATCTGAAGCACAGAATAAAAAACACTAGGAGGAACAGGGCTTCAGGCCTGGTGTTTACATCACATACCATCATCATCTTCATATGTCCGAGTCCTACCCAGTCTTTGAGGCTTAGCTCCAGTGACTGACTAGACTACAAGTGTGATCAGATGCAACACCAACCTTGCCCAGGTACACATTTTGGGTTTTTTTTCCTCCGGCTCCCAGCTCACTTAACTCCACCCCTTCATTCATTCAGACTTTAACTAGGCACCTGCCAGCTATTAAAATAAAAGGTAATGGCAGTAACAGTAAAACAGTACCGATCCTTAAGAAGTTCACAATGTTCTGAACTGGAATGCGACCTTTGGAAAGTCACCAGAGCTCTCTCTGTTTCTTTCCTTCTGCCTAAATGTGAACAGTAATGTCCATCTCATTTCACAAGGGAGGTTCAAATGCCATGAGAAAACATCACATGTTTAAGTGACATATAAATGTTAACATGGATTTTGTTTTTTGATTTGGCAAAAACTACGTAAGTATGATACTGGTTTTCTTACCAAGCACATGGAGAAACCTATCATTTCAGGCTTGCCCACTTTAGACATTCATTCATGCAGATACACCTAAGGCCTTCTAGACGTCTCCTAAAGGAACGATTCCACACCCTACAATGCACGCCAGACCCATGGAGCACAAGACCGCACTGTGGGAATGGGGTGGGGGGCCACCATCACACCCGCAATGCATTTTCTCTAATGACAATCCCTTTAAAATGAATGCAACTGTGTCGCAACGTGATTTGAAAACCAACAGTCAACACTCTTCCTTAAATCAAAATGTTTCCAACAGATCAAGAATACTTCCCAATCAGTTCTCAATCTTAAAACCCTGGCCAAAACGTATGTATTTGCCAGATACAAAAAAAAAAAAAAAAATTCAAACCAAATCGCTGACAGATCTGTACTACAAGGTACAAACAATTATTGGGTTGCTATGATAAGCCTTTTATTGTGTAAAAATGTGATCATAAAACACACTATGCCCAAGTAACTTCCAAAACACACCAAGTAATTTTTCAGAAATAAAAGTGGAAGAAAGGGTGTCACAACCATAATGTCTGCAACATTATAACAAAAAATGACTGGTGGACACCATGCTGCCAGCCAAAGTCTATCAGGGCCTTTGACAGCAACTTCTAATCACAGATGGAGTTACAGCAATAGAGCACACTACAAAATTCAGACGTTGGGAGGTATCGACACTTCTGTGGATGAACCCACATTTAACAAGAAGTTAATGAACTTGGTGTGCAGCAGTGTACCAGGACACAGATGACACGCCACCACACGAGACCAGGGGAGCCGCCGCTCGCTTTACCTGGACAAAAACTGAATCTGTCTAGTTCCCACGCCATAGCTCTGAAGGTACTTCCCAGCTCTGAAGGTCGTTCCCGTCACCAGGAAAGTAACTGTCCTACTGATGATCCCAGTCATCAGGAAAAGTAAACTGTGTTTAGTGAAATCTTTTAAGAGGGCTGAAAATTATGTAATACATTGAAAAAAGCTTTCTGTCTAAATTATCTGGAATTATGCCTGGTATTTTTAATAGTCCGTCTCAGTTACCTGGAAAATTCTCTCATGCTCAGTAAGTATGCACTCAAGTGTTATGCATTTATTTTACTAATCTATTTCATTCAGAATCCTGCAGATATTTCTAAATGTTTAATTTAAAGTTATTCAAAAACCAGCTATGAATTAAAAGTCACTAAGGTGGCCACTGAGTGTTTTAGTCCCGAGATACAAACCTACTGCAGCATGAAACTGTGATAAAGCATCAGCTAGCTGTCCAGCCGCGAGTAATTTCTTGCCCAATTCAAGATGTTTCTCAACATCTGCATTTACTCCACATTCAGCACCTGAAAACAAATTTTAAAAAATTTAATTTTCCGTGGACCAAGATTTCATTCTAAAGAATACATTATTAAAGCTATAATTATCTGTCTCACACATTTATCAGATGGGAAAAGTAACGGGCTGAAAAGCAAACTAAAGAATGCAGCAACGGCACATTTTATATATAAGCAACCCCAAAATACACCGTATCCACCTAGTCAATGAAAAGAATGTAGCCAGTCTACAAATATAAGGGAAGTTGTATAACAAACACAGCACTAGTAAAAACATGTTGAACAACAACATCAGAACTGCTTTGTGAAACTAGTCTCATTTGAATGAGTGTCACCGAGACCACCATAACGAACATGCAAGTACTCACTGCACATCTACAAAGTACAACACACTGTTCTAAGTAGTCGGGATCCATGCACCAGACAAACAAAAGCTTGTGTCCCTCAAGGTGCCTGACGTTATGGGAGGAGACCGACAAAGGAAATGACCTATCAGGTCGGGGAAAAGGACTATGGAAAGGGTAGAACCATGTGACAGGAGTCAGGAGTGCTGTGGCTTTCAGTATTAAATAAGGTGGTGAAGGGTGGGCTTCATTGAGAAGCTGACAACTGAGCAAAGATTTAATTGAAGGAAGTGCGGAACTCAACATGCCGACATCCAGCCAAAAAGCTTTCCAAGAGGAACCTGCCGGTGTGAAGGCCCCACGTCGGGAACATGCCTGGTTATGTTCCAGAAACAGCAGGGAGGCCAGAGTGGCTACCACAGAGCCACCGGGGGGGGGGGGGGGCTGTATAACAGGAAGCCAAAGCAGAGGGCCTGAGCGTGGACAGCGTCAGTTTCACAGGGGTGAATGGGGAGCTTCTGAGGAACTGTGAGTGGAAGAACACGATCGGACTGACCGAGCCAACCACCAAGGCACACCGCCCTGGCCACATGCCCGGGGGTGCCATCCCTCAGCGACCTGGCAGCCGAGGCCAGACACGCCTCCCAGCCAGGTGCCGTGTCCTCAAGGCTGCATACCCACCACACCCGTACCTGAGAGGGTGCTTTCCTGCTTCCCCAGCTACCATGGACCAGCTCTTGCCTTAGCAATGCAGCAGGCTTTCCTACCAGTGGACTCAGGCTGCATCTATGCCTTCTCCAGTGAGGTCTGAGCCCCAGCCAAGTGTAGGGGTGCTAACATAGACAGCCAGCCAGAGTGTGGGCAGCCAGAGGCAGGGTGAGCCTGGGCCCAGCTTGCCACTTCAGAGGGGTGGGCCACATGGAGGCTGCTTAGAGATCTAGGGGTGGCTGGTGGACTCCAACCAGTGCCCCAGATGTGCAGGTGCTGTGTCCAGGGTCGCCAGGGGGACTGAGGGCTGTGGCACCTCCAGGTCTTCTAACAATGGGTCCCGTAGCCAACCCCCCTCAATTCCCCTGATACGGCAGACAGGGAGCACCAGAGAGCCGCCCACACTGGCCAAGAGGGTGTCGGGGGAGGTTCTTACACCGAGCACACCAAAAGCTAGTGATAACTGAATAGAAAAATAAAAGCCCTACCCCTCTAAGAACGGGGGGCTTGAGCAGGACGGGGAGGTGGTCTTTGAGATGGGAGTCCACCATTTTCCCAGGTCCCAGCACCTGAATAAAACCCTTTCCTTTTGCACCAGCTCCTGTCTCACAAGTTTGGCTTTCACTGCATCAGGCAGCTGGACCCATGTTTTGGTTACAGCAGGTCCCCCCTCCAAGCTGGCCCTTCATTGGGAACTCTTTCCGGCTTAGAACATCCTTTAGAGTTCCCTGTATATCTTTACAGTTGCTCTCCTAGCACCACTTAACAATTCTTTACATTAAACCCCCCTCTTTCTGAATTACCATGTGGTCTCTGTCTCCTGAGGAGACTGAGACTTACACACAACTGATACTGGGAGTGGCTCCAGGACACAGACCCACAAAGATGGCCTATGACAACTGATCATGCCCTTGAGCTTGAGTGCAGTGCTGAGCTCCTTGACAATGAGAAACAAGACGTTAGTAATCCATGGCAGGTACTGGAATCAAAATTAATCAAGGTATCATTTGTGGTTCACAGTGACCAAGTGCTAACAGGGACCTGTGTTGGAAACCCTCGAGGCTTTAAGCTCTACCAGACCATAAAGAATGGTGATGCAGGGTAGATTCTTCTGAGTACGACTGTTTTGTGACCACAGAGCCAATTCAGCTGAAAATAAAACACAAAGTTCACTTTTGAGGGTAGTTAAAACAATAGCTGAATTCACAGTATCGCCAAGTTTCTCCTCTGAAATTTAGGACATGCACTAAGTAAACAATGGGATCCTCCAACTTACCATGCAGACATTTAGTTCGACCCAGATGAGACTAACCAACTCCGCCCCTCCAGTTCTCTGAGCCTCCCTCACCAGTAGAAAGTAGCTGCCCTCCCTCCCATATCAGGGGAGACTAGCCTTCCACAGCTTAAAATTCCTAGGACAACCTTACAAAAGGCAAATACCATGAAAGGGAACGTTCATTTTCATTAAAACATACCCTAACCATTCCTGATGTCACTAGACAGGTGTTGGGAACCACCCTGCCTGGTTTCAGGAGCTGTAACCCTCTCCTGGCTAAGGCCGAGTGAGCGACCTTCAGACCATAAGACACGAAGGAGACAAAGCTTATCTCCCTGGCAAGAGCGCCGCTTCTCCTTTTACTTCATCCATAACTGCCCCCCAGTGCTTGACTTGTTAACCAATGACGGGTAAGATCCCCAAGAAGGGAATGACCTAAGGCAGGCACGATCACGTGGAAGTCCCAGGGAAGGACTTGGCGGGCTACGGAGAAAGGGGGTGATGGACCCTCACCCCTTGGCTTTGACAGCCTGAGTCCTCATTCCGTCTGCAAGAAGTCTCCTAATCTCTTGGCTGCTGTACTTCCCCTGCATGAGTTAAGCCTGAAACAATGACAGAGGGTGATGCAGCCCTGTGCTGGAAAGGGTGGGTTCCCCAGGTGATCAGGCTTAAGAAAGAATATGTAAAATCCTGTGAAACCTGCTTTGTTAAGAATGCTCTCAATTAAATGATAAAGGTCAGAGCAGGAAATGAGTTTGTTTCCCAAAGTTTTGTAGCCCTTTAGCTAACAGACCCTGACTCAGAATAGCCCCTCAGAGTTCTTTGTATGTTATCTATTGTTTGATCCTTACTTCCTGATAATGATTAATTAATAACCTTTACCCGTATTCCTGGGCAAAACAACCCAATAAAAGCCGATTGAGGAAAAGGCTCTTAGCCCTTCTCCTTTGAGAGATCGGCCACCCTTTCTCCCCAAGCAGATCATGTCTTGGTAGACTTACTTTTATCCGTGGTGGCCAGGGAGCCTGGTGGGTGAAGCCCCCCCCCCATAGACAGGCATATACTATGACAAAAGGAAAGAGATTACATACTGAAAGAACTGCAAGACTGTGATGATAAACTAACAGAAACCCAGGAACACGTGTGGAAATGAATCCTAAAGGTGTCAGACCAAGGAGGGTGAAGTTAATGCCACATCTGTTCTGATTCATTGACGTATGCCCACTGACTGTACATAGCAGAAGTCAGCACACTGTTTTTAAATAAAAGTTTACTGGAACACACCTGTGCCCTTCCATCCCACACTGTCTACGGCTTTCATGCTACAATGGCAAAGTGGAGCGATTTTGACAAAAATCACATGATCTGCATGCAAACCCTAAAATATTTCCTATCTGACTCTACAGAAAAGGCATCCTCTGCACAATGTTTCCTGTATCTTGTATCTTCTTCAGTAAATGTCTCTGTATTTCATACTACATGGCTCGATACCTTCTGGACAGACCTCATGTATTGGTGGACCACCTGCAACCTTCACGGAGCTCTGCGGTCACTCTTCTTTGTAAGACAGGTCTGAACATGGCAGACGCCACAGCCGAGATGGGCTTTCTGATTCCAGTGGGGATGCTGGGATCCTGGAGCAGCCGAGGCTGAAGTAGCAGCAAGTCACCACCACAGTCTAGGTGAGCACGGCAACTGTAAATGGCATCAACTACAGCGGAGAATCTCAATCACCCTAATAAAATGACATTCTTTGAGGATGTCAATCAACTCCTTTCCCTATAATACCAGTGCCTGTGCAATGGACCCATGAACAAAGTGGCCATGGCAGCAGGGACAGAGAAGATGAATGGGCTCAAAAAGAGACTACCCCTTACTGATCTGGTTCAGTGCCTAATGTGACAACACCACCAAACAAACCTGAGTTCTCAATACAGCACCGTAAGGAGGAAGGGGGGCAGGGGACAAGCCATCCACCTGGCGGCAGATTGATTATACTGGTTCTCCTTCACAATGGGTCACCTTCCCATGGACTTGCCTGTGACGCTCCAGCCAGCACAACCACTGACCGAGTCTCAGAATGCATCACTCGCCGTCACGGCATTCCACACAACTTTGTCTCTAATCAAGAAACACAGTTATGCATTTCACAGCAAAGAAAGTGCAGCAGTTTGCTCATGTCCATAGAATTAACTGGTCTTACAACATACTGCTTGATCCAGAAGCAGCATGCCCATTTGAAAAGTAGAATGGCAGCACTGGTTGGGAGACAAAATCCAACGTAACTCCTTTGCAAGCTACAGGGTATGCTTTCAGTGACGAAGCGTCAGGTGGTCCCCCAGAGCCAGAACAGATGGGTCCAGGAATCAGGAAGCACCAGTGGGAGTGGCTCCACTCGTTATCACACCTCAAAAGCCACCTGAAAAATGTTTGCTCCCGGTCCCGGCAAGCTGAGCTCTGATGTTGTGGAGTTCTTATTCCCAAGAGGGTAAATGCTTCCACAAGGAAATATACGATGGTTCCAGTGAATTAGAAAATGAGAATGCCACCTCACCATGTTGTACTCATTTTGGCACTAAAACCAACAGGCCAAAAATAAATTTTTTTTTAAAAAGTCAATTACAAAGGATCTTTCTTGCTGCTACACAGTAGTGGTGGCTACGTTTGGAACCCAGGGGTTT